TTCTTGAGTAGGGGCGGCCGGGCGGATTTTTTTTTTGTCCATAAAGAATTAAAAAATAATTGAGATGTCAAGCATTTCAACATATGAAGTCAATAAAATACTGTTATATGGTAGAAGACTAGTTTAATATCATCTTTTTTTAACATGTGTACAATGAATATCATCTCCATTGCCAAGCAAAACAGCACTACGGGTGCGTGCATGCGTTCTAGTGCGAGTTTGCAAGGTTAAAAATATATGCGTAAAAATATTATTAGTAAACCCAATTTTCTCGTGCTGAATGCAGCAAACATTGCTTTAAATAATATTTAAATCAATATTAATGATGTTTTTGTGAAATAAATTCGGAAAATATCAAACATAAGTTATATTTTAATACTTTCTCACGCTACTTTTTTAGTGTAAACATAACATTTATTGCGTGTGCGGTGCATTTCTTCAGTCATTTTAGTTTTAGTAGTATCATCGGGTTCGAAGTCTATACAATGAACAGTTTGTAAGACAGAATTTCGTACAAAAAAAACCAAACTGGCAACGGGACGCATTTTGATCCTTGCAAATTGCATAAAATAAAATGTTTGGCGTCTAAAATTGCTCCCAAAAAAAAAAAATTAAAAAGAAAATGACGAGCGGGCGGTCGAGGACAACCGAATGATTTTTTTTTTGTTGGCCTTATGGAGGGTGCGCATTATGCACCCGGCGTAGTCTGTTTCAAGGCCTAATGATAAAATATCTTCAAGTTTGTGTCGATATTCGAAGAAGATTAATCATGTTCAAAGATTTAAAATTTCTTTCTCTTTTTTTTCATACAAAAAGCAATGGGCTCAATATCATTTGAAACAGATTGAAGTCAGGACATCTTCTATACAGACTATCAATCTCTGTCGGGGTTAGGGTTAGGGTTATACTAATCATGCAATCCCATCTTTCATCAACCCATCGTTGGCTCAATCGGTAAAGTCAGCATACGAGTAGTGGGCTCGAAACCCAGTAAATATTTTTTCCTACTTTTGCCTTTATAAATAGTGAGGCAAAGCAAAAAATAATATAAGTCTTATTGGTTGTAACCTCTTTCCAAGCCGCTTTGATTAATTAACATGATGACGTTCCTAGGTTAAACCATAGGGACTTTTAGATTTGCGTGGACTGATACGTGTGATGTCCCTTCAAGGCAGTGCATTTAAAGGACGTCGATCGTAGCAATCCCCATTGTCTTCGTGCGAATCTAAAAGTCCCTAATGACGCAGGCGGACTCGACTTTTACACTAATAAGGGTGCACATCTGCTCCCTCTAGGGAGCAAGTTTGCACCCCGAATTAAGGTGCTGCTTTTTTAGCAAATGTCTGCACCCAACTTTCGGGTACTGCTATTGTAGCAGTGGTCTGGTGCAAATTGGTACCTTTATTTGTTAGTGTGTAGGGTGGCTTTGACGGCGTAGCAATTCAAGAGTGTGGTTGGCAGCTCAAGCCCCCTTCCCACCCCTTCTACACCAAAAGATAATTTTCTGAATGAATGAGCGAGACCACCATAGAAAAGGGTTCAAGAAAACAAATCTTCTCGGACCGCTTCTGCTTTGCCCTATTTTATTTTATTTACTTCACGTACTTGAAATACATCAACGAAACGGGGAACTCCGAATATCCGGTCTTTAAACTGAACTAGGACCCTGCAACGACTGTTGTCAGAAGGCCCATGAGATTAATATGTCAGTCCGTGCATGGCCTGTCTGTCTTGTGGCCCATCGGTCGATTAGTACTAGGGCTTAGCGGTCTCGTGGGTTGCAACCCAAATCTGACCTTTACGGCTCAATACATGATCGTGCTTTTCTGAAGAACCCAATTCAGAGAGAAATAACGGATCCCCGTATCTTCTACACTGGAGAGTATACTGGCATCTAACAATATAAATGCTAGTACTTTAGAAACCATCTTGGTAATCATCGAGAGACACATAAATGGTGCACTGCTAACAAACTTACAATTAATTCAATGAAAACTAATTTCATGTTAATATGTAGTAGGAGGAAAAAATAGGTATAAATGGTAAACTAAAAATCGCTGGCGAGGAAATTAAAGAGGTTGATGTTGCCACTTTTGTTGGGGTTCACATTGATAGACATTTGTCTTGGAAGAGTCATATTCTTTTTGTAAATCAGTGTATTAGAAAGAAAGTTGGAGTGCTATTTAGATTGCGACATTTTGTTCCTAGCCGTACTATGATATTATTATATAAAGCATTTATACAACCACACATTTCTGAGGGAATAGAGGTGTGGGGAAGCACTTATGAGACTAATCTAAGAAGTATATTATATTCACAGAAAATGGCAGTTCGTGCCATAACATTTAGTCTTCTACGACGATACTCAGCAGGATCCATAAGTCAGGATGTAAAGTGCTGAGGAATAAACTATCTAATTCTTGGTCTAGATGCTGGGTTGAAGCGCTCCCTTGAAGCCCTCCAGTGAAGTAGCGTCAAGGGTGATCTTTGAAAGTGCATTCCACGCAGTTACTGTCCGAGGGAAAAATGAGTTCTGGTTGAGCTGGGTGCGGGATGGGATAGCCAGCAACTTCTTTGAGTGATACTGTCGTGTGTTGCAGGCAATCATGGGTGCTGTGTAATGGTGTGCATTGATGGCTACTGTGTTGTTTTGGATCTTGTACATGAGGTGGAGGCTTGCAGCATTTCTTCTCCTCTCCAGGCTCTCCCATTTCAGATGTTGAATCATGGCCGAGACACTGGCCATACGACGATATCTCTGGAGGGTGAATCTTGCTGCTCGCCTTTGTACTGCCTCGATTTCGGATATATGCTTGTTTGTGTGAGGATTCCAGACCGAGCAACAGTATTCCAGATGAGGTCTAACAAGAGAGAAGTAGGCTTGTTGGCGGATCTTTTGTGAGGTTTTGCGGAGATTTCTGCTGACTAGTCCCAGCATCCGATTGGCTCGGGATGTGATGTTGTTCATGTGGCCTTGCCAGGACAAGTTGGATGAGAAAGTCAGTCCTAGATACCGGAGATCTGTTACCAACGCAAGAGGAGTGTCTCCTAGCGTGTATGTCGTGGTGATGGCTTTCCGACGTAGGGAGAATCTGATGTGGTAGCATTTCTCGGTGTTGAATTTCATCTGCCATGTGTTAGCCCATGAATGCAGCCTGTTGAGATCTTGTTGTAGGGCTTGGCTATCAGTGACATCAGTGATCGGACGGTATAGAAGACAATCATCAGCAAAGAGTCGGATTTTGGAAGAGATCCCTTCTACTATGTCATTGATGAAGGATATAAACAGAAGTGGGCCGAGAACTGTGCCTGCGGTACCCCAGAGGTGACTGGAACCCATTCAGATGACTCTCCATCTACAACAACACGTTGTAATCTTTCATTTAGGAACACCCTGATCCATCTGATAAGGTTGTCATGGATCCCATAGTGATGGAGCCTATGGAGGAGGCGGTTATGGGGTACACGGTCAAAGGCTTTGGAGAAGTCTAATGCAACTGCATCAACTTGCTCTTTCTGGTCTAGAGAGTGTACAACATCTTGAGATGTAATGATCAGCTGGGTCTCACATGAATGGCCAGGACGAAAGCCATGCTGAACATCATTGAGAATATTATTTTCGTCATAGTGATCCATGATATTGCTGAAAATGAATGGAGAACTCCTTCAGATCCATTATTTAAAAGATTGCGAATCCTAAATGTGTATAATTTACATGATTTGTCCATTTCTACTTTCATGTTTGATCTAGTCAATGGCAATTTGCCTCATATTTTGATAGAGTACTGTGACATTATAGAACATAGCTATTCCACAAGACAAAAAGAAGATGGACAATTACGTCTTCCAAAATTAAGAACGACACAAGGTCAATTTTCATTGTCTTTTGTGGGCAGTGAATTTTGGAATAGATTACCTGTTGATGTCAGATTGACAAGGTCTAGAAATAGGTTTCGGAATTCTGTTACAAGTCATTTGTTGAACAAGTCATGTATGAAATATCAAGTGTACACAATTCATAATTCATATTTTACATTATTAGTTTGTATATTGTAAGACATTTTTGAGTACTGATTCTTGTTTTTTTTTAAAGCATCGATTGTAAAAGTAAATTAATTATTTTTTGTTTTCTTACATTCTCTAAACTGATTTGTACCAAAATATTTTGTTTAGCTGTTTAAGGGGTTAGGCTCGACTAGCACATGTGCTATTATCTGGCCCCTTTTTACCAACCAATAGTTTCTCTTCCTGTAAATGTAATTATTGTATAAAATGTATGAAAATGTATTGCTGTTGGTAAATAAATCATATTAAAAAAATCAAAATCAAAACAATTTGGGTAAGAGGCCTTGTCCAGGGATGCAAGCACTGAGAAAGGATCGACTCTACGACCTCCCATACAGGAATCAAAAGCCTCCCTCTGATTAGCATTACAAATGTGGTTACTATCAAACTGCTTGGTTTTTGTAGAACTCCCATTGTCTATTATCTCTTTCCATTTCTTATTATACTGCATAATGCTGCCAGGAGTTTTCATTGGCTATAAAAACTGTAGACAATTGTACAACACGAGCACTGTCTTCTCCCTCTATCGGGCATACCCGCATAGTATGTACAGTTATTCATATCTGAATAAATATGATCAATGCCCAAAATATGAAGCAGACAATACATAAGGGTTGAGAAAGAAAAAAAAAGAGTTCCGTGCCAGGTCATCCCATAGCGTAGTTCAGTTCGGTATGAACGCTCAAGCATAAAAGAGTGTACATCCATGTATTTGCGGAAGTAACGGAACGCACAAACACTATTTTGGTGTAGGACCAGTCAATTCTAGGCTTAACTTAAACTACTCCTGGTAGACTCTTTCAAACCAATTTTGGATTAATTTGTGGAACACTCAAGAAAGATTCATAAAGCGACTGGGATAGATTTATTAAACTGGTCTTGGTAACAGTTTAAGCCTTACACAGGAGTAGCTCCACGAAAATTCTTCGAGATTCATACAAGAAAAATCATTACAAACTTATACTGGAGCCTACGAGGAAGTAATATTCAGATAACTGGTGTAACCATATTGGAGGGTAGAGCAAGACAATAAAGATGGCGGGAAACGTGATGACAGTTCTATCCTTTATGATTGGGACATTGTACTTTCTCGTCTTATGTCAGGTTCAAAGCAGCAACGCGTACCCATCGGGAGCTGTTACATCGGCCTGCGGTGATATGACACCGAATCATGGATTCGATTCTCAGACGTCGGTCAGTCCCTACACCATCTCCGTGAGTCCTGCATTCTACCAACCAGGACAGCAGATGAATGGTAAGTTCACTCTGCCTCACGTCACGTTAAAGCTCCGCTGCACTACTTAAAGCTACTTTCGCCCTCTATATAGCAAGCAATGCCTAATCGGTGACCATTGGTCTCCCATGATCTCCTTTTTCTTAGGTTAATTGTGAGCTGATTTGATGAGATAATCACCTATTGGTGACCATGGTGGGAGGTCTAAACTAGTACAGACGGGCTTTAAAGGAAAAATTCATGCCTCTTTGTCCCAAACGTATTACCGACCACTTCTAAGACCTTAGTACAGTCAAACTTGTCTATTGAGGCCACTGTAGCCAATTAGTTAAGTGGTCACTGTAGACATGTGGTCTTTCTAAACAGGTTTTGTAACCCAAATTCTTTCTTAAGGTATACAAAATACATGGCCACTACATACAGGTGGTCTTTATAGAGAGGTGGCCAGTGAGATAGATTTGTATATCTGATCATTATATTGATTTAAATGCTATTCTAGAGCTCAAATCAGACCAAATGACGACGCCGTTGATAACGATGATGATGACGACAACGATTATACTGATTTTTGTTAACTGACTGCAAAGAAAGCAAGTACATATCTTGTAGGTAAGCAACCAGTAGATCATCAATTTGACGCAATATATGTTCAGAACACCTACGCATGGGTGAATAAAGGGACACTTATTGACGAAATACCTTGGATATTCCCAAAATTACAGGAGGAGAGAGATGACGATCAGAGAAATAAACTGTTGTGTAATAAGAACCGAAATTAACTGTTGTGTAATTAGAAACATTTTGTTCAGCATCAATCGTGGAAATTGAACTAATGTGTCCTAAGTACTTGGGTTGCTTCCTCTGTAGGATAGGATGATTATGGACATTGACATTCATATTCATATTCCTATTCTTAGGATGAAATAACCAATTTGAAGTGATCATGAATACGGTAAACATTGCAAAATTCACGGAAATGAAAACCCCTTGAAGTATTCGTACCACATGGTCACCGTGAGAGTATATGGCAAATACTAACACAAAGGCTTTCGTAATCTACCAGGTCAACATTTCTTTCCTTGGTACGGAGTGGCAAATGTAAATGAATTCCTTGCCAAAGGACATTAGAGCCGTCTCGGCGATCGAACGCACGACCTTTGCATTTGACGGCAAGCGCTTGACCCACTCAACTACGATTTTTTTATAAGCTGTTCATTGATTTTATTAAAACTGTTATCAAATTTAGTAAGATCTTGTAGAATTGTAGACATTTTGCTTTTGTGGCATTAGAACAAAAAAATCAAAATGAGTAAACACGCACTTTTGATAATTAGTCTGCTCAATGATATCCTATGAAATATATGAGGAGATATTATTTGTTACCTGATCTGTTCAGATTCGATTTCTGATTCGCTTCTAATGTAAAGTCTACATCATATATTAGTATTACTATTAATGCATATCTGTCACATTCGTGTCTTTCAAACTCACCACGTTGTCTGAAAACATGTTCTTAAATATAAATGCAAATAAAGAAACCACATATAACATGTAAGCATTCAATAATAATAATAATAAAGTAATTTTTATATAGCGCATAATAATAAATTCTCTGTGCGCTTTACAACAATCAAATATACAATAAATTACATGATTGATCTAAAGATTTAATTATACATGAATTAACAGAAATACATATCGTATACAATGATGACAAAATAAGATATAATATAAATGATATAAACTTATGAACACAATTATAATAGTTAGATAAATACGATCTTTTATTGTAAGGAAATAACATTATTTGACATAAACTAGCATATATATAATTACAGATTATTGGGTGAACATAAATGTTTTCAGAAGTGATTTGAATGAGTCGACTGTCGGGGCGTTACGAATATTGAGGGGGCGGTTGTTCCATAGTAGCTGAGGGATCTTTCGCCGTAGAATTGAGTATGGGTGCGTGGGACTTGTAGGAGACTTTGATGCTGAGATCAGAGAGTGTGGGCAGGAATATAAGGATGGATTATCTCACATAGATATGAAGGGGCTTTGCCGTGGAGTATTTCGTATGTGAGAAGTAGAACTTTGAAGTCTATTCGTTTTTTTACAGGTAACCAGTGGAGACGAAGGAGGATGGGTGATATGTGGTCTGACCGTCGGGATTGCTCTATCATTCTGGCTACGGTATTCTGGATGCGTTGTAGTTTGTTGATTTCTGAGTCTGGGAGGCGACTGAGTAGAGAGTTGCATGAGTCTAGTCGTGAAATGACGAATGCATGGACGAGTTTCTTCGTTGTTTTAGTGTCGAGGTACATCCGGATCTGTCCGATTTTGCGGATGGCAGCCATGGAAGATCTGCAAATGTTCTTAACTTGGGTTTTCATCGTAAGTTGGTGGTCAATGCTAACTCCCAAATTTCTTGCCTCTGCTGATGCCGCTATATTGGTGTCGCCTACCATCAGGGTAACGCTGGGATTGGGCCGATTAAGGAATCTTGATGAGAAATGAGTAACCTCTGTTTTCTTATCGTTTATGGCAAGTTGATTTCGAACAGCCCAACTTCTAATGTCCTTAATGCACGCGTTCAGTTTGTCGGTGAATGCATTACGTTCTGAAGGATGAAATATGGCATAAATCTGGGTGTCGTCTGCGTAGATCATGCTACTGAGCTTGTGAGCTGAAATGATGTCGTTGATCGGTGCGGTGTATAGGGTGAACGTAAGTGGCCCCATGATAGAACCCTGAGCAACCCCGCAAGTATCCTCGACAGTTCGTGAGGTACTGGTCCCAACTTTGACGACGTGACTCCGTTGTGAGAAGTACGATCTGAACCAGCTGAGGACAGTACCTGCGAGTCCATAACGACGGAACAATCGATCTAGGAGGAGAGGGTGATCGATCGTGTCAAAAGCGGCTATGAAGTCTAATTGGACGAGTATGGCTTCCAAGTGCTTGTCCAACGCAATCAAGATGTCGTTGTTGATGCGCAGTAAGGCCGTTTCTACACTGTGGTGAGATCTATATGCCGATTGTGTCTGAGGAAGCAGGTCATGTGATGTCAGGTATTCCTGTATCTGGGTAACTGCAACCTTTTCGATGACCTTGCTAATGTGGCTGATGTTAGAAATAGGCCGGTAGTTTGCAAGTTCTTCAGGTGAGAGGCCAGGCTTCTTCAGCTTAGGAATCATGACAGCTTCAGTGAAACAGGAACAACCCCAGATTGTAGACTTTCGTTGACAATCCTAGTCATCACAGGTAAAAGTTCAGATAAGCACTTCTTCAGAAGTGGTACAGGCATAGGGTCAAGGTCACAGGAGGATGTCGATGTGGACTTAAGAATGGTGAGAATCTCATCTTCTGTGGTGATATCGAATTATAGCATTGATGATTGATATGTCTCTAAGATATCGACGGATAGGTCATTATGAACCACATGATTCAGGTCATCTCGGAGATGGTTGATTTTCTCTTGGAAGCAGAAACAGGAAGCATTGTTGATACATTTAACTTAATGATGGTAAATGTGACATACAACAATGATAATATGTTTTGACCCCTTCACATATTATTACGAAATCTCACCAGACCAGGCCTGTCAACCGTTCACATTAAATATAAAATAGAGACGTAAAATTCATGAGACGAAACTAAATTGGCATGTTGGCATGCACCTACACAAACAACTAATTACTGAACTACTTAGTATATCAACGTTGTGATTATTTAAGAACTTCAAGGTGGAAGAACTATCTTAAACCACTTTAAAGGTACTATGTCCCTTTTGCAGCCAACCTCAAATGCTGTAGAACTTTGCAGGAATTATAAATATGTCATGTATGTCCTATCTGTGAAATTTAAACGTTAGCAGTGTCCTCATATTCAAATTATGCAAGGAAACCCGTTTACTTGCTAGACTTCACTGTCAGACACTATTGAGTGACTGACTGGCTTTTTTTCTTCTTTGGTAATAACATACATTAAAAGAGTTGTAAAGGGTACATGAGCATTTGTCTACATCAATAACCCACTTCTTGTGATGGCCAAGAGTAAACTGATTGAATCTTTGGGCAGCATAAAATGTATGACCATTCGGTACAATTGTCTGAAAATCAAGACTATTACTTTTGGGCTCTATAGCCCTAAAGTCGATTTGACAACTAATAGTCATTATTTTCCCACTTGAAGACATTTTCAAGCCTCACCTTTTTTAGGTGAGTTCTAAATTAGTATTATCTTTCAAATGCAGTTGGAATTTAACTTTTTAATTTTTTGGGCCTGCAAATGGGACATAGTACCTTTAAACAAAAAATCCGCATCACATGAATTCATTAAAACAATATAAATGTATTCGTGTAGCATTAGTTAATGGTCGATCGCACTGAGAAAGAGGTTCAAACGCATGGGCCCGAATTCACAAAGCAAGGTTTGAGCTCAAACCTGCTTTTGTTCTTTACAAACCAGGTTTGTAAAAAAAAAAAAAACGCGTAAAACGCGTCATATAACGTACGAAAACCAGGGTTTGTTGACAAACCTCCTTTGAGAATTAGGGCCATTTTGTAGACATGTATCGGACATATTTTCCGCCGAGTCTTCTCTTGAGGGGGCAAAAACATTTGTAAAGCTTTTCAATGTCTAGTTTATACGCTTCGTCGATCTTGTTCAGTACCTATCACGCACACACCACTCCAACGTTTGCCATATGAATTGCGTCTCATGTGTCTATGTGAATGGGATGTTCTTTTTACCTACCTCGTGGCGTATCCTACATGTAGAAATACAACAACCTAGATTTCGATAGATCGTATTATGGAAAGGAAATAATCCTTTTTTGTGATGACGATTGGCGAAGTCATTGAGCCGTGCTCTCTGGCCTATTCAAGACTGTTTGATTGCGTTGTAGAGGAGATTAATTATGTGTTGTGAGGTTTCAAATTCATCGAATATCATAGAAATTTTCCTGACTAAATCGAACAGGATACCGAACAGCAAATATCGAACAGCAAATATGGGTACATGGGACTAAAAAATAGCCTGTGATGTCAAACTTCAGTCTAGGATTGTAAAATCTTTCTGGTTTTATCGGGGGAAATGGGAGCACCTCGAGAATAATCATTTAATCGAGATATGCTAGAAAGCTTAAAGGTAAATATTCCATATTGAGGCAAGATCGGTGGGAAAGTTCACAAATTATCTTATAATAATAATAATAATAGAAATAATGACAATAATACATGTACTAATGATATGTCTTGTTTACCCAGTAGTCCTGTAGAAGTTTTTCCGATCTGGAAAAGTTGTTAAGTACAAGTTTTTGTTATTTTATTTGTGTTCTAGATGGGTACTGAAGTAAATTCAGCTTGGTTGCCAGCTTGGCAACCTCGGGCAACTTTTTTAATAGCCATATTAGCATAATCATCTAATTAGCATATGTGCAATTTGTAATAACGTTGCTAATCTCAATCTAGGAAGCCTGAAAACATGGATAATACGACTTTTCAAGAGTTTTCCTTGACAAGGAATTTATTTATGACACCAATTTTTATTTTTAAGTAATACACTTGTCTTAAATAGCATAATTAACACATATACAATACATGGACTTCATTTTCATTGTTTATCTATAAAGCCTAAAAATGGTGCAATGCAACATTGTTAATCACTTTTGAAAGATTAATCATTAATTCATGAGAAGATATTCCATATATGTGTAGTATAATTAGCCTAATTAGCATAATAATCTAATTAGCTTATTATGCAATATGTAATAATGGGCGCGTTCATGCTTGATTTTGAAGGTAGAATGAGCGATTTGTAACGCTCATCGGAAACGCTCATCGTAATCGCAGTTCCACGGTGCACTGTTCATGCTCACTTCTCCAGGCAATTCTCCTTGGGTGGCCTTCAGCTGGATTCGCAAACCTGTGTGCGCATGCTACGTAGACCCACTAGAGGTCAGTGCGTTGACCCCATTTAAACGATCGGCGATCGTGATCGCCGTTTTTCGGTGATTCTACAAAAGTGAGCATGAACGCAATCGTGTTTTAAACTAAACGCGTAACAGATGCCTGATTCTGGCCGTCAAAATCAAGCATGAACGCGCCCATTCCAGGCAGCCTGAAAACATGGATAATACGACTTTTCAAGTGTTTTCTATGACGAGGAATTCATTTATGACACCAGTTGTTGATTCCAAGTAATGCAATTGTCTTAAATAGCACAATGAGCATAATGAGCTAATAATCATGTGTACAATATATTGACTTTATTGTCATTGTGTATCTATAAAGCCTAAATATGGTGCAATGCAACATTGTAAATCACTTTTGAAAGACTAAATAATTCATGAGTATTAGTTGCAGTGTATATACGAATTATACGACATCTACATGGAAGATCTTCTAAACAATTAATGTGTTGTCTTTCAAAAGGTCATTTACAATGTTGCATTGCACCATTATTAGGCTTTGTAGATAACAATGACAATAAAGTCCATATATCAAACATATGCTAATTACCTCATCATGTTATTTAAGACAATTGCATTACTCAAAAATAAATACTTGTGTCATAAATGAATTCCTCGTCATGGAAAACCCTTGGAAAGTCACGTTTTCAGGCTTCCTGGATTAAGATTAGCAACATTATTACATACTGCACATTTATGCTAATTAGATGATTTTGCTAATCAGGCTAATTATACTACTTATACATGGAATATCTTCTCATAAATTGATAATTAATCTTTCAAAAAGTGATTTACAATGTTGCATTGCACAATTGTTAGGCTTTATAGATAAACAATGACAATGAAGTCCAGATATTGTACATATTATGCTAATTATGCTATTTAAGACAATTGCATTACTTAAAAATAAAAATTGCTGTCATAAATAAATTCCTTGTCATATAAAACCCTTGAACAGTCGTATTATCCATGTTTTCAGGCTTCCTGTATTGGAATTAGCAACGTTATTACAAATTGCACATATGCTAATTAGATGATTATGCTAATATGGCTATTTAATAAGTTGTCCAAGGTTGTAAAGCTGGCGACCAAGCTGAATTTACTTCAATACCCATCTAGAACACAAATAAAATAAAGAAAACTTGTACTTAACAACTTTTCCAGATCTGAAAAACTTCTACAGGACTACTGGGTAAACAAGCTAAGTGTTTTGAGATGAACTGTATTGTCTGCTTCTTATTCACTAAACTGAAGAAGAAAAGAAATCAGCTTTAAAAAAATAACTGCATCGGGATGTTTTTTCTTTTCAGTCACGATTTCGACGAACACCGGCTCCCCAGCTTTGAAGGGTATTCTGTTGCAAGCTCGTCGCACTGGCACCGATCAAATCATCGGTACATGGTCGTTAGCAGACACGACGGGTTTTCAAACGCTGGCGTGTAACGGTGCTAATTCGGCTGTAACGCATACTACTAACGATTACAAACCGGCTGCTATTCAATTGAACTGGACAGCTCCCGATGTCGACGGAGACGATATCTATGTGACGTAAGTAGGCATACAATGCAATGCTAGCTCAAAGACTTTCGAAAAATCAACTCATGGGAAATTTCATTACCCTTTGTCATATCCCGTAGAACTTATTTTGTGATTACGTAACAAATACATCATTGTTATGTTCGCACATTTCAAGATGTGACGTACAAGGCCATTGGAATTTCTTTATGTTGTGTTTTCTAAAGTATTTGTGCCCTTGTTCAATGCGATATCTGGTCCACTTTTGAAGTTAAGAGGTCGGTTATACGCCAAACATGAAATTACTCCGTATCCAAGATTCCATCGGTTTGTAGTAGAGGTGGAGGAGTCGATTTAGAGATGAAGGTTAGGTATTAGTGCAAGAGATGGACCATGGGGCAATTATTGCCAGAGAATTTTTCAAATCAAATAATCTGCATTTGACGCCCTCTTTCGACAAGGCGCGGTACGGTCAAGTCCCTAAAAAAACAATATCAAAATATCACTCGCTTCATTAATAAACGGTAGTACATTGGAATTACTATTTCCTTGTGTTGTAGCGTATTTCTACTATTTGAATTAATAATGTGTTTATAATCATCTTTAAATGCTTAATTTACCCAATGAAGATTAAAAGTTTTACTTAAAGCAATAAGTAAGATAATATGGAAAATCATTGACGCCCTTCATCTGCTTCTTAAAGGAGGGGAAGGTTGCGATGTCATATTTTTACAAGAGATGGTTTGTTTCCTTTTATTCATCTGCACTATTAGGGCGACATTTGTACAGGCACAGCCAGTGTTTTGGGTTGCAGAGAGGACAAGCAATATACAACGTAAGTAATGTTTCATGTCCTGAATTTAAACACACGAATCGCAGAAAGGTTAGAAGATCCCGTATTTATCAAATTAGAAAATGCTCACTTAGGAAGCGATAACTCAACGAGCATTTAATTTGTATGGTTTGAAATCAATCATGAGTATTTTTTGTCTTTGTATTTCCTTCGAACTGTAAGGAAATAGTATTTTGTTTAAGGAAAAGAAGAAAACTAATTCACTGGTTCTTTGAGGTCAAAGAAATGTACGTCCCTCGCATGTTTCACAAAATATTTTGTGACAAGACAAATCGCTAGCACAAGTTAACTAAGTTTGGTGCCTAAAAAGATATTACACGAATTATCACCAATCACTCACTATATATCCTAGAAAGGAAATGTAGAAATAATATTTAGTTCATATAATGTTTTAACATTGTTGTAGCACTTGCATTACTGCCACCAACCAGTAATTTTGTTAGAGATTGGTACATTATTGGCATACAGGGGGGTCATTAGCCGAGGGAAGGGGGGTGTATCAACGTTCCAAATTTTCCAAGAAACAAAAATATCCGACAACTGGTCGTCAGATTTTATAATTTCATCGACAGATGTTCAAATTTTCCTAATGAAGCAATAAAGAAATGTAAAATGCCACGTTTCTGGGGGGGGGGGGGTGATCAATCGAAAGGACATAAAAAATCAAAAAAATTGCCAAAGTAAAATCTTTAAAGGGGTATCACCATTCCACTTCTATTAACGTTCCTGGTAGCATATAACATAAACCTAGTACAGCCGCCAACAAATAGGCGAATGTTAAAGAAAATTCTATAATTATTAACGTTGATATCTAATTTGTTTTTCATATTTTTTGTTCGAATAACAAAATTAATTAATCACAATAGTATACAAATATACAATGACACTCCAGAAGCGGATCTAGAGGGGGGGTTGGGGGAGGGGGTTGCAACCCCTCCCCCCCCCAAAAAAAAAAAAAAAAATCCGGGGACCATTTTTTTAAATCTTATCTTTTTTTTTAAACTTGTAATTTTATTTTATTCTATTTCTATGTATTTATTTCATTTATTATTATTATTATTATTATTATTATTATTATTATTATTATTATTATTATTATTATTTCTTTTTGGGGGGAGGGGGGGGGGGTGGGTGAACAAATGTCACAGAGTCCCTTGCCCCCCCCCCCCCTCCCATCAGCTTTTTGAGGACACGGGCCACCGCCGAAGTGAAAAAAAAAAAAAAAAAAAAAGAACGCACGCTGGAGAGAAACCCTTTCAAGTGCAAATATTGTGAGAAGATTTTCAACTCATCTGGTAACTTAACCAAACACATGATAACTCTGGATATAACTGTGTATTTAACTGTTACTTGATTTAAAAAGACGTTATCATGCACTGCTTTTTATGGTCTCCATTGTGTTAATAGATGCCAGGAAAACATCACTTACGAATAAACACCCCAAAAAAAAATCGGCTCGCCGCTTCGCGGCTCGTGGACGATGCTCCGCATCGTCATTATTTTGGTCAACCCCCCCCCCTTAGCAAAAAGCTAGATCCGCCCCTGCACTCGAGGATCTAGCGGAAACTATTCGCATCGAAGGAACATCAACTAGTACTATTCTCCCGAGGGCCATCGGCCCAAGGGAGATAAGTAATAATGATGCTCCTGAGTGCGAATAGTTTTAGCTTGTTCCAAGAATGAGTCATCTTATATTTGTTTTATATCCCGTCCATCTGCATTATTCCTACATCTTACATTCAGATCTAAAAGAAATTAAAGAAAATCGCACGGCTGAAATGAAACATTGAAGGGCGGCGCGTCCGGATGTACAAGCGCAATTATCACGCGCATAGCGCGAATTGCATGTGCGCATGCTTAAGCGCTGTGCGCGGAGGCATTGAAATCCTGTACGCTCGCTGACGTCACGCATAGTATCTTTTTTCCTATGCGTGACGTCATCAATAAAATATTAACTATTTCGATGTAGTCGGCAGGAAACGTCTTTTACAGTAAAACTATTCCTTTTCTTGTTGTGTACACACCTAATGCTACAATCTTACGATAAGGGATATAATAACAAATATATGCTATTAATATTTGTTTTGTGCATACAATATGTATTGTTTTATCGTGTACATGTACATTGATTCGTTATCCTGGGAACTGACAAATAGACCTTCCTGTACTTCCAAGAATAATGTTTGTACTCAATTAGTGCCGGCATATTGCGCAACTATTTTGCTTCTCCGTTTAATTTGTTTAGTAATTCTGTTTGGTTATGTCTCCTTTTGTCATCCATAGGATCAAAATGAGAAATCACGATTTGCCTTCATCTTGTCTTGGCGAACAAAGCCTTAGATCCATGTGATACCAATAGCTGTTTTTATATAAGGCTTTCGATCATTACCTTCTTATATTTCTAACCTTGTAAAAAAATAAACCCCCTTTTATAATAGTAGCTGTCAAAATGGCGCTACCTGTAACGCTGTAGTCGGCTCTTTCACTAACTACACTTGTGAATGTCCAACTGGATTCATCGGAGAATTTTGTGACATGGGTCCGTATAAAATATTTTAATTCTGTATAAACTTATTTTACATTGAGTTGAGCTTCACTCATTGTTTTGTGTCGGTATATTTTTCCTCAAAATGATATTAAGTAATCGTCAGGTTAATCTCTAGTTATATATTATTGTATTGATTTCATTCCCCGATATATGTCATACATGTTACATGCTTGATGACAACCCATTCTTGTGCATTTAAGAAAGGACCATTGTATTCATATTTCATGAAACTGTATTGGATAATAGCCTTGTTCAGAGGAGGCAAGTTACCATGGGCTAAAGGTCGTGTGAAGAGCTAGTCGGGGTAAATATGGTGAGGTAGGTGTAAAGGTCGGAGTAGTGACCGTCTTAACAATAACCGTGTTAGCTACGCCTATCTTTACTCCGACCTATTTACTTCTTGATTTGTCCAGGAGTAAGTCGCTAACACGACATGAGCCATCTACTCACAGAGTTTGGCCAACTTGGTTTCACTGGGTCACAACATGGCGTATATTCTTTTGTTTTTTGTGCTTTTCCAACAAAGTAGTAGTCGCCATATTGTGTCCAACTCGAACCGGGTTGGGCAAACTCGGTGGAAGGTCGTGTTAACTTAATCGTGGCAAGTTGGTCCGAGTACAAGGTGTGGACAACTAGATGTTAACTGTTGCAGGATTCATTTACGCCGACTAGCAAGACCACGTCTGAAAAAGGCTATAGCTTCATGCTTTTTCGCGACCAATCTCATCAATAATTAATTATTATACATTACATATACTCGACTTTTTAACATTGTTTTGGCCTGCATAGCTGGTTTCGTTTCTGTCAATACAGACACAAAAATACTTGAATAAGCATTATGGCGATGTAAATGCCCTATTTGGTATGTATTCTTAAATTGTGCTTTTGGACTTTGTTACTTTCGTGCCTCCGACCTAGTGCCCAGTTGAGTTGATTATGTAATGTGGGGTATTTTTTGGTGTAGCATTGAAAACTATGCAAATGAGACTGCCCAAAACAAATTGGTAGTGACTGTTTCATTGTAGTTTAATTATTATACATTACATACACTCGTAACACTGGACGTTTTAACATTTTTGACCTGCATGGCTGGTTTAGTATTTGTCAATACAGACACAAAAATGCTTGAATAAGCGTTATGGCGATGTAAATGCCCTATTTGGTATGTATTCTTAAATTGTGCTTTTTATAATTACAATTGTTGTAATTATTACTATTATTATTATTATTATGATCATTATTATCATTATTATTATCATCATCATTTTTCTTATCATTATCATATTCATTATTATTATCATTCAAACGTGTTCCTTCTTTCTATTTTGTATTCTCTATCATTTAGAGTTAACAGGATGTTTGCGCGATCCTTGCCAGAACGGAGGAACATGTGCGTTCAACCAAAACGGGGATTTTGTGTGTGTATGCCCTGTGGGATACGCAAGCCCACAATGCGAGAGTGGTACGTGTTGGGTTTTCGAAAACATTGCTGGAAGGGAGGAGGGGCATCATATCCCCTCCCCCTCCATATTACATATGTTATACTATAGGTTAAATGGTGTATGATAAGCTTTCCTGTGCTCTATAATGACAGCTTATAACATTTCAAATATTACGTGTCTGTTTTTTTCTAGATTGGTCGGTACGCTCACTCGAATATCAATACATGCAGTGTTTCTCAACGTTTTAGAAACCCTATTTACACCAGCAGTGATAAGGGGTAGATGCTTTCAGTAGTACTAAAAGCAAGACTGGTGATAACTGTTCACTCGATTATAAGACAAACATCTAGATCTGCCGTTTATCAAGAATTATATATGAAAAGGGAATCCCTCTCACTGCTTAAGAAATGAAGACTTTTGAGATGTATTTCCCACGTATTCAACAACCACAATTGTCTTTGTTTGTTAGTTTGTGTGTTGTTCTTTATCTATGATCTAAAGGTTTGTTTCTTTTTCTTTTTTATACCAGCACTTACATGTGATAGTTCACCGTGTCAAAATGGTGCAACATGTTGGGAGAGCTTTTTCACAAATGAATTTCTTTGTTGGTGTCCTACAGGATATACCGGATTAAGCTGTGAGACTGAAAGTAAGTGTAGCCATTAAGAACACCAACTCTCTAAATGCACAGGAATCCTTTGATGGAAATCAACTTTTATTTAAGGAGAAATTGTAGTATTTTGCTATGATATTACTCATATATTCTATACCAAGTGATAGACCCGAATGGCCCGAATTCACAAAGGAGGTTTGTCGACAAACCTAGGTTTATGTGCGTCATATGACGCGTTTTGACGCGTTTCAGACCAAAGTTTGTCTGAGCCTTGGTCTAAAACGCATCGAAAACGCGTCATATGATGCACATAAACCTAGGTTTGTCGACAAACCTCTTTTGTGAATTCGGGCCATTAAGGCGAAGTCTCACTAGAGTTACGACCGGTGGCCGACTCCCGACAACTACTGATCGGGAGTTAGTCGGGAGTTAGCTGTCAGAGGTAGCAAGGAAATTCGTTGCAGTCTTTAAAACGTTGTCAGTGGTCGGCGATTGGTCTCCGGAGCGTTTTGGCTGGTCAGAGGTTTACGCTGCTGCATCGAAAGCATTTTGCCGACCAAACTGGTCATGGAAAAGTTTGTGTTGATTTTACAACGCCAGTGTTCTGTTTGTTGTCTACTAATGATAATAATACTACTATTACTTCTTCTTCTTCTGCTTCTAATATTACTACTAATACTAAGAATAACAATAATGATAACAATAATCATAATGATGATAATAATAACAATAGTAGAGCATAAATAATGATAACAACAAGATCAATGATAATAATAATGATCATAATAACAAATAATACAAACAATGACAATATAAAACAGAGGTGCATGTAGTATATTAGGGTCTTCTTACTCCTGCAACTGCCATGCGACTCATAAGGAAACAAACTGTCAAACTTTAGGTAAATATGATTTAGATTACCACGAGCCTCATAACCACAATGGTCCAATATCAAACTGATACAGCTTCTATATTATTGGTATCATTTTAAAAATGCTATTCCTACAAATATTACCGTTCTGCATAATGCAATTACAACTCAGTGTAATCCTAACGCTGTCAAACTTTTGAAGTCGCGTTTAGTATTATTTTGGACACATGAGATATCATCCTAGTCTTTACAATCGTTCAATGGCATACAGACATAGCCTTTGTGTTATTAAAAACAAATGTTATCATAATTTGGATGCAATTCTGATTTTATTTATTTTTAATTCAGCTCCTTGTAATTCTAGTCCTTGCCAGAACGGGGGTGATTGCACGGTAACTGGTGTCGCTTCATATTCATGCGCCTGTCCGCCACTTTATACTGGAAACAACTGCCAGACTTTGGGTAAGCATAATTCATGATTCGAAAAAACACGTTTCCTTCTTGTACCAAAATGAATATCACATAAATGTTTACAGCTGAATGTGTATTTAGACCAAGGCTGAATTACCAAAAGGCAAGCGGCTTTTCATGTATGACAACACACTAAGTTGTACATAAAAAAAAGGAAAGTAATAAAATAATTCTAAGTGATGTAACCCCCCCCCCCCCCCCCGCATGCTTTTCAGAGAAGTTCGTGTAATACATCTCAATTTACGTAATAAACAGTGCGTCCCAGAAAAAATGAAGCCGGGAATTATCGATGTTTTATCATAACTTAGTCTTATTTATAAGTGCATAAGTGATTAAAATGAGTTTGAAGAGAGAGAACCAAAAAGTCATTTGGCGGACGGTATCTGAATTTCAAAGAGAAAATCCCATTTCTAGAAAGTTGAGTTTCTACCCTTTCATATAACACCTCAATCAGGAAAAATGAGCAAGGAATGACAAAGTTCTGCTTTTTTAAGTAGTGCTTGCATTTTCATAATTGTATTAAACGAATTCGCTTTCACTGGCTGCCTGCCGTAGCAACTAGCAGAATTGACAAAAGACTTAACTCCGTTTCGTTGACAATCAGCCATGCATGAAGTCTTTTCTTTGTTTTTTTAATTTGTGGGAATTGCCCCCTACCCTAGCCCCCGCTGCGTACAGTCATGGTTCAGTGGTAAAGCAATGGCCTAGTAACTGTGAGGCCCCAGGATCGAAACCGTGTTGATGTGCAATATTAGTGCCCTTTTGTGGGGTGTTAATCCTCATTACTGTCATTAATGACTTAAGGGCGTAGGTCCCCTAGTTGATAAGCATAGTAGCATACACATGTTTTAGCAGTAACGCCAAACAAAAAATGGCAAATTATTATTCAATACAATCTGAGAATGTATACTATTATCTAGATCTATTAGGAATAAATCATTGTCAAAATAATTCCATAAATTGGGGTAAACAAAAAATCCAACTTAATGAGCAACAGTGTAGAATGCTGTCTACGTTTTATAAAGATTTTGCCTCTGTTGCAAACAACTTCATACTTAATTCTATTTGTGTTATCATAAATATATAAATCTCATTTTGTTACTGTTTAAGTTAGCTAGTAGTTAGCCAATAACATAATAGTTTCTTTTCCTGTCATTAAATGTTTACCAGTCTAGTGTAATACTTTCTGTAATATGAAAAATGAAAGCATTTTGATATTTGGCACCATGATTGAGGAAGAGTAGTGTCATTTCGATAGATTTTTTCATTTCATCCCTCGTTTAAACATCTAATCTTAACCGCTCTTAGTTTAACATAACACCATAACTTATTATAGTGCCGTTTACACCTTCTCATTGGCAGCGTGACAATCGTCGAATTTGGTAGAGTTTAATCTATTTGTTTATAATGACTTACTTGTAGGGGTGTAAAAGATTGACATGCATATTTTTATCTAATACTAAAGCACATATTTTAATTTTCTTATCTAAATCTATAAATGAATTTCCCCCATATTTCATTAACAAATTTGATACGAATTGCTGTTTGAAATGCTATTAAATGTGTAGTATTTACATTAAAGTATTCTCATAGTGCATATGAAAAAAAATCAAGACTCTTTCGTTATATAGCAAAACGTTTATAAATGATAAAAAGTATGTACAAGAAAGTGATTTTAGACTTAATTTGAAATTAATGTGATATTTTAGGTCTTTCCCATGTTATCACTAGGTATGTGTTTTCAGTCCATATGCCATGTACATCGAGTCCTTGTGGGAATGGTAGGGCATACGTATCACTCACGTTCGGTTACTCGTATATGTGTCCCGCTTGGACCACTGGATTACGATGTGAAGATACATGTTTGATTTTGATAGGATTAGTAGGTGTAAAAGCATGTTTGTGAACAACGATGCTGTTTCATTTGATGTACCTAAACACAACTAAATGAGCTTAATCCCTCTTTAAAGAACATAGTGGCTTCACACAATGTATCCACGATAATTATTTAGGAGTACGTGAGAACACATTTTGTGGCAGAGTATGATACACTGTGGCCCCCATAAACTATGTGAATACAGAGTAGATTTGACAGTTAATCATAGTGTGAACCAGGTAAAAATACTTCACTCACAATGTGTTTACACTCTGCCCACAGTGTCCATGGAAAATACACTTAAACAGATACAACCATTAATACTCTTTTGTAAAAACACTATGCGTACTGTAACAATTATATACTATAGAGGCTTTTCACTATATTGGAGTTTGGACACAATGTTGAAGTGCTAGCTGTGGTGACTGTGGACAGAAACTGTGTTTGCGTAGTTTTCGTACTGTGTGACAAATATACTTCTAGTATGAATATTACAGTGTTGCATAGGACGGTGTGGATATCTCATCAACGATCCGACTATTTCAGACTGATGAATAAATATTGACCAATTTGTCTCCTTCCTACCGCTTTTATTTTCATCGTGATTTCTGTGTGTGTGCTGCTGTGTGATTAATAAATTAATAAAGTATGTATTGCGTGCATGAATAATACAAATGATGTGAGTATGTGTGTCAATTTGTATAAGTATTTAGGTAAGTATAACATCTACTTTCGTAACATTCCTATCGGAGGTAGCACTGATATACTAATCTTCCATTAAAAGCACATAACTATGGCATGCATTAGTTATACTCCGGTACTGTACTGTTTATTATCTAAAAGACTCGTTTCATGTTTAATAACTTCGAATATTGTATTCTTGCTGCTATAAATTGTGTATATTTCGAAGAAAAAAAGCAGATATTAAAGTACATGTTTCAACATATTATTATGTATCCTTCACAGTAACTCACAAATGGTTTTCATGATTATAATTCTCTGCGGGTTTTTTTCAAGAACCGAGTACAGCACTTCGAAATGTTTAGTCTTAATCCAAATAATGTATGAAAACTTTGCGTCATAGCTAATGCTTATGTTTCTAAGAAAAAAAGAAAGAAATGTGCATCTCCCTGGAAAAGCTTCCGACCCAAATGGATGACTCCTTGTTTCTTTTATTTTAAGAAGTTTTATGATCTTCATGATATATTGAAAAGAAATGAAGATGTATGTTTTTCCGAGCCACGATGCATAAAACAAATATATTTTTAAGTGGGAGGCTTCTTATTTTAGGTAGAAATCCAAGTCAAAAATCTGTGATAGGAATAGATGTGGTCAAAGTTGCAATTATGTGAATAAATCATTAACGATATGCTTATAAAAAATCCATAAGCGAATTTATTTTCACAATGCTTTGTTACAAAAATGACATTTTGAGTTCTTTCCATACAGATTATATCTTAATATCCGATTATTTTGCAGCCGACACAACACTCCCGACGATTACAGGATGTCCAGGTGACATCACAGACACTGCCTTACCAGGAGATAATACACTCTCTGTTACGTGGGATGAGCCTCAAGCAAGTGATGCTTCCGGGATACAGAGCTTTACTCCTAATATTCAATCGGGATTCAACTTTCCTACTGGCCAATCGATATTGGTGGTCTACACAGCAGTGGACAACGCCGGTAACATACAGAGATGTGGCTTTACGGTCACTGTCAACGCCGCTTCCGGTGAGTGAAAAAATGGAAAACAATGCTATGCCCATTGCGCGATGAGGTGCTTCATTGCCTGACGTATATGTTAGTGACTGGTGTCGTCTTTGACGGGCAATGTGAGAGAGAAAAAGTACAAAAAGTGATGGAAAAAACATTGCGAACAATTCTGAGCGTATAGGCCAAAATTCGTAGGCTTGACATTAATACACAGGTGATAACGCAACGAAATGACGCCTCGTGTGCTAGGCGCATTAGAAACAAATGATTTACATTATATTTTTCATGGTGGTCATCACTATAGCATTTCAATGGTGATACGTAACAGTTGGACGTTTCCTTTCGGTAGTCTCGATGGTTCAAAGTATCTCCAGTTATTGCGGTGAGTGTGGAATTATGGTTGAGGTTACTACACTGTATTACGATCTGCATGAGCTTTAAAGCCACACTGTCCTACTTGCAGATACTTGCTCCCTATATACAGAAAACTTCCCCAATCGGTGCCTGTTGGTCCCCCATAATCCTCTATTTCTTATGTTAATTGAGGACTGAGATGATGAGATAGCCACCTGTCAGTGACCTTGCAGGGTAGTCTAATCCTTACTTTAAACTAGTGCAGATAAGCTTTAATCGGGGGCGTAGGTCCAAAGGGACATAGGACAAATGGGACATGAGCCCAAATCAGACATTGGAACATAATATAGGACCATTGCGCGTGCGTAGGAAATGGGAGAACTAAATGGATTACTGAATTTTGGCAAAGGCTCATACACTTAGGATACTGCTGATTTTCTCGCAAAAGTCCATTTTTGAGATATAGATAAATTATAAACAAAATTCAACTTCCCTTCAGTAAAAGTATTCCTTTATTTCCCCTCCCCTCTCTCTCTCTCTCTCTCTCTCTCTATCTACGTACTTAACTCTATCCCACTACCTTTATACATCTTTTCCTCTCTCTTCCATTCTTTTTTGAACATTTGTGTTCGATTATGTGTTTCGGAAACAGGTGTAAAAAGCACAAATCAAACCGTTACGCCTAATTCCCTGTCTTTTAGCACTAAACATTGCGCTTCACAATCTTAAATTTAGTTTGAATTCTAGCCGATTCTAGTCATTACAGATTAAAGATTAAAAAGAGCAGGATTATTTCATTCCATAAATAAATGTCGTTTTCCAGATCCCTGCAGCTCTTCACCATGTCAGAATGGTGGTACATGTTTGCCATCAGGAACTGGGTTTGTTTGCATGTATTATATTATATCCCATATTGGTGGGTTGTGTGACGCCTTAATCGGTATGTTTGTCTGTTGAACATCTTTCTGCATTGGCTCAATAATAACTGATACTCTTCCAGTATACTAGCCAGACTTTGGGGAACTTGCATCGATCCTCTTTCCTTTCTTAGCGTTTGTAACCTCATTTCAAACCTTTGCATATTCTCCACTCTATTTATCTTTTGCAGTGACACACCGCCAATTTCTATCCTCCGTTCCCGGTCGTTCCTATATAACCGAAAACGAAAAATATAAACTAAACATGTAATTTGATATGCTACCGATGTTACCAGTTCCGAACTAATAGCATGATTCGGACGGATGTAGGACTTGCTACATCAATACACATTACCTTCGTTCACATTAAAACTCAGGAAGCATATTTGGGGATTATTGAGACCTATCGTTTTCGTAGACGGGCTAATGAGACGTGCCCTTTGATTTGGGGCGCAGTCCTGATGACCGAAAATCTAAGAGAACGCGGGATAAAGGTCTATTCAACTTAACATTCGCTCTTGTAAAATTTCGATCTCATAAACATTCCGTCTATTTGGACGACCCGTCTAATATGGACCCCATTCTATCTTTGTTATCTCTCTCTCTCTCTCTCAGCGTATTTGTTTAAAAACCTTTTATTTTTCTGTACTATGATTTTGTCGTGTTTTTCTGTTTTAATTCATTGAGGTGGTGGACCTGACTCATTTTTCTTGTATCGAGATCGCCTTTTTCGTTGTTTTCAAATTACTAGTTAACCAAGTGCCTAACGGGAGTCGGATAGTTCCTGCCTAAATGTTCATGGGGAAATGGAAACTTTAGAAGTCAAGGGGTTAAGGTGATGGATATGGCTGCTTGCTCTGGTATCACAGGTGCTTCGTCTTACACTCTCGGTGCTTTGGTAACTTTCTTTATGGAAGCATTATTTTTTAATTTTTACTCGTTGCTTGTTTGTTTGTTTATAAAATGTTCTTTGTTATGTTTGAGATTCAATTAAAATATTCTGGGTGGAATATTCCTGAACTTTGGTATCGAGGAAAAGGTTTAAAGTTGCTTGTCAAATGTGTCAAGAAGTATTTTGATTCTTGTTATGATATGAGGCTGCCGGTTGTATTTTTAAAACGCATTTTAAAATACAAAAGGCTGTGCAATGATGAAAATTATCATTTACTTATTCTCGAGATGTCTCGATATTTTTCATTTATATTATTGATTTTATATACAACATTCTTATTGTATGGCGTTAAAAGAGGGAAACCGCATTTGTCTGTCTATTTCTTTTATTTTAAGTATTTGTTGTTAAATGTTGACGATTGCTTTTTCACTTAATACAGTGAACCCATGTCTCTCAACCCCGTGTCAATCCGGCGGGCAGTGTAATGCAGCAGATGACTTCTCTTCCTTCACTTGCCAGTGTGTGTCACCTTACACTGGAACAACATGCAACCTAAGTTCGTATATTGTTCAAAATATGTAGCAATCAATGTTAGCACTACAAAGTAAAATAATGGCTTTGAAATAAATATACTTAAGCTGTTTTCGCCATCCGTATTTCACCACCTCTTTCGTTGATGCTGCTGATATCAGCCTTTTGTTAATTCTTGCGTTTTATTTACTCGCAGGGTGAGATAAAAAGCTTAAGTATGTCTCATCTAAAACTAGTCTTCGTATCCTGTTGAAAAGTACCCATTTTTGTCATTTGTAGCTCATTATTAAATCTCGGAACATGGTCCTTTTGGCTACATAGAAAAAAAATGTATCAAGATAATCGGATGAATTATTACATCAACCAAAAGTGCTTTGGTGCTTCCTTAAAAAACAGCAGATTTTCCCCCGGGATTTAGGGACACGGAAATTGACACTCTTAATCCAAAAGGCAATGCAGTAAAAAATATCTGATCGAAATTACTATCTTATATACAGTGTGAGTCAAATAAAAGTTTACACCTAGAAAATTTTAAGAATCATCTATGAACAGTTTTGTATGTAGTTTATGTTAAGGGCAGTGATTTGTGCATTGAGCTTCTGTGTCATGAAATGGTACAAATATACAATCCAAAAAAAGTTGACGATACTGTTTCATGTTGTGGTGTTCATTCGTTATCGATTAGTCAAAATGAAGAAACTTTAACTATCTACATTTCTATCTTTAACATAAATTTTTTTAAAATACGCATATCCATAGTTTGCAGGAAATGTTGTTGAGGGATTGTCTTAGAATTCATTAAAAAAATACAAAATGTGACAAAATTCATTTCCATGAAAAATAATTTTTGATGAGAGATTAAGATTTCTTCTTTTATTTTTCATCTCCTTCTCCCTCAGTTATTTATCGCGGCTATATGCCAAAGTCATTGTTCCGGTTATTATGACATTATTTTTCATATAAAAGCAAAATTGTTTCTTATTTCAACAAACGGATATCTGATTTTTTTTATTAACTTTTCCCCCCATACGATTGTATTTGTTAATTCCCTTTTTTCTTGTTATTAATTATTTTCTATACATATAACTCCAGTACTTACTACGCCCGCATCAACCCCTACTGTAGTAACAACACCAGATACTGCTAGAGAGTCAGCAACACCAACCACACCAACCACTTCTCCAACAACGCCGTCAACAGAACTCACAACGCCAACGACAGATTCCACAACACCATCAACAATGCTGACAACATCTGCAACCACTGAGTCATCAACCCCCGATGACACAAGTATATAGCGCTATTTTGTTAATTTATTTAAACATATTTTAAGGCTGTTCTTCAGTAATTTCGTAATCATGTACATATTGCACAAATTATGAAATACATAAACATTATAATTTTTAAAAAAAGGAAAAAAGCAGAGAGCCAAGTTAATACGTGTGTGTACGTTTTATAATGTTAATTGGTCAGGTGAAGAAAAAAATTATTAGTAAATGCTATCATCGTCAACTAGCTTAAGATCTTATGACGCAATGATGTGGAGTAACCACACCTTGGCCTCAGGAAGGGGGAAATTTCTAAGCAAACTGTGACCCATACAGGGGCGGATTCAGCCGGCGACGAGGGAGGTGGCCTAATTAGGGGGGGGGGGGGGTTAATGAGCACTAATTATTTTTCTTTGCCAGGGGGGGGGGGCGTCTCCTTTTTTGGTAAAGATAAAATTGTTGTTTTCCTCTTTTTTTGCCAGTGGTGGGGGCCAGCCCCCAGTTGGTTAAATGTGATTAGATGAGTGGATTGCACTTTGATAGATTTCACTCCAAAAGAGGCGCTCCGCAATTACAACCCCCTAAAAGTGATTTTCCACTCCTGTACATTCAGACAGCTGCTGCTAGTTTCTCCAAACCGTCTTAAGTCTAAGTTACCCATGTTTCAATAGGATATTCAGGAGGCTTACTACATCTGAAAGATATATTAAGATAACCGTGTTGTTAGTTGATATAGTTTTCTCTCTTCTCTTTTCAAGAATCTTTGACGCGAGATATTCTCAAATATTTGTGTTTTTGTATAAAAATACAAAAGATAAAGATTTTATTCCCTTTCTCACTGCGCTTATTGAACAAGTATTTGTGTTGACTTGTGGTAATATGCACATATAGGTTATGTACATCGATTATAGGTAAATATTATATTAAGGAGTGATTTGCATCGACCATGACTATTACGTGACAAAAGAAATTCAGAAACACATTGAAGAAATTTCAAATATAATTTTGTTTTCTAGTTCGATCGGTACACTCACTCAAATATCCATACACGCAGTGTTTCTCAATGTTTCAGAAACCCTATCTACATCAGCAGTGATAAGGGGTAGATGCTTTAATCTATCAAGGGTATAAACTAATTTGCCCTCCCCTTCACCCCCAAGACAATTGAGCATACTACTTTGTTCTGTTCTCAGTTCCCAATACTTGACATTTCCATATTTTAAAACCATTTCTTGTGTGTGCGTTCCTACGCTCTGTTTACTAATGTAGCTAGATATAAACAGTAGCGTCTTCAGACTGGCAAGAACCCTTTCTTCCAGTAGTACTAAAAGCAAGTGATGATAACTGTTCACTCTATCATAAGAAAAAAATCTAGACCTGAAGTTTATTTACAGTGCGTCCCAGAAAAAACGAAACCGAGAATTATCGATGTTTTATCATAACTTAATCACAATATTAATTAATAAATGTCACATATTTTGTAAAGCTTAGATCCTCCTATTTCATTTGATGCAACTCATTTGATGCATATTTCACGCATGTGTGATTATAAACAATTTGAAGAGTAGGTACCAAAAAGGCCATTTGGAGGGCGGTATCTGAATTTCAATATCAGAAAATCACATTTCTAGAAGGTTTATTTCCTGCCCTTTTATATGACACCTCAATCAAGAAAAATGAGCCAGAAATAACAAAGTTCTGTTTGTTTAAAGTAATAATTGCATTTCCATAAGTGATTAAACGAATTCATTTTCACTGGCTGCCTGCCGTAGCAACAAACAGATTTGACAAAAGGGTTAACTCCGTTTCGTGGACGATCAGCCGGGGCTCAAACCGCAATCCGGTGACATATTCACACAACCACGACACCTCTCTCTCTATATATATGGCTCCTACGTTTGTTTGTTTTCAGTTACAACTACAACTCCGTGTAACCCTAACCCTTGCCAGAACGGAGGAACGTGTAACCAGAGATCTGATACTTCGTACACCTGCACCTGTCCCGCCACTCATGTTGGGTACAACTGCGATATCCCTGGTAAATATGATTACAATAGTTGTACCACTACTGCTACTACCAATACTACTACTACTACTACTACTACTACTACTACTACTACTACTACTATTACAACTACTTCTACTACTGTTGCTACTACTACAATAAATTATATTACTACTACTACTACTACTACTACTACTACTACTACTACCACAACTGCTACTACTACCACCACCACCACCACTACTACTACTACCAATACTACTACTACTACTACTACTACTACTACTACTACTACTACAACTACGTCTACTACTGTTGCTACTAAACTCGAAAATACTATTGATATAAATATTGCCGTTCTGCTTAATACAATTACATCTCCGTATAAACCTAACTCTGTCAAACTGTTGAACTCGTGTTTACTATTATTTCGGACACAGGAAAAATCAACCAAGTTTATATAATCATTAAATATCATACAGACATAGCCTTTGTGTTATCAAAGCAAACGTTATCATATTTTGGATGCAATTCTGATTTTTTTTTTTTTTGATTTTTTTTTGTATTCAGCTCCATGTAATCCTCGTCCGTGTCAGAACGGAGGTGTTTGCACGGTGACTGGTCTCGAGTCTTATTCCTGCGCCTGTCCACCACTTTATACTGGAATCAAATGCCAGACCTCGGGTAAGCATGTTTCATGATTCGAAAAAACACGTTTCCTTCTTGTACCAAAATGAATATCACAAAAATGTCTGCAGCGTAATGTGTATTTAGAACGAGGCTGAATTCCCCCAAAAGGAAGCGGTTTTTATGGGGCTGCCAGAACAACACACCAAGTTGTTCACTTTCTTTTCCTTCAGCTACAACTCTATGTATTCCTAACCCTTGTAGGAACGGGGATGTTTGCACGGTGACTGGTGTCACTTCTTATTCCTGCGCCTGTCCACATCCATGTACTGGAAACAACTGCCAGACCGTTATCAAGCACGTATCAAGATTTGAAAAACAGTTTTTAATTATTGTACCCGGTGGATATGACATCAATGTTTACAGCTATATTCGAGATGAACGAGGCTGAATTCCCAGAAGGCAAGCGGCTTTCTTCAGGACTGCCATAACAACCCACCTAGTTCTTCTATTAAGTCACCTGTACATGTACATCCGGGTTCGCTGTGGACGACTCCTCATTTATTGCTGTATCGCTTTCTTTTAATGACAGCATTCTTTGATCATTTTTCTCTTCAGGCAGATCGCTGTGTCTCTTACTTCTACATGAATTGATTTCATCCAAATATCCTTCCTTCCCTTTCCATTATTATATCTTTTTTTACAGGGTAATGACATTTAAGGTTAGATTTGGGATACAAAGTTGTTATACAACTGCACATCTACAAAGTCTTCTTCGAGACGTCTAGTTTCTACAATGTTTCTCGAGCTATGATTAATACTTGAAATGTATTACATCTCTTCACAGGATTATTCATTATTTCAGAATACTATGACCGGACGATATACATCTCATCTTGTATTGACATTATAACCTATTATGTTACTTATTTCCCTCATTTTTCTATCGTTCCTCTAAAAGCAAATGCTCATCTGGAAACTCTTTGATTAAATCCTCTTTTTTTTTTAGGTCTGGGTCCTAGTTTTTCCGGATTGATCCGGATGTCAAACTTCAATCTCTAATACCTTAAGTAACGGAGTTGTAATTGATATCAGGTTGTAATCATTTTTAATCAGTAGCAACTGATCATTAGACGGGGCTCAGATCTTCCTTCCCAATTCCTTTGAACATTCATACATTATTTTATTCATGTTATTCACACGTTACACGGTTTTATGGGTAAAATAGCCGTTGCAAACAGTATCATAAGATGATTCATGTAGTAGCACACCTTTTCGATATGGAGCAACCTGCACGCAAGTCTTCCCTGGTTCTTCAACATTCACCTGTGCCTGTACTTCGGGATTCACTGGAGATGACTGCTCTTTTATCGTGGTAAGCGAGTAATAAAATTCGATTCAATTAAACAAAATCATTACTTATAGTAATTCTGTATTTGGTATAACAGAAATAACAAAAATCAAAGATATAATTGCAATAAGTACAGTTCACATAAACAGCTGAGTACAAATGTCAAAGTTAAGGTTAACATACATGTATAAATAACCAAAACAATAAATACTACCTCAGCCCTTTTAAGGAATACATGAATATTCACAGAGTGGTAAAGACGTGAAGTTTGATATCACGTGTTGGGGATACCATGCAGTGCCATTAGCAGGGGTGGTTCTAGAGCGGGCTTAAGGGACTCAAGCTTTCTAGTTTCGGCTTGTTTATAAATAAATGAATGAATGAATAGATAAATAAATGAACCCCAAGCCCCAAGTATATAGTGTGTACATGGATAGTACATATGATGTGAGTATGTGTGTCAATATGTAACAGTGTTTAGGTATGTATACCATCTACTTTCGTAACCACCTACTATATCGCAGGTATCACTGATATACTAATCGTCAATAAAAAGCACATATGGCCTACGTTAGCAATATATACTCCAGTACTGCACTGTTTACTATTTAAAAGACTCTTTTCATCATAAATAACTTCGAATATTGTGTTCTAGCTGCTAAAAATTTGGTATATGTCGAGGACAAGATCAGATATTAAATACATTGTTCAAGAGCCGAGTATAGCACAGATGTTCAGTCTTAATCAAATGTATGACATATTTGAATCATAATAACGGTACTGGTTCTTAATGAGCTTAATAAGCATACATCAATGTGGCTCTAATTTGAATAGCTTCCTACCCAAAATGGATAACTCATTGTTTCTTTTATGATGTTATTCGAAGAAATGTTATGACCTTCACGATATACAGAGAAGAAATTAATGTGAAAGTTTTTCAAAGCCACAATGCATTAAACAAATATTTGTTTAAGTGAGAGGGTTCTAAATTTAAGTAGAAATCCAAGTCAAAAAGAAAACTGTGAAAGGAATAGAAGTGGTCAAAGTTGCACTTATGTAAATCAATCCTTAATCATATGCCAGTCAGAAATCCATAAGCGAAACTATTTGCACTATGCTTTGTTAAAAAATTGACATTTCGAGTTCTTTCCATACAGATTATATCTTAATATTCGATTGTTTTGCACAGACCGAACGATTACAGATTTCCAGGTAGCATCATACAAACTTCTGCTCCAGGACAGACTACATTCTCTGTTAAGACCCCATCACACCAACCTAGTTCTCACTACGTTCTGGAACCGTCCTAGAAAATCGTAAAACGGGTTGGGGTCGACGTAGTCCAGAATCTGCCCGGTCCTTTTTAATTCCCTACACACTTGATTCAAGTCGTCGAAGATGGCGTTATCAACAAACTCAAAATTATGCTCACCAGCCCATGCCTTGAGCCATAATGCATGGCCGTAGAGAGGATTTTTTTTTTCTGTTAGGGACCGGGGAGAAATTCAATGAATTATTGAAAATGTATTGCATTTTCTTTGTTTTGTTGTTTATTTGTGGGAACTGCCCCCTACTCTAGCCCTCGCTGCGTACAGTTATGGTTCAGTGGCATAGCAATGTAACTGTGAGGCCCCAGGATCAAAACCGTGTCGATGTGCAACATTAGTGCCCTTTGTGGGGCATTAATCCTCATTACTGTAATTTAAGACTTAAGGGCGTAGATTCCCTAGTAAAAAATTATTAGCACAGTAGCATACACATGCTTTAGCAGTCACGCAAAACAAACACTGGCAAATTAATATTCAATATAATTTGAGAATTTATACTAGTATCTAGATCTATTAGCAATAAATCATCGTCAAAATAATTCTATAATTGGGGTAAAACAAAAATATTCCAACTATATGAGCGACAGTGTAGTTTGGTGTGATTGGGGCTTTACGACTGAGGTTCAAGCAACTGATGATTCCGGGATATTTTTCCATCGGGATTCGGCTTTGCAATTCCTAATGAGCAAACGATAACGGTGGTCTACACAGCACGGGACAACGCCGGTAACAGAAAGACATGTGCCTTTACAGTTAGTGTCAACGCCGCTTCTGGTGAGTTAAAAAAAAATAATATCATGCCCATTGCGTTAGGTACGCCATTGCCTGACGCGAGACTGCGTGAGCGATTAGGTTGGTCTTTGACGGGCTATGTGAGGGGGAAAATTATGTAAAAAGTTATTGAAAAGAATATACAATGCGATCAATACTTAGCGTATAGGCCAAAATTCCTAGGCTTGATTATAATGTACAGGTAATAACGCAAACGAAATGACGCCTCCTGTGCTAGGCGCGTTAGAAAGAAGAAAAAAAACACTATATTTTGCATGGTGGTCATCAAGGGGGTATCCAAGATTTTTGAATGGGAAGTGATATTTTGCCCAATTCGTGAGAAAATATTTAGCGGCGAATCAGCCAGTCGATGAATAAGCGGGTTGGGAAATGGGGGAGGGGAGGCGAAAGACGTCATGCATGGCTGATTGTCAACGAAACGGAGTTAAGTCTTTTGTCAATTCTGCTTGTTGGTACGGCAGGCAGCCAGTGAAAACGAGTTCGTTCGATAAAATTATGGAAATACAAGCACTGCTTTAAACAAACAGAACTTCGTTATTCCTAGCTCATTTTTCCTGATTGAGGTGTCATATGAAAGAGTGGAAACTCAACTTTTTAGAAATGTGACTTCCTATTTGAAATTAAGATACCGTCCGCCAAATGAATTTTTGGTTTCCTCTCTTCAATTTGATTTTCATCACTCATGCATGAAATATGCATCATATGAGTTGCATCAAGAGATAGAAGAGGATCTAAGCTTTCGATTAATATGTGTCATTTATTAATCATAAATGTAACTAAGTTATGATAAAACATCAATAATTATCGGTTTCGTTTTTTCTGGGACGCACTGTATAATGATCAATTTGGTTATTGCTTGGATGATTAAAAAAAAACTTACAAAACAAAATGATTTATATTCGCAATCAAATCAACAATTCTTATATATATATATATATATATATCATCCAGATAGTTACAATCACAATGTAATCTTGTTGATAACAAGGTTAATAAGTTATCCTTCAAGCTGTAAGCCTTCTCATTGTGTATCTTCTAATTCTAATATCTTAGTTTTGCAGTAGTCTAATGAACTACGTTTTCTTTCGTGAATAAAGGCCTACACTTTTATTAACAACTAGGTCATTGTATTACCATTACACATAAAGATTCCAAATTTAAAAAATAAAAGTATTAATTAAAAACATTTGCTCTTCATTTTATTGAGTACATATTATCTGAATGTATGTTATTTCCTAAATTTAGTTTATATCATTTCCTATATGTTAAAATCTTCACCATGAATGTTAACCTCATGCTTGTAATATCTCGTGATTTTTTCCTCTCTAATAATAATGTTATTAATAAACAAAAGTGATCGGTATTCTATTTTTTATCTGGAAACAAAAACAAATATATAAGGAAGAGTCTATTATAATATTTTATAAACGTGAGATATAAGAATAGTTATATTGAGCAGACAGACAGTACGACAACAAGATATCTTTTCTCCTCTCTTTTCATTTTGATAAATATATAATTGTCGGTAAAAAAAATTAAAGCAAGTTCTCGGTTTTTAATATGATTAACTTTTGCATTCTCGAGACTATAAGAACATTATATTTTTTTCATCAAAACTGAACCACCATCCCCCTTTAGACATGTTTTGAACGGTGTGCGGAGTCCCTTGGCTATGAATTGTTTGTGTGAATCATTCATGAAACACACACCCACATTATACAAAAAAAACGGCTCACCCCCCCCCCCCTTTTTTTTTCACTAGATTTTTATTAATATAGTGTAAGGTTGCGTTTAAGCTACTGTCTCCTCTAACGATCATTCATGGGCGTGGCCACGATACAGGGATTGGGGGCACGTCCCCCAATCAAGTGTCATAAAGAAGAGTAAGAGACAAGGGGGAGAGAGAAAGATAGAGAAAGAAAGATAGAGAGAGAATGGGGAAGAGAAAGATAGAGAAATACAGAAAGAGAAAGAGATATAAAGAGAGAGAGAGTAAGAAAGATAGAGAGAAAGGGAGAGTAAGAGAGGGAGAGAAAAGGGAGAGTAAGAGAGAGAGAGAGTAAGAGAGTAAGAAAGAGAGAGAGAAGGGGCGTGAGGGGAGAAAGATGAACTGAAAGAAAAGGCTACGACCTTCCATACCTCCGCAAACATGCCCTTGTTATGTTGTACTTCATTTCTCTAAAAACGTAAGAGCCGCCCCATCAATGTCTGGATACACCCTACGCCTTTAACCATACCTCAGCCTACACTATGAACATGACTGACAAAGAAAGCGGACAAAATATACAGTTCCTCAGGTAGACAAAGGAACATCCCTTCACTGCTATTATGTAAAACAGGTGTCACATGCATATTCACCTTTTTACATAATAGCAGTGAAGGGATGTTCCTTTGTCTACCTAAGGAACCGTATATTTTGTCCGCTTTCTTTGTCAGTCATGTTCATAGTGCTATCCTGTCTATTTAATGAAATAAAACTCTTATTCCACATTTAGTTACTACACCACTACAAAGGCTTCACAGTCGCCCTTTTCTTTGTCCTTGTGATTCATATATTGAATTGTTCGAATGATGATATTCATAGGCTAGGCGCATTCGTGTCACTCGTTTGTGCTATAAGAATAACAATCAATATGTCATAGACTTACATCCATGCAGCATTGATAAGTATATAGATACAAAGGACCATTCGTTGGTTCCATACAAAGTATCTGATAGGCATTAAGTAAAATAAAATAGGAAATTATTTATTCAAACAAATCCTACCCATCGCTTTCTATCTTTAAAAGGTTTTAGGATGCATTTGTATTTTTCGACTCCTGACGTGACAAATATTTACTCTTTGAATTGAATTCAGGCTAAGTTAGGCTAATGGAAAAGGCGGACAAGGTCATGTGTCTATGAGGCATGGTTCACATCTAGGCCATCATAATCCATTGTACAAAAACAATGCATTGATTTTTTTTCTTCAAAATATATCTGGTATCCCTACATATTCATATTCCATACAGTGAATTACCCGGAGGCAGATTTTCTTGTGTTGAAATTAACGGCTGCAATTTGTTGGACTAGTGAAAAGGGGCAGATTACTGGCGCCATTTGTTGTCATTCTAGTTTGACCGGCTGGAACCTCACCCAAGGTATTGTATATTTATACATGTATATTTCTGTTTTACGTCAAGCATATAAAATTTCCTAAAATATCTTTGATTTTAGTTGATAGATATATAGATATTTAGATATGTTCTCCAGTTAGAAGAAAGGGACACGTGAAAGAAATTTTGATTTTATGATAGTTTTTTTTTTCTATCAGTATTACTCAACGCGGTATTAAAATGAAAGCTTGTTATTACAATTGTCTGCATCTAAGAAATTAACTGGATATAAATATCATTCCTGGGTATTTGGACTCTTGTCAACACTGCACCTTTACTTATTTTATTAATCAGATATAGATTTACTACTACTTAAATCTTGTGACCGAGAATCGGTGAATTCTCATGATTTTCAGACATCATGTTCAACTTATGCGAGTTACTATTACCGGAAAATAAATGATATCGTTAAATAATTAATCAATTATAATTTAATTTAGACCATATCTAAACAAAACTGGTTAGAAAAAACTGTATAAATATCTAAAGTGTACGTTTTGTTGTTTCAACACGATTACTTTTAATTTGCTAATTGTGCAATTGCTCACTGTTTTCTTTTTATTTTATTGATTTTATTCAGTATAATGACTTCATATCAAACAAGAAAGGCAGGAAACCTAATGCGGATCCTGATTTGCATATTGTCATCGTCGTCATGGTATTACAACCTATCTGTAGAAGCCTATTCTACTGGGGCTCCAGTCGATACAAATCCGGACATATGCAACACCATGACGCCAAACCATCAGGCGGAGGCTACGACCACTCATAATCCATACCATATATCGGTAGAGAGTCTACAATACACTCCAGGCCAACCACTAAGAAGCAAGTATACTTGGGTCTTAATGTCTGTGATTATCAAACTGGAAAAGGAGAATAAGTTAATGTACCAAACGTTATTTCTGTTTCCGGACAACTTCAACCAGTCGACAGGCATACTGGCCCTACCCCCCCCCCCCTGATAGTCTTGCCCAAAAATCAAGGATATTTCCCACCCAGTATTTTCTACCCAGTTTCCGTTTGGATTTAATTTTTATAAAATAAATTTGTAAGTAACCGTGTACGTATCATACGCAAACTTTAAAGATTCAAAGTCATTGCAAATGAACGGTAACAAGAATAGATTCATCCAATTTGTAAGAAATAATGTCTACCTTTGCAGTTACAGTCATCAAGAGTACATCCGACCCGGACAGTGTAGGCTTCATGGGTATTTTCATGCAGATGCGACGTACAGGAACAGACCAGATAACTGGTACTTGGTCCGTCACCGATGAGACGAACTTCAAGACAGTATCCTGTCAAGGTGTAAGCGACAGCGCAGTGACGCATAGGAACAACATCCAGAAGGTTTTCCTCAATACTTTCACGTGGAACGCTCCCTTTGGTGAAAATGCCGTTGTTAACGTCGTGTGAGTATGTGTGCGTGTGTGTGTGTGTGTACTTACTTACTTATTTAGTATATGTTTCTTGAGTTGAGAATGTAAGCAGACATCCAGTGAGTGAGTAGTGTGTGTGTGTGTGTGTGTGTGTGTATGTAGGTGGTTGAGTGGGTGAGTATGTGTGTGGGTGGGTGGGTGGTTGTGTTTGTGTGAGGGAGGGGGCAGGGAGGAGCAGGCATTGTTCCAGTAAAATTTCCTCCAGATTTGTCTTCTTTTTTAAAATATAAGTGAATAACATTTACAATATTATGTTTAGGTACTTATAAGTTTAATTTGTTGCTAAGTTATATATACTGCAAATAAGTTTTTGTTTAATAATGTTTATGTATAAGCAATCAATATTGGAAACATTTATTTTATTCAATTGTATGTTATTGTTTGTATTACACATTTGGAGAATTTTTTTTAATTTTTTTAAATTTAAGTGTATGCGTGTGCGTGTTCGTGTATGAGTGTGTGATTAAATAACGCTGCGTTCTGATCTTGCGATTAGATTGTAAAAGAAACTGTCTAGAAGTAGTTACGAAAGGTTGATTATGTAGTAGATGAGTAGCGCTGGGTATTGTAAGGTTTAGGAATCATCATACTGATAGAAAAAAGACTCAATCTTGGGGAAATTCACATGCACTGCACATTGGAATTCATATATTGGACTTCAAACACGCATGTAATGAATAATTGGTCCAAACAATTCAGCTATTTCTTGTCATATTTTGAATATATGTTTTCAGGGAATTATTTTCTCGAGGATATTCGGAACAAACATGAAAAGAATCAGAAAACTCGCAAATTATTTACTATAACTCGGCCTTTTCTTGTAAAGTATAAACCTCCGATTAGTCAAAACAATTCAAAACCGGGGTGGAGAGGAGCAGAGGAAGTACGATGCCTTGCCTAGGCCACAAGTGTCGCACTGTGGTTCAGACACGTGACCTCTACATCCCCAGTCTAGTGATTATACCACTTCACTACGGCACCTTGACAAATCATTCACATATATAGGACGTGTTCAATTATTCATACGATTCACTTTAACTCCTGTGTGTTTGTTTCATGTTTTTCCTGTTTGCAGGGCTACGTACGTCGATCAAAAGACGACATTTTGGGTGAAAGAAATGGGGCAAACCCTCTCGAGTAAAGGTAGGTAGAAACAATTCATGATTCTTTTAGTCATTTGTCAAGACAGCATTATTACAGGTCTCACTGTCATAGGCCGGATTTATACAAGTCATGTCCATATATAACCCGTACGATATTACACTAATAGCGAGTTTTCGCAACCGGCGACGCGGCCTTCTAGAACGCTAATCTTAGCTAGAGGGTCGCACTCAGAGCGAAAATTTCCGCGTATCGACCAATCCTACGTCGGTATTCAGCCATGTAATAGGGACTTTTCGATTTGCACGACGAGAACGTGGACTGCAACGTGTGACATCCTTAATACATTCGTTGCTAATTCCCATTTGCTTTAAATGTGCTGAAACTCACCCTGTCAGTGCCTTAAAAGGACGTCACACGTGACTGCCAGTGCCATAAAAGAAAGTCACACGTCCACCCAAATCGAAAAGACCCTAATGTCCTGTGTCGAGCTAGTACAGGGTGGCGAGCTCATTTAAATACCCCATACTCAGCACTTGCGTCGCCGTGCGAAAACTCGCTACCAGTTGGTTGGGGCGGAGGCGGTTATCACTTATTTTGGTATAGTTGACTGGAACACTACACAAAAATCAGCTTTACCCACACGTGGAGTATCTTATTTATATAAACCTAGTATAACAATCTGTTGACAGCGATTCGAAAAAATTAATCACATAATATTTTTTAAAGTATTCTTCCACCTCAATCTCGTAGGGGCTTGACATGTTATTCAGGACTGGTATCTTTGCCAATCCCTATACTCTTACTTTACAATCTGATGTTCTTCATCCGTTATTTACAAATGTATTGTAATTCCATTTTTTTTGTCTTTGCTGTTACTTTAACATTTTAGTCTTTTGTTATGATTATCTTCAATGTACATTTTTGTCCGTTTGCGATTGCCAACAAATTTCATATGTTTTATAACTTATATGGAAATTAATTAATTTCAATTTGAATGGTGTAATTTCATATTAACATGCAGCATCCGGGCTATGTAATACGAACCCATGTCAGAACGGTGGGTCATGCCTACAAAGTGGAAATTCCTTCACCTGCACTTGTCCAACTCCCTACACCGGAACAACCTGTCAAACAATAACCGGTAAATATGAGTTGAACCACACTTCATGATGTTGATAAAGTCGATTTCTGATCTTTTCCACAACGTATTTGTGAAGGAAACGGTCTAGAGGAAACTTTGGAAAGATGAAGTAGCAAATTTGAATTTTTGTGAGGATTCGGGATTATTGAATTGATAGGAAAATGACTCAATCTTAATGAAAATCATATGTTCTGCACAGGGAAATGGGAATACACACATGTCACATGATTGGTTCGTCCAGATACTTTAGCTCTTCATTGTCATAATTCAAATAATTATGATCATCCTACCTATCTTCCAAACCGACAACTTCACCTTTGCCAGAACTCAAACTTATCTTTAATATCATAAGCAGACATAAATATATAGGGATGATGCACTAAGGTGGATCTATAGGGGTTGGCCGAGGCCTCTCCGCAATTAAGAATTTAGAAATAATTACCCTACATACCGAAGAAGGAATCAAAACTAAAAAGCTGCTATGGAAAAGGGGAAGATTCAGAAAAGCGGAGTTCAGGTCTAGAAGAAGCCATTTACTTTTATTTTATCTTTTTCGTGGGCATGATTTTAAACAGCCTATAGGTAGTAACATGGTTTAGTACATGGGACGCAAAAGCTTTTTGTTTTTTCTCAAGTCTTAACTGTAATCGTCGATCACGGGAAAGTTGACGAAAGCAGAAAAGGAAAAACCCTTGATAAAAGCAACTGGGGCGGAGATACGTTTAGAGAAATAGAGAGAATAATTATTGTTAGATCATTCATTTGATCAGCTTTTCTTAGTTACTAAATCAGCTATGTCGATTAGCGCAAAATCTATTTTATGGCCAATCAGCACCTATAACGCTTTTCCACTATCGCCCAAAGAAGCGGTTTGTCACTACTTTCAACAAAACACTATCAGTAGTAACAAGGTATTCTATAGGAACAGGGAGAATCCATCTTGATCAAGAAAGATTTTGTTTGTATAGTGCATGTACATGTCTTCTCTGGATCCAAGAAATCACAGTGTGTTCAATCATCTGATCCAGAAGATGTTACAATAATCGAGCAATAGCCTATATTCTTTCAGAAGTCATGTCTTTTTTTTTCTTTCTTGTATTTCTTTCCTTTTTGGGGCAACAAAGCCATCCTTCTCAAAGGATACCTATATTCCTTTGTAGACATTGCTAGGACAACACAGACAAAATGTTACTTTTGGCGGTAGTCAGCAATTGCTGTTTGTCCCAGTGATGACTGAATAAATCTGCGACCCGTAGTGATTTAAGCTCTACTTACTATTGAAGTAATTTTTCATTCGATTATATTACTTTCTTTTCACGTCTGCAAAAATGAACGAGATTAAAATTTTAGTCAGGTTTGGTGCTATGACCTTTCATTCTTTATTACTGTAAAATATATTCTCAATATGTTCTACTTCAATTTCCTTTTATTTGAATATAATATTGCTTATATAAATTACAAGAAGGTAAAAAGTGTATTAAACTTAATAAATCACGTAATCATTATTTCGGTGAGACTTTTTAAAGGGATCCGGTAACTTTGTCTTAGATCCTTTAAAATATCCTTGATTTAGCTCATGCTGCAATGATAATTATAAACCTTTAGGTCGGTCAGGAACCCCATGACTTTTACAAGCCGATCGTCTGTCTGATTATCAAGATATTTATGATTGGAAATCGGAATCAAATTTTGCGTTTGCCAAACGGTTTTCATAACACTACAGTCTATTGGGGGAAACGAGTTATGGTAAAACCGGTCACTCAAAGGTTTTTACTTTTTTGAGGCACTTCTTGATCATTTTGAAGCGCAATTTGTTTAGGGCTTGAATATAACACTATATCACAGACACTGATAATACGTAGGGCCGTGCATCTCTGATTAAACATTTTTAAACAATTCCTTTAAGAATAGTATTTTGCAATTCATACAATGTGGTACTTGGTCATTTTTTTTGTCAGCACTTCCCTGCAATTCCAATCCCTGTCTAAATGGTGGAACATGCGTGAATACAAATCAGCAGTCTTCATTCACGTGCTTGTGTAATGCTGGATACGCTGGATTAAGATGTGAAGTAGTACTAGGTAAGGTTATTTATTCATGCCCTTGCTAATTAGGTGTATAATGCATTGGGGTTCGGTAGTACTAGCAATATACCATTTGTGTAATGTAACCAAAATATGGGCATACGTTTTTGTAAAGTGCCTTGATACGAATTATTTCATTCACCGGTTATCCATAATTGTATTTTAATAGTCAGTATGCACGTTTCATATATATATTTCACGTTGTTAGGTATGGCAAGCCCTCTTGTTTTTCCTACCTAGCAACAACATATGGATGCGATTCGCATTCTTAATACTGAAAAAGAATTATACAATACAATGGAATTTATTAATTTGCATTGAGGTACTTCACAAAGACGTACGCATAAAATCTGGTTAGATAACAAAAATAGGCTCCTCATACCTGCTTAACACGTGGCATTAGGGACTCTTTGATTTTCACGTCGACATAATGAAGTGCTTCGTGTGACGTCCTTTTAAGTTAAAAGACCATCACACGAAGCAGTCCACTATGTCAACGTGGAAATCTAAAAGTCCCTATTAATTGCTGTTGTAGGACTACGTCAGCAACTGGCAATATCCCGTACTTGACACGCCTTTCGTTTTTTTTTTAAATCCCATTTCCCAACTGTTTGACCACGAAAGAAAAAAAGATTTTTCCGACAAACATTGATCTTACACATCTTTATATAAATGTTTCTAGTGGCCTGATTTTTCTGTCTCATGTTTTTTATTAATATTATTTTTGTCAGCACTTCCCTGCAATTCCAATCCCTGTCTAAATGGTGGATCCTGCTTGAACACAAATCAGCAGTCTTCATTCACGTGCATGTGTAATGCTGGATACGCTGGATTAAGATGTGAAGTAGTACCAGGTAAGGTTATTCATTCATGCTCTCACTAAATAGGTGTGTAATGCATGGGGTTTGGTATATAAATGTAGTACTAGCAATAGGCCACTTTCGTAATATAACAAAATTAAAGATAAAGGTGGGTTCTGGTTTTAAAAAAAAAGAATTCTCACAGAATCAAAGTAAACTTACAATGAATGTTCAGGATTACAAATGAATGTCATTTGCCAAACAATTTTGGTAGAAAATGTATACTGGCTGAGTAATGAGTATAGAAAGATTAGAAAATCAAGGTCAGTAGCCCCGACACCATTTGTGTAGTCCCATATACATCTTTCTGTATGCAATGCTCGTTACTCTACCAAGACTGGGCCAAATTTATTATGATTTTGATGACTCCAGAACTTCTCTGATCCATTCCACACCTTTTCTTTCACAATGCAATCGGATGACCAGAACTCACCTTTATCTTTAAGTGAATACGTACGTTTACTGGCCAATTTTTTTTATTCAGTTTCCTCATTTTGGTAAGATATTTTATCTCATGTTTTAATTCATACTGTGTTTCAGCACTTCCCTGCACTTCGAACCCCTGTGCCAATGGTGGAACGTGTGTGGATGTAAATCAACAGTCTTTCGTGTGTTCGTGTCTGGCCATATATACTGGATCTAGATGTGAAACGTTATCAGGTAACGTTATATATTCATAGTCTGTAAATAGGTGTAAAACGTATTGGTGTTGGGTAGTATATACTAGCAGTAGACTATTTTTGTAATGTAACAAAGTGTCATGCAATCCTTTTTGTGTAGTGCCTTGATACGAATGATTTCATTCACCTGTTATAAATAATTGTATTTCTATAGCCAGTATGCACATTGTATAAATATTACATGTTGTTAGTCAGGGCGAGCCATTTTGTTTGTCCTCCCTAGCAACCACTAAATTATGCCATCCGAATTCTTGATATTGGAATACAATTATTCATAACAGTTGAATGAAATAATTTGTCTGTAGGCACTTTACAAAGACATATGCATAACATTTAGTTAATTATTGTTTAAATAGCTTATTAGATCAGGCCCCCTTATACTCGCTCCACTCGAGGCAATAGGGACGTTTAGATTAGCACGACGAGAACGTGGATTGCTAGGTGTGACATCCTTTTAAGGCATCGCCAGTGCCTTGAAAGGGCGTCACATTGCTTTGAAAGGATGTCACACGTGGCTGTCCACGTTCTCGTCGTGCAAATCTAAAGGTCCCTATTAATTGATGATGTAGGACTACGTCAGCGACTGGCAATGGCATTGACCCGCCTTGTTTTGAAATGACCTTCCCTTGATTTGCTGTTTTATGATTCATTTACACAATTTCCTATTTTCCCAGTATTTGACCTCGAGAGACAAAAAGAATTCTTCGACATCTTTGATCTTACACAGATCTAAAGTCAGGGTAATGATCGGGAGCGCCAGGAGTGTCAAGTCTGACAGACATGAGCGCTATACAAGAACCCACTTTTATTATTATTAGTATCTATTTATAAGTACGTTTACTGGCCAAATGGTTTTCAATTCATATTACTCGTTTTGGTAAGCTTTTTGTCTCATGTTTGTCATTAATATTTTGTGTTCCAGCACTTCCCTGCAATTCCAACCCGTGTGCCAATGGTGGATCCTGCTTTAATACAAACCAGCAGTCTTTCTTCTGTGTGTGTTCGACTGGATATTCTGGATCGAGATGCGACCAAGGTGAACAAAACAATTTCAATTGAATTTAAAGGCCCACTGCACTACTTATAGCTACTTGCGCCCTCTATATAACAAACAGTGCATAATCGGTGAACATTGGTCCCCCATGATCCTCTCTTTCTTATGTTAATTGAGACCTGATTTGATGAGATAACCACCTGTCCAGTGACCTTGCAGGGTGGTCTTATCCCTCCTGTACACTAGTAATTATAATAATAATCTTTTAAATTCCACTCCAAATTTTATTAAACCGAAACGGAAATTCTTTTTGCCCACTTGATCGTGAGCCCGGCAGTCTTCTGGTTCAATGGGTAACATTATTTCGTGTTACTCGAATGGCTCCGTTGTAGAGCAGTGGTATTGGGGTTTCCATCTTCGAAACCGAAGCACTAGTACCTTTTGGCAAGACATTGACCGTCACCGAATTCCTCGGGTATGGCTGAAAGACATAGGTCATTTAGATGTTTATCTTCAGGCATAAGCGTTTTCTTTATTCTTAGATGAAATAAAAATCAAACAACCAATCTATTCACGTAACAAAAATGCGCATTCTGTTTGATTGATGATGTGCCAGACAGAGAGATTTTTGTCCGATATCTTCTGGCTGTCAGAAGATGCATAAGGAAACTTTCCTTCTTTGAATCGTTGTTCTTGAATACCTTCAATCGTGTGGATGTTTTACTGGTATCGGACGGTCGTTGAGTATTGAGACCGAGAATAGTAGATTTCGTGAAGGTTTCGATTCTGTTCGACCTCACTGACTCCTTCAAGTCACCCTTGAAAATGTTTAGAACAACAACATCAATGAAGTAGGCAAATCAGTGACGAAGCTAACGGTAGCGCGAGGAGCAAGGCAGAGGTAAATATTAGAGGAAGGCAAAGCGAACAGATGAAACATAACCCCCAACACACTCCCCTCACTCTATAGCCTATCTTTGTTCTCTTGTGGTTTATCTACCTAATATTTAACGTGTCTCCCTCCCCCTCCCGCATCGACACCTGGGGCCCGCTTCATAAAACTTGTTATCTATAACAAATGCTTAATTTCTATGATAACGTTGCTCTCAGCCAATCAGATGCCTTGATTTCAGTAGCTTATAAAAGTAGCTTGTAACTTGTTATTGATATCAAGTTTTATGAAACAGGACCCAGTCCCCCCTCGTTAGTCTAACCTACGATACGCCACTGTAGTGAACTAATGACCATCTATTCTTTTCATGAACATGTTATTATTCCTGCAGCACCCGATCCATGTAGCCCTAATCCCTGTTTGCAACAAGGAACGTGTATTTCTCTTGGCAATGATTTCTTCTGTGTCTGCCCACCTCTATCTACTGGCAAGACGTGTAATGAAGTGGGTAAGTTATGGATTCGAGTTCAGGATTTCCGTTATTGTATTATTATTGTTATCATTATTATCATTATTATTATTATACTTAATACAATTATTATTATAACTATTACATTTATTATTGATATAATCATCATCATTTATATTTCCTATCATTATTATTATTATCGTTACTGTCATCATTTAATATCACTATCATTTATAATGTATATTCATATTAATATGTTTATAATATATTCATAATATAACATGCAATTAAATTAAAATTCATGGTATTTACAATGTGATTTAGCAAACTGGGTCGATCCTAAACGGGACGGAGAAAGGGGCATTTGGAGGTTCCCCCCTCCCCCCCCCCCCCCCCCCCATAATTACGGAATCGAAATAATAACGTCCTACGTGGTGTATGCCTTCGGTCGGTGAGTCATCTCGAGATAAATCGACATAACTACTAAAAGCTTTTTTTCTCTACAAATCTAGCATTTGGAAAGACATGGGTAAGACAAACAGTAAACTTCATTTCAGGCTACGTTCACAGTAACACCATTTTTTATGATCTTTCATCTCCTATTGATTAGTGTTTGCCTCAATAGATTATGCAATGGAAGTAAACAAATTTGGGCCTAAAAATTGTTCAGTCTAATTGCTGATTGGAATATTTAAATGGGCCTATCAGTATGAAATTCTCTTGTTTTCTAAAATGAGGTTTGATTTGGAATTCGGCATTATTTTGGAGATATCAAGAGATAAGAAAGGGCTGTGAGTTGTGTTTCTATATATTAAAACTAGGATTTTAAGTATCAGAAATACCTTAAATACAAATGAAATTGTTTTTGTGTTTTCATTACAATAAATCCTAGAAACTTATTTTTGACTTCCGTTAGTTCTTCCCTGCGACTCGGATCCCTGCCTAAATGGGGGGCTTTGCCAGGGTATTAACATGCAACAACAGCTCGTTTGTGCTTGTCAGATGGGCTTTTCAGGAACACTCTGCGAAATAGGTAAATATACCGTAAATAATACATCTTTCAATCTAATGTCATGTGTGATTTTATAAATAAAACTAGGTCTTGTCGAGAAAGAATTCAGCTCAATTTGACATGTTTTTCAATAAGGAATGTCTCATGGTTCAGAGGATAAATCAACTTAGTCTGTATAAAGTGGTTCGTAGCTTGAGTCCTAAATGCCGCACTAACATCCTTTGGAAAAATGTTAATTTGTATTCGTCACTCTCAACCCAAGGGAAATAAATCGATACCTGTTAACGAATTGCTTATTTATTAATTGAATGTCTCGAACTCCTTAGATCAGTTTGGCTGCCAAAACAAATAGTAGTACTTTTTAATAAGCATCGTGATAAAATAGTGCATTCATTTGACTCTCATCAGTCTATGTTCACAATGCTTTGTGATTATTAAAGAAACCATAAAAGTTAAAATTTCTGGTTTCCTTTCTCACATAGTATTACAATGAATTCACCAAAGTTCAACTGTTCAAGTATGATGCTTCACTGTTAGTGTTCAACTGTTCACGAAATATGGTTCACACAAGGGTTGCTCACTTTTGTCCATTATCACACACGAGATAAAGCGTCCGCAATAACATTGTCCTTTCCTGGCACATGTAGAATGTCCAAATTGTATTCTTGGAGCAGCAAACTCCATCGCGTCAGTCTTTGGTATTTTTTTTTTTTCTGTTGAGGAATTTCAGGGGGTTATGATCAGTTAATACCCTCACTGGATGTTGAGATCCACTGACATACACGTCGAAACGTTCAAGTACAAGTATCAAAGTCAATGTTTCTTTTTCCACAGTTTCTTTGAGAAGAATGATATAGGTCTGTCGATACCTTCAGCGTCTGCTTGAGTAAGAACTGCACCAGCACCCACATCGCTCGCGTCCACCATCATGCTGAACGGCTGGTTGAAATCCAGAGCCATCAGTACCGGATTGGTAGATAAGAGGGCTTTCGCCTGGTTGAAAGCACTCTCGAAGTCGATTTCCTTTTCAAGATTTTTCAGTTTTGTTGGGTTTGCACGATATGGTGCCTGTTTGATTGGGGTCATATCTCCCACATCAACATCATGCTTAACAACATCAGTTCGAGAGGGAACATCAGCAAATAACTGTGGATATTCACTCAACAGCTCTTTCACGTCGCTCCTCTCCTTCACAGATAAGTGTGTTAGTTTGTTATCGATGTGTGCTAGAACCTCTGAATTTTTCAATTTCACACATGGGTTCTCTCTCTCAATCTTGCACACTTCTTTCTCAACTTCACACTTTGAGTCACATTCAACAGCACTCAACACTGGTTGTGCTTTACTCTCGTCATTTCTTCGGATATATGGCTTAAGCATATTCACATGACACACACGTCTCTTCTTCTGCCTATCTGGAGTATTGACAACGTAGTCGACATCACCAACTCTCTTAGCAATAGTGTACGGCCCAGAAAATCTAGCCTGCAGAGAATGACCAACTACCGGCACTAAGACCAAGACTTCATCTCCTACCTCGAAATTCCTCTCTTTTGATTTCCTGTCATACCATGACTTCATCTTCTCCTGAGAATCTGACAAATTCTGTCTGGCAACCTCCCACGCCTTATGCATTCTCTCACGGAAAGTACTCACATACTCCAACACATTTGTTTGTGCATCATCACACAACAGTCTCTCTTTCAGCAACTTCAATGGTCCACGTACTGAGTGACCGTATACCAACTCAAAAGAACTGAAACCAAGCGACTCTTGTACAGCATCCCGCACAGCAAACAATAACAAGGGAACTCCCTCATCCCATTGTTTCTCTGACTCCATACAATAAGTTTTCAACATATTCTTCAAAGTCTGGTGGAATCTCTCCAGTGCTCCCTGGGACTCTGGGTGGTATGCACTCGAAACTACATGTTTTACGCCCAGTTCCTTCAACACCTGATTGAACACCCTAGACATGAAATTTGACCCTTGATCAGATTGTACAGTTTTTGGTAGCCCTACAGTAGTGAAAAATTTCACTAATGCCTTTGTTACATTATTAGCTGTAATGCGCCTTAGTGGTATCGCTTCGGTATATCTCGTCGCAGCGCACATTATCGTCAATAAGTATTCATTACCTGCCTTTGTCTTTGGCAGAGGACCTACACAATCTACTATGATCCTAGAAAATGGCTCATCGAACGCCGGTATTGGCTTCAATGGTGCTGCCGGTATTTTCTGATTCGGTTTACCTACAACTTGACATGCGTGGCAACTTCTGCAAAAATTTGCAACATCTTTTTGCACACCTGGCCAAAAGAAATGAGAAAGAATTTTCTCCTGAGTTTTGTGAACCCCTAAATGACCTGCAAGTGGGGCTTCATGAGCAAGGCTAATTATGTCCTGCCTGTATGTAGAAGGGACTACAATTTGGTGGACTTCTTTCCACACCTCATCTGCAGGGACATCTGCTGGCCTCCACTTTCTCATTAACACCTGCTTTCTTGTAATAACAAACAGGCACAGTCAATGCCTCTTCCTCAGAAACAGCTCTCTCATTCAAAGAAATCAACTGAGGATCTGTCTGTTGCTCCTTTAGCAACTTACTCTTTTTCAAAGATAGTGGTTCAGATTTCCTACACTATGAACCTCTCTCGCACTCTCATTCACATTGGAATCAGACTCATCCTCAACCAAACGACAAAAGAAAGAATCTCCTAAGTCAACATCTATTTCATTAGACTTCTTCTCTGACTCAACTTTCTTAGCCTTTGAACGAGTTACAGCACATGCTGGGAACACTACAGGAAATTCTGCAACCAACTCATCTGTCTCAGAACTTTCACAAGGACTCGAACTTACTACTGGACATGACACGACTCTATCACCAGCGAGATCATTACCTAATATGATGGATACCTCTTCCACAGGAAGTGATGGTCTAACTGCCATCTTCACCATACCAGAAACAAGGTCTGACTTCAAGTCTACCACATGAAGGGGTGCCTCTACAAAGCCGTCTCCAATGCCTTTGAGCAAAACACTAGCACCAACAGAAGAACTATCACAAAAGGGCAATGCACTTTCCAAAATCAAGGACTGAGAAGCACCAGTATCCCGAAAAACTTTCACTTTTCTTGCTACATCACTCTCTGGTACAGAAACATATCCTACAGACACAAACGGTTCATACTCTTTCTGAATTTTTTCTATGTTTGCTGGAATAAATCCACTTCGTGAGTTTGACACAGTTTGTACGAATGCATTAGGATGTGCACTAGATTCCTGTTTCTTAGCCTGAAGTGAAGGACACTTTGACTTTATGTGCCCATACTGTTTGCAAGCATAGCACATTCTTTCCTCTGTTACCTGTCCTTGCTGGGACTGCGGTTTTATTTCATCCTTTTCTTGTGATGAACAAGTTTTCTGGCTTTTGCTCCAGTTTCCATTTTTCTTAGGTTCTACACTCACTTTTGTGAGATTTTGTGCGTGAGCACGTAATCATCTGCAATTCTTGCTGCTTCATCCAGCGAATCGACGCGCTGCTCCTCGAGATGTATACGTACATCCAGTCGCACGCTGCGCTTGAATTCCTCAAGTAGAAGAATTTCACGCAATTTATCATAATCATGATCTACATGGAGAGATGAGCTCCATCTGTCAAACAATTGCTCTTTTTGTTTTGAAAACTCCATATGAGTTTGCGATTCTTCCTTTCGCGCTTTTCGAAATCGCTGCCTGTACGCTTCGGGTACAAGTTCGTAAGCTTTCAGCACGCTCGATTTTACTTTATCGTAATCCGACACGTCGGCCATCGACATTGCTAAGTAAGCATCCCTAGCCTTACCGCTAAACTTACTCTGAATCAGGTGAGCCCACATTTCCCTAGGCCACCCCATGCTTTGAGCTAATTTCTCAAAGTGTGGAAAGTACTTTTCCACCCCTTCCTCTTCAAATGAAGGGACCATTCTGACATGCTTTGCTACGTCAAAATGCCTATCAGCATTTCTGCTCTCTTTTCTGTTTACGGCAACAAGTTTCTCCCTCTCCAACTCTACTCTCGCCCTCTCTAATTCTAGCTCCTTTATCCTCACTTCATCAGAAACTGAAGACCTAGCCTGAGAATTTAATTCAGGAGACCAAGACCTAGACCCTGGAGGAGTCACACTCATACTATCCGCCGCCTCTGAAGACAAAACCTCTTCAGCAACCAGAAATTCGACAATCTTGTTCAAAATGTCCGACTTCAGCATGTACCGCTTGATGCCCACAACCTCATAATGAGTTGCTACATCTAACAATTCAACTTTAGTCAACGAGCTTAATCGCTCCGCAGACGGATCCCTAACAAACTCCCCCAAAGAGAACTCGCTAGCCATCATGCAAAAAACCTAGCCTCCTAAATATCCTAGAAAGAACTAGAGCCTGGCTGTTATAATCCCCAGCCAACCTTACAACACCTAGATTCTACAATATCCGAGAAATCTAGACAACCTGACTGTTACAACCCTCAGTCAAACCCTGCAAATCCATGCAGAAACATGAGAAGACAACAATGTTTTTCTCACCACACACACCACGAATGCTCGAACCTGAAACGGCTACCCCAGCGGTGGCCGACGATATCATCTTAACGAACCGACATCGACAACACACACACAGTACACACCGAACAGTCCGCTCATAAGTAACGTGTATGAAATCCGTCGCACGCAATGTAATGCAACATGCTAGTTTGCCAGCGCTAATATGATCACAAAAATCACCTGAAAATCATACTTTCCACTTTATATACCTGGCCGAGCCCCCATTTGTTACGAGTGGTTTCCTCTACCCGTTGTCCCTGGGTCCTTTGTTCCACAACAACAGAATACACAACACAAAGTGGTTAGATTTCAAGGGCTGATCTTCATTATTGAGCTTCGTTCTTCAACTCCAAATACTCGACTAACTCGTCCTGAGGACGGTCCGTACAATGTATCTAGATTCGGTCGATACACCCATCACAGGTGGCTAATCCCTCCTGTACACTAGTAACGATAATGATAATCTTTTAAAGTCCACTCCAAATTTTATTAAACCGAAACGGAAATTCTTTTTGCCCACTTGATCGTGAGCCCGGCAGCCACTGAGCAGCACCAAATAGGCTTTAATGTCCGAATATCGTTGTAGGTCTTCTGGTTCAATGGGTTTCATTATTTCGTGTTACTCGAATGGCTCCGTTGTAGAGCAGTGGTATTGGGGTTCCCATATCTCCATCTTCGAAACCGATGCACTAGTACCTTTTGGCAAGACATTGACCCTCATCGAATTCCTCGGGTATGACTGAAAGACATATGTCATTTAGATGTTTATCTTCAGGCATAAGCGTTTTCTTTATTCTTACATGAAATAAAAATCAAACAACCAATCTATTCACGTAACAAAAATGCGCATTCTGTTTGATTGGTGATGTGCCAGACAGAGAGATTTTTATCCGATATCTTCTGGCTGTCAGAAGATGCACAAGGAAACTTTCCTTCTTTGAATCGTTGTTCTTGAATACCTTCAATCGTGTGGATGTTTTACTGGTATCGGATGGTCGTTGAGTATTGAGACCGAGAATAGTAGATTTCGTGAAGGTTTCGATTCTGTTCGACCTCACTGACTCCTTCAAGTCAACCTTGAAACTTTTTAGAACAACAACATCAATGAAGTAGGCAAATCAGTGACGAAGCTAACGGTAGCGCGAGGAGCAAGGCAGAGGTAAATATTAGAGGAAGGCAAAGCGAACAGATGAAACATAACCCCCAACACACTCCCCTCACTCTATAGCCTATCTTTGTTCTCTTGTGGTTTATCTACCTAATATTTCCCGTGTCTCCCGTGTCTATGATAACGTTGCTCTCAGCCAATCAGATGCCTTGATTTCAGTAGCTTATAAAAGTAGCTTGTAACTTGTTATTGATATCAAGTTTTATGAAACAGGACCCAGTCCCCCCCCCCCCCTCGTTAGTCTAACCTACGATACGCCACTGTAGTGAACTAATGACCATCTATTCTTTTCATGAACATGTTATTATTCCTGCAGCACCCGATCCATGTAGCCCTAATCCCTGTTTGCAACAAGGAACGTGTATTTCTCTTGTCACTGATTTCTTCTGTGTCTGCCCACCTCTATCTACTGGCAAAACGTGTAATGAAGTGGGTGAGTTATGGATTCGAGTTCAGGATTTCCCTTATTGTATTAGTATTGTTATCATTATTATCATTATTATTATTATACTTAATACAATTATTATTATAACTATTACATTTATTATTGATATAATCATCATCATTTATATTTCCTATCATTATTATTATTATCGTTACTGTCATCATTTAATATCACTATCATTTATAATGTATAGTCGTAATACGGGAGAGGGGCATTTGGAGGTCCTCCCCCCCCCCCCCCCCCCCCCCCCACCCATAATAACGGAATTGAAATAATAACGTCCTACGTGGTGTATGCCTTCGGTCGGTGAGTCACCTCGACATAACTACTAAAGGCTTTTTTTCTCTACAAATCTGGCATTTTGAAAGACATGGGTAAGACAAACGGTAAACTTCATTTCAGGCTACGTTCAGAGTAACACTATTTGTTATGATTTTTCATCTCCTCCTGGTCAGTGTCTGTGTCAATAAATTTTGCGATGGAAATAAACAAATTTTGGCCTAAAATGTGTTCAGTCTAATTTCTGATTGACATATATAAATGGGCCTAAAAAGTATGAAATTCTCTTGTATTCTAAAATGATCTTTAATTTGGAATTCTGTATTATTCTGGAGATCAAGATATAAGAAAAGGATGTGCGTTATGTTTCTATGTTTTAAAACTAGGATTATAAATATCAGAAATACCTTAAATACAAATGAAATTGTTTATATGTTTTCATAACAATAAATCCTAGAAACTTCCTTTTGAATTCCGTTAGTTCTTCCCTGCGACTCGGATCCCTGCCTGAATGGAGGGTTTTGCAAGGATGTTAACATGCAACAAGAGCTCGTTTGTGCTTGTCAGATGGGCTTTTCAGGAACATTCTGCCAAATAGGTAAATATACCGTAAATAATACATCTTTCAATCTAATGTAATGTGTGATGTTATATATAATTCATAGCTTGGGTTGTCGAATGTATCACTGGTTTAACACCAACAGATCAAAATTAGTGTATGCAACTGGACTCGTCCGTATAGTAGGAAAAAATTTTAAATACTTCAGGTTTCATTTCACACTCACTCTGTTTTGAATACTAGGTCTTTTCCAGAAAGAATTCAGCTCAATTCGACATTTTATTCAATAAGGAATGTCTCACGGTTCACTGGATAAGTCAACGTACTGTGTTTACAGTGGTTCGTAGCTTGAGTCCCAACCACCGCACTACTATCCTTTGGAAAAACATTAATTTGCATTTGCCACTCTCAACCCAGTGAAAATAAATTGATACTTGTTCAGGAATTGTTTATTTATTCCTTGAATGTTTCCGACACATTCGGTCAGCTTGAGTGCAAACAAAATAGTGGTACTTTTTAACCGCCTGGAGTGAATATGTGGAGGTATCGCTGAATCTCAATCCAAAGGCTGAGGATTAGTATCCCAGCCCAGCACTAACGTTCTTTGGCAAGACGTTAATCCACTCTCCATCCAGGTGTTAAAGGATGCCTGGCTTGGGTAATAATTGATAATTGCAGGTTCCGAAGAAGAACAGTAAAAAAAAAAATACTGATGTGGCTACCATGGGTATGATTGTCTCGTCAGCTACACAACAAATTGGAATACTATGGATCATACAGTTATGATATCGACCAATACTCTTACCATTACAGACGATCCATGTTATCCAAACCAATGTCTACAGCAGGGTACGTGTACATCTAATGGAGATGACTTCATCTGTAGCTGTCCACCCTCCCACGATGGCAAGACGTGCAGCAACTTAGGTTAGACGATGGAAAATACCGTGTTTGAAGATTAAACATTTAATTGCCTGTGAGATCAAAAGCGCTCTGAAATGCAAAGTTCCAGATTAAAAACTGAATCGAATTGAACTTAAGTTATTTGCATCATCATATTTCGCACGAAGATAAAAGAAAGGGTCTCCAAACAGAATATCATAATGAAACATACATGTAAAATGACATGAGAAACAAATTTAAAAAACAAAATATAAAGAAAATATAAAAGAAAGTACAAATGGAAATGAGTGCATTCGTAAAAGCCAATAAGGCTTGACGAATGAATGAATATGAAACAATATTTTGAATACAAATCAGTACCGGGTTCGCGAATATGATTTTCATATTGACTACATCAGACAGTAAAGAATTATTCGCTAGGGCTGTTTTGAAAGGGTATATTTTAATGCACAAAGGTACACAAAGCTATACGTATTACAACACAAATATAAGTTATGATGAAAATGAAAAATGCAAAATACATGTATTGCAGTGAGGGGAAGAGGTGAATAATGGATTTACACCAGGCCTTTTAGTATCAGACACTTAGCCTTGAAATTGTCTAAATCAGTATTATATTTATAAGACATTTGAAATAACTCGTATTCAGGAGAAATTAATGACGTAACACTTATAGGTGATATCATTACAATACTTTTGCATTGAAGTCATCTTTAAATATTACTCTATTCCTCTGTAAGCCTTTTATTAGAAATATTTGAACAAGATATGAAATATTTATAAAATAATGCCTAACTAAATTCATGCAAAGATGTTGGATAATTGAAGATTAAACTTCGGGATCCGAATGCATAAATAAAATGAAAACAAACACATCTGGGAAAAGAAAGTATAGAAATATTTGTTGTCTTTCTTTTTAAACAACTTGTTCAATACTTTGATTTTGGAATGCATCTTTAATTGTTTCTCTATACCTCTGAATATAGTTATTTGAACATGAAATATATACTATTTTTATAAAATAACGCTCCAAAGATAGAAAGGTTTCACAAAATCAAATCCCAGACCTGCTTCAAAAAAGGGGAAACATATCTAGGTTAAGAAAGTATCAAAATATATTTGTTAATTTTTTCAATTTTAGTCGATCCTTGTGTTCCCGATCCCTGCATTAATGGAGGAAGGTGCATTGATTTGAACTTAAGAACGGAATTCTTCTGCACCTGTGTTCCTGGATTCAAAGGAGTACGATGCGAAGAAGAACAAGGTAAGTAGAGGTCGTGGTATAATGAATACGTCATCGTACTGTGGATCACATGATCTCGCCGTGGCACTTACGTCCTTTAGCAAGACATTAATTTACATTAATATACATTTGCCACCCTCTACCCATGTTTAGTATTGGGGATACCTTGTGATAATGTACTTCTCGAATGCTTCGAGCGTCCTAGGGCAGCTGAGGGTAAGGCCAGGTTAATAATAGTACTTTGTAGGTGCCTTGAGCGTTCTCTTGGGTGGTTATGCGCGCAATATAAATGTATTAATAATTATTATAATAATTATTATTATTATTATTATTATTATTATTATTATTATTATTATTATCATTATCATTGTTATCATGATTGTTATTACGATTATCACTGTCGTTATTATTATTACGAAGAAAATGTATCTTTATTTGCTGTCAAAAGGGTTTCTAGGAAGACGTCAGATATGTACGGGGTCATTGCACTTGGGAAATATTAAAACATGAGTTTTAAGAATGGGGAGATCTAATCAGTGTGAATATGACGTTTTGTGCAAAAACAAAAGTCTTCACGATCCCCAAAACACAATATTTCATTAACTTCACTGATTGATAAAATAGAAATTACGGATCTGTTCTGGCTTTTAAAAAAATAATTCCGTTACCGATATTGACCTTTTGCAATTGTCATATAATCACATTATTATTCGATGTTTTGTTTCAAAGCATTAACTATTAAAAGCACCTTTTTACGGCTGCTTATGTCATTCTTGACTAGCTGAAATTTATTAAATAAACGAATTAAATAAATGAATTCGGCGTTATTCTTGTCATGGGGTTTGTTTTAAATTCGTTACATCCACGTGCAGATCTGCCACCTACGACGGAATCAACAACAGTTGGGAACATGACGACTGTTTCCAGCTCCAATTTAAGAGGCAGTGGACGGCAGCTTTTAGGCAGTGAATTTCTCATATTCGTGACAGTTGTATTGTCAATCATATTCTTGAAATTCAAATAAAAGTATTGATACTAGGAAGTTACGCAACATCTTCTTAATAAGAATCAGAAAAACCAATACTGAATTACAATTTTTATATCTGAATTTCTGAAATCATTGTTGCAGCTCAGTTGGTATTAGAATGTATACATTTATCATAGTTCTCATATTCATGACAGTTGTATTTTCAATCATATTCTTGAAATTCAAATAAAAGTATTGATATAAAGAAGTTACGCAACATCTACTTAATAAGAATTTTAAAAAAAATACTAAATTACAATTTTATATCTGAAATCATTGTTGCAGCTAAGTTTGTATTAAAATGTATATATTAATGAATAAATCAGTATATATTGGCGAATCAATCAGAGTAGATTTAAATCTGTAATTTCTCATTCTTCGATATATTTATACAGAATGATAGATTTATTATTCGCATGCATGTAATTATTTCCCTGATTGCGGAGCGCCAGGACTAGGGACTTTTAGATTTGCACAACGACAACGTGGATTGCTACGATCGACGTCCTTTTAATGCACTGCCTTGAATGGACGTCACACGTATCAGTCCACGCAAATCTAAAATTCCCTAGTGTCAAGTTTGACAGACATGATCGAGCGCTATACAAGGACCCACTATTATTATACGGCGAACTCTTACACAATGTTTATATTTATTTCAGAACAGCTGTCATATTGTGTAACACCTTTGAACAGGGTTAAACCTTGGTTGACTCGTGAAGACAAATCATTTCTTCTCAATGCGAATAACAGATATTCTATTCACAATTATTGTCACGTTTGATAACATGTTAGATAGGGGGAAATATTAATATGTATATATATATAATAGTTTGGAAATGCCTTTTTAAGAAATATTACCTAAGTATAAGGCAATTCGTCATGAAGGCAAATTATTGTTTACTCAGCTAAAACATTGAGGTATCAAGAAATGGATATGGATATTAATATGTATTTGGTTTGTGTATTGGAGGTTTAAACGAGGAAAAGTAATGTTTTTTTATATCAAAGGGTCTACCACGGGCTATAGGGTTTATAATGTATAAACAGTTGAGTGATTTGAATACTTTGAGTCAACGTTCCCAATAGAGATAGGAACATAGAATTAACTCATACAAACGACAAGACATGAACCATTTAAAATGTGTTGATAATGTGACTCATGTACAGGTGGTGGTGTTTTCCTATGTATGTTGCTTATAAACCTTGGAATGATGGTAGCCAATTTATAGCTACTAGTTAGATCGCTATGCGTAGAATACAACAAATATTTTTTATAACATTTATGTTCCTTTCCATGTATGTATCTCACTATATTATGTGTGTAATCAGTTATTTTTGTGTCTGCATTCTGTGGATTACCTGATTACCTATTGTAGAAACGCATGTAGAAAATATATAATGAAAATATACATATAAGCTTTTTAGATCTAGCATCACATTTTGTTCTTTCAAGTAATTAGGATTTCTTCCTTTGCAGCAGAAATCCTGTCTTCTTTTTGTCGTTTACTTATCCTTGAATTTTCAAGCGAATTGCATGGCATTCTAATAAAATATGTATCCACGATACCAACTGATTTGTAATTTATTTGTTTTAGTTACACATCTGGTCAATCAAACGCCAGATTTCTGTGCGAGAGAATTTGAGTATGAAGAGAGATAGAACTAGAGAGTGGCACAGAGAGAAAAAGAGGGAAAGAGTGAGAGAGAGAGAGAGAGAGAGAACGAACGAGGACGGGAAGAGAGGGGAGGGGTCTCCTGTGCTTAAAAATACAGGGAAAATTGTTTATAACAATTTTTTTGGAACCAAGTATTTATCCTGTTTTAATGAAACCTTGCTATATCAGGGCAACACACAAGGAAAATTATAACTAAACAAAAAACAAGCAAACAGGAAATATAGAGAAGCGGGAGCGGCAATATCAATTTGCTATAACGAGAGTTTGTATAACATCATTCTATATTAACGAGTTTCTCCTTTACGTGTTTTCGATTTGGAATCCTTGAATGCTTATATTTCTCTCACAGTCATCAGGACAGTGTTTTTTTCTATTTCTCACCATTATCTATATTAATTGCTTTTTAATTTACGTGTGAAATCGAAATCGATACTGATTCGTTAGTACAATAGACCAGGGGCGGCAATTTCTTTTCATGACCGGAAGGGGGGGGTTAAAAAAACGAGGGACAAGGGAGCAGCAGTGGTGTAATGAGCAAAAACGTCCCGGGGGTGGGCAGAAAAAAAATCTGCATCAACCCCCCCGGTCTTACATGTTGCATGCAGGCCCGCGGAACGTTTTTCAAAGTGGGGGGGGGGGGCTAAAGTATTTACGATCAGGTAGAGCAAAGCGAGCGAAGCAAGTGGAGCGTAAATTGGCGTGGGGTCCAGGGGCAAAGCTCCATGAAGCTCAGGGTTTTTTAGCATTTAATTACGGTTGGATGAGCATCCATGGACTGTTTTAGGGCTCTTGGTGGGGTCCAGGGGGCAGAGCCCCCGGAAGCTCAGGGAATAACCATGCCTTTTTAGCAACATTTGTAAATCACTGGTATCGAATCAAAAATACACCACGTTTGAATGTTATTAGGGGTCAACTGCCCAAAAGCCCTCCCCTGGCCACACCATTACGCCAGTGCGAGGGAGCATAAATGACTACCCCCTCACAGGTTTTTGAAGTTTTATTGCATTAAAATATTACATTTCTTAGCAAAACTATAGTGTAAAAACTTTATATACTTTTTCACACTTCACTTGTATACAATATTTTGCATTTTTATTTCTAAACGCTGCATTCTTGGGCCCTCCAGAGCCAAAAGTTTGTTGCAGCCTTTAGTCAGTATTTGCTATAATTTTGAGTGCACTTTTTCAAATTTTGTGGGGGGGAGACGATCCCCCTGAAAAAAATTGAGGGGGGTGTCCCCCCCCCCCCTATCCCCCCGGGATCGCCGCCCCTGCAATAGACCAATAGACACTGATAATATAGTGAGACTGTTCAATGATAATAGAATCATAAATTCTCACTGACAACTTTCTAAGCAGGCTCATCAGTTCGTGCGTCCTACTTTATTGCACACAATAATAATTCTTCTTCTTCTCGATTTTGCGCTAAGTGTTATTATCACAGGTGAGTATATCCAATTTCGTAAAATGAATCTGATTTGTAAGAAAAGATTATTTGCGAGTTCATTGGCAGGTTTTCTATACATTTCTTGTTTGTGTCTGGTAACAAGTTATATGTTTAGGTTGATATCATTTGTATTCTCATTGAACTGTTGAAGATCGATAGAAATAGCATGCATTGCGTTGGTCGATTCCCATTGTAGACCATGCAGTCTGTGAAGTAGACTGTTCATACACAAGAATATATTTAACAAACGTATTCCCAATTGCATTTTATATGTATGCACCTTGTTTACAGCCCTAGAGACCGACGGCCCACGAGAGCGACAATATTGGTCTAGCAAACCTTCTGGAAAGTGATCAGAAGGCCAACATGTGCACGAGTCTTCCTGAGAGGGAGAAAGAGAGAAAGATAGGGAGAGAAAAAAAGGGGTAGGAGAGATATGAAGGTCGAGAGAGAGCGAGATAGGGAGAGAGAGAGAGAGAGAAAGAGAGGAAAGAAAAAGGGGAAAGAAACCGTAAAAAAGACCGAGGAGCCCATCCCACGCTCACTTCTCAGTCATACCAATTGGTGGGCCTTTTTTTGCATTTCATCCCCAATCATGCCAGTATCCTTTCAAAGACTGAACCCACACAACGCCATTGTTTACAACCACACCTGCCTTATATTTTGTATCTACCTAGCAGCAACATTGACTGAAATCAGTGGCGAAATATTTATGCTTTTATGAGTCTTGTTAATGTTGTGTTTATTTTCAAATTTTTATAATGATGATAAAACTGTTCATTGTTATAATGATGATAAAAATATTCATTGTTATAATGATGATAAAACTGTTCATTGTTATAATGATGATAAAAGTATTCATTGTTATAATGATGATAAAACTGTTCATTGTTATAATGATGATAAAACTGTTCATTGCTATAATGATGATAAAACTGTTCATTGTTATAATGATGATAAAAATGTTCATTGCTATAATGATGATAAAACTGTTCATTGTTATAATGATGATAAAACTGTTCATTGTTATAATGATGATAAAACTGTTCATTGCTATAATAATGATAAAACTGTTCATTGCTATAATGATGATAAAACTGTTCATTGTTATAATGATGATAAAACTGTTCATTGTTATAATGATGATAAAACTGTTCATTGTTATAATGATGATAAAACTGTTCATTGCTATAATGATGATAAAACTGTTCATTGCTATAATGATGATAAAACTGTTCATTGTTATAATGATGATAAAACTGTTCATTGTTATAATGATGATAAAACTGTTCATTGCTATAATGATGATAAAACTGTTCATTGTTATAATGATGATAAAACTGTTCATTGCTATAATGATGATAAAACTGTTCATTGCTATAATGATGATAAAACTGTTCATTGTTATAATGATGATAAAACTGTTCATTGTTATAATTATGATAAAAATGTTCATTGCTATAATGATGATAAAACTGTTCATTGTTATAATGATGATAAAACTGTTCATTGTTATAATGATGATAAAACTATTCATTGTTATAATGATGATAAAACTGTTCATTGTTATAATGATGATAAAACTGTTCATTGTTATAATGATGATAAAACTATTCATTGTTATAATGATGATAAAACTGTTCATTGCTATAATGAAAATAGAGCTGTTCATTGCTATAATGATGATAACAATCCCTTCCGCCATTGCTCTCGTGTAAAGCCGAAAATGAAGATTGCAAGGAGAGAAGCCTTCGTCTTCTTGGCTGTCATGCTCGTCTTTGTTGATGTCGATGCCCGGTCTACTGGCGCTCCCGTTGGTTCCAATCCTGAAATATGTGATACCATGATACCCGGTCATGGTATACCAGCTCAGGTTACAGAGAGCCCCTTTTCCATCGTTCCCGCCAAGATGAAGTACATGCCCGGCAAGAAGTTCTCTGGTAGGTGACATTTTCTCTTGTGACATTTTCTCCTGCGAACTTACTTCGTCAAAAGGACCTATAACTTACAAACATAGTATTCACCATGGGCCCCTCTATATTACAATCTCCTTTTTAGTTCAGTTTTTTTTTAAATAAATTTAATGCATTCAAACAAACTGGAATGAGGCACTCACTTTCTTGTTTCTTTTTGTCTCTGTTAATATAATTCATGTATAATTGTACTATTTTGTGAAATCTTGAAATTTGATATTAAACGGTAAACTGAAACTGAAACTAAAGCACCAGGTTAATAAACGAACAAACAAACACAAATCATTGACTAAGGCGACAGTTTGCTCCGGTGACTTTTATCGGGCTTTATTTCGTCAAAGATAAATGTCAGGGTAAGGGTTTTATTTACAAATCATCTAGGTCTTTAGGTGTGAAGTCTGGTCTCGTATTTAGTTTGGTGTAGGAATTTCGCCGGAGTAGTATGTCATAGTGCACATCCCATAAACTATCTTCATTCGGTACACTGAGATGCTTAGGCCTGATAGTAATCAGAGATTTTTTTTGTTTGTATTATTGAAAAATTGTATGAGGACCAATTTTTAGTATAAATAGATCGAAAGGAGATATCTTTGCTCAGTTAGAATTTTAATTAGTGGAGATGGGTTTGGTGGAGGTAGAGGCGTGAGGGGATTTCACTTTAATCACTAAATGAGGTTGTTCTGGATTCTTATCTTTACCACACAGTCACAATTAACGCTACCCAATCACAACAATTCAAGGGAATCTTCATGCAGATGCGACGCAATGACACTGACGCTATCGTGGGGACGTGGTCCGTGATGGACGCGGATAAGTTCAAGACCGTCTCATGCGCAGGCGTGGTAGACAATGCCGTGACACATATAGACAGCACTAAGAAAGGCACTGTCAACAAATTCATGTGGACACCTCCGAAAGATTTTAATGACACCGTTTACGTTGCGTAAGTATGAACACAAATTCATGAATGAAGAATAAAGACACAAAAGAGCAATCATAATGAAGTTAACCTACTTGGAGAAATAATGACCAGTTGAAACGGATATCATCATGTATTTACTTCATGTACTACATGTAGTTCTAAAACGGGGGGTTACATTCTTTTTTGAGTTCTTAAGAAAACATAAGTCACTAAATATTCCACGAACTCTTCCTCCTTCATTTTGATATATAGCACATATAATCTTATAATGTATTTTCTATACATGTAGTTTCAATACAAAATCAAGCCTTTCGAATAATATTTTGCATTGCTAATAATAATCATTAAAGCTGTGTTATCATGGAGATATAGAAGGAATTTTAAAAAAAGACGGACATAAAGAAAACAATAGTGAGAAAGAGAATGTCTCTTGGGTAAAGTTAAAGAGATAGACACAGAAAGAGAGAGAGAGTGAGAGGGGGAAGAGATAAGAGAGAGGAAGAGAGAGGGACAAGGGAAGAGAGAGAGAGAGAGAGAGAGCATTATTCACATCAACATTCCTTGGCATGTCTTGGGTTGGTAAAGGCAGAGTAAAACAGTAGGACAATGAAGTACTGATGAGTGGGTATAATAGCTTTTAAATTGTTCAACATTAAGTATTGGGTGTTCTAAAAAATAATTTCATTTGTTATCTTTTTAGGGCCACATTTGTGGAGAGTTACAGTAGTTATTGGGTCAAACAAACCTCGTCAACTATCAGTGGTAAGTATGTTGGCTTCATCTAAATTGAGTAATTTTATTTTGTAGATCAATATTGGGCGCATAGTTTTTCCAGTAGATGATCGAGGCGCATGCAAAATACAACGTTAAAGCCCCCCTGCACTAGTTTGGCCACGAGGAATTATACCTCCCTGCATGGTCACTGACAGGTAGTTATCTCATCAAATCAGCTCTCAATTAACACTAGAACTAAATTAACACTTGCTATATAGAGGGCGGAAGTAGTGTAGTGGGGCTCTAAGAACCTTTTTGTGTATAAAAGTCTCTAGAAAAGCTTAGTTGATGGAGGTTGGAGGGGAGGGGGCTGGGGAGGGGGGGTCTGTTACTAAAGCTCTCTTGTTGAAGGTGAATAATCAGTCAGAGTGTTTTCAGATAATCTTTCTTTTCCGTTTCTATTCTATTTCCAATTCAGCTGATACTAAACTGACAAGCAGCCTAATCCTGACTATCGTCATGATATCCATCTCCCTCTCGACAAGTTTTCTTGGACTTGAGTTTTAGACAATGATGTTGATCTTCATTTTTTTTTTCTTTACCAGAATTCTTGGCCTTAGGTTTTTTGACAATCATGATGATATTCGTTTCTTTTTATTAAAATGTATAAGAAAGCCGAGTTGATATTGATCACTTTCTTCAAAAGATTTCTTGGATTAAGATTATTTTAGACAATCTTGAATGATGATATTCGCCTTTTGTTCTTTACAAGAAGTCTTGGCCCTAGGTTTTTACGCAATGGTGATGATATTCATTTGTTGTTCTTTACAAGAATTCTTCGCCCTAGGTTTTACACAATAGTGTTGATATTATTTTTGTTTCTTTACAGGAATTCTTGTCCCTAGGTTTTTACGCAATGGTGATGATATTCATTTGTTGTTCTTTACAAGAATTCTTCGCCCTAGGTTTTACACAATAGTGTTGATATTATTTTTGTTTCTTTACAGGAATTCTTGTCCCTAGGTTTTTACGCAATGGTGATGATATTCATTTGGTGTTCTTTACAAGAATTCTTGGCCCTAGGTTTTACACAATAGTGTTGATATTTATTTTTTTCTTTGCAAGGATTCTTGTTCCTAGGTTTTTACACAATGGTGATGATATTCATTTTTTTTTCTTTACGAGAATCCTTGGCCCAAGGTTTTACACAATATTATTGTGTTAATATTCATTTTGTTTCTTAACAAGAATTCTTGATCCTATGATGTTCTAGGAAAAAAGAATGATGGTATTCTTTAGTCTAGATGTGGTGAATATCAGTCATCTAAACTCAAGCCATTTCTATCGTAGCTAATTGTAACTACAGTTCATTATTTGCTTTATGTAATTGTTAATGCCATTTTATTTATGCCTCATGGATTGGAAAAGAAGACAATGAGGGAACTGTAGTCGTTCAAGTAGTTAATCTTTATTTCTTCTTCTTAAGGCATCGACATGACTTTCCTCAAATTATGTTGTGTATTCTGTTTTAATAATGCTCATTGTCTTTGCTAAATAAAATGACGAGGAAGATAAGGGGTCACGAAATGATATCAATAAGGATGATGATGATCATAATGAATGATAAGAATAATGATGATAATTTAGCAATACAAATGGAATATTAGATAAACAAGTTGATAAAATGTAGAGGCGTATCCAGCGTTAAAAAAATTCCCCTCCAAACACACACTGCACAAGTTAAAGTTAAACAAAAAATAGGTGTCAAATGAGTAAAAGGTAGAATGAGAAGGTTATGGTAGTTTTCTCAGCATTGTGAGCGTCTGTAAAATGGCGCTTAGCGTTAGCATGTATAAATGGTCCCCAGTGAGTGGAGAATGTGCATACATTGTGTGCGGGCAAGCTTGAATCCGATGATATGTCTATAAAACTCTTTAATAGAGACACCGTCGATGCATTGAGCGCTATATAAACCCAGTATATTATTGTTTTTATAACCCCATATGGAAGAATGCCGTGCCCTTAAGAAGCAATTTCTTATATGAAGCAATGTTAGTTAAAATATTTTACACATCTTTAATAAATTATACATCTGTTAGCTTAATAGTGATCTAGTGGCGTATTTATTTTTGCTATGAGGGTGTACATCTCCGATGAATTTGGCAATTTACCCTAAACATTAATTTCCAAGATGAGAATAAAAATAATCACAAATTTAATTTGTATTCCTTTTTAATTACAAATTACTGTCATTTCGTTTTGTATGCATTGATTCTATTCGTATAAAGATGTGTAGAATATTTAACGCTCCTAATATATCGAATATATTGAATATCGAACATTGATTTGCATGAGAGATCAAAAGCGCTCTGAAATGCAAAGTTCTAGATTAAAAAACTGAATCGAATTGAAAATAAGTTATTTGCATCATCATATTTCGTACTAAGATTTTTAAAAAGGGTATCCAAAACGGAGTATCATATTGAAACATAAATGTAAATTGACATGAGAAATAAAATTTAAACAAAATATAAAGAAAATATAAAAGAAAGTACAAATGGAAATGAGTGCATTCGTAAAAACCAATAAGGCTTGACAATTGAATGAATATGAAACAATATTTTGAATACAAATCAGTACCAGGTTCGGGGATATGATTTTCATATTCACTACATCAGACAATAAAGAATTATTCACTAGGGCTGTTTTGAAATGGTATTCTTTGATGCACAAAGGTAGACGACGCTTTACATATTACAAACAAATATATATGTTATGATAAAAATGAAAAATGCCAAATACATGTATTGTAGTGAATCTCAATTCATGCAAAGATGATGGAGAATTAAAGATTAAACTTCGGGATCCGAAGGATAAATAAAATGAAAACAAATATCTAGGAAAAGAAAGTAGGCCTATATAAATATTTGTTGTGGTTTTTTTTTAAACAACTTGTTCAATACGTTGATTTTTGAATTTATCTATCATTGTTCTCTATACCTCTAATATAGTTATTTGAAATTGAAATGCTATGTTTCTGAAATAAGAGATCTAATGAGTGTGAATATGACGTTTTGTGCTTTAAAAACAAATCCGTTACCGATATTAACCTTTTGCAATTGTCATATAATTACATTATCATTTGATTTTTTTTCCAAAGCAGTACCTAAACGCTTTTTTACGGCTGCTAATGCCATTCTTGACTAGCTGAAATTTACTAAATAAATGTATTAGATAAATGAATTCCTTGTTATTCATGTCATGTGATTTGTTTTAAATTCGTTACATCCACGTGCAGATCTGCCACCTACGACGGAATCAACAACAGTTGGGAATATGTCAACGGTATCCAGCTCCAATTTAAGAGGCAGTGGACGGCGGCTGTTCGGCAGTGAAGTTCTGATGTTCATGACAGTTGTATTTTCAATCATATTCTTGAAATTCAAATAAAGGTATTGATATTAGGAAGTTACGCAACATCTACTTAATAAGATACAGAAAAACCAATACTGAATTACAATTTTTATATCTGAATTTCTGAAATCATTGTAGCAGCTCAGTTGGTATAAGAATGTATATATTTCTCATAGTTCTCATATTCATGACAGTTGTATTTTCAATCATATTCTTGGAATTCAAATAAAAGTATTGATATTAGGAAGTTACGCAACATCTACTTAATAAGAATTTAAAAAAAAACAATACTAAATTACAATTTTATATCTAAAAATCATTGTTGCAGCTAAGTTCGTATTAAAATGTAAATATTAATGAATAAATCAGTATTGGCGAATCAATCAGAGTAGATTTAAATCTGTAATTTCTCATTCTTCGATATACTTATACAGAATGATAGATATATTATTTGCATGCATGTAATTATTTCCCTGATTGCGGAGCGCCAGGACTAGGGACTTTTAGATTTGCACAACGACAACGTGGATTGCTACGATCGACGTCCTTTTAATGCACTGCCTTGAATGGACGTCACATGTATCAGTCCACGCAAATCTAAAAGTCCCTAGTGTCAAGTGTGACAGACATGATCGAGCGCTATACAAGGACCCACTATTATTATACGGCGAACTCTTACACAATGTTTATATTTATTTCAGAACAGCTGTCATAATTATTGTGTCACACCTTTGAACAGGGTTAAACCAATGCGAATAACAGATATTCTATTCACAATTATTGTCACGTTTGATAACATGTTAGATAGGGGGAAATATTAATATATATATATATATATATATATATATATATATATATAATAGTTTGGAAATGCCTATTTAAGAAGTATTACCTAAGTATAAGGTAATTCGTCATGAAGGCAAATTATTGTTTACTCAGCTAAAACATTGAGGTATCAAGAAATGAATATGGATATTTATATGTATTTGGTTTGTGTGTTGGAGGTTTAAACGAGGAAAATTAATGTTTTCTTATATCAAATGGTCTACCACGGGCTATAAGGTTTATAATGTATAAACAGTTGAGTGGTTTGAATACTTCGAGTCAACGTTCCCAATAGAGATAGGAACATAGAATTAACTCACACAAACGACAAGACATGAACCATTTAAAATGTGTTGATAATGTGATTCATGTACAGGTGGTGGTGTTTTCCTATGTATGTTGCTAATAAACCTTGGAATGATGGCAGCCAATTTATAGCCACTAGTTAGATCGCTATGCGTAGAATACAACAAATATTTTTTTATTACCTTTACGTTCCTTTCCATGTATGTATCTCACTATATTATGTGTGTAATCAGTTATTTTTGTGTCTGCATTCTGTGGATTACCTGATTACCTATTGTAGAAACGCATGTAGAAAATATATAATGAAAATATACATATAAGCTTTTTAGATCTAGCATCACATTTTGTTCTTTCAAGTAATTAGGATTTCTTCCTTTGCAGCAGAAATCCTGTCTTCTTTTTGTCGTTTACTTATTTTTTGAATTTTCAAGCGAATTGCATGGCATTCTAATTAAATATGTATCCACGATACCAACTGATTTGTAATTTATTTGTTTTAGTTACACATCTGGTCAATCAAACGCCAGATTTCTGTGCGAGAGAATTTGAGTATGAAGAGAGATAGAACTAGAGAGTGGCACAGAGAGAAAAAGAGGGAAAGAGTGAGAGAGAGAGAGAGAGAGAGGGAACGAACGAGGACGGGAAGAGAGGGGAGGGGTCTCCTGTGCTTAAAAATACAGGGAAAATTGTTTATAACAATTTTTTTGGAACCAAGTATTTATCCTGTTTTAATGAAACCTTGCTATATCAGGGCAACACACAAGGAAAATTATAACTAAACAAAAAACAAGCAAACAGGAAATATAGAGAAGCGGGAGCGGCAATATCAATTTGCTATAACGAGAGTTTGTATAACATCATTCTATATTAACGAGTTTCTCCTTTACGTGTTTTCGATTTGGAATCCTTGAATGCTTATATTTCTCTCACAGTCATCAGGACAGTGTTTGTTTCTATTTCTCACCATTATCTATATTAATTGCTTTTTAATTTACGTGTGAAATCGAAATCGATACTGATTCGTTAGTACAATAGACCAGGGGCGGCGATTTCTTTTCATGACTGGGGGATGAAATGCGAGGGACGAGGGAGCAGTGGCATAATGAGCAAAAACGTTCCTGGGGGTGGACAAAAAAAATCCGCATCACCCCCGAGCAAAGCGAGCGAAGCAAGTGGAGCGTAAATTGGCGTGGGGTCCAGGGGCAAAGCCCCATGAAGCTCAGGGGTTTAGGCCATTTAATATCGGTCAGATGAGCATCCAGGTGCCCGCCTTAGGGACCCTTGTAAGGTCCAGGGGCAAAGCCCCATGAAGCTCAGGGGTTTAAGCCATTTAATATCGGTCAGATGAGCATCCAGGTGCCCGCCTTAGGGACCCTTGTAAGGTCCAGGGGCAAAGCCCCATGAAGCTCAGGGGTTTTAGGCATTTAATTACCGTCGGATGAGCATCCAGGGACTGCTTTAGGACCCTTGGTGGGGTCCAGGGGGCAGAGCCCCTAGAAGCTCAGGGAAAAATCATGCCTTTTTAGCAACAGTTTTAAATCACTGGTATCGAATCAGAAATACACCACGTTTGAATTTTATTAGGATAGCAACTGCCCCCCCCCCACACACACACACACACACCATTACGCAAGTGCGAGGGAGCATAAATGACTACCCCTCACAGGTTTTTGAATTTTTGTTGTATTAAAAAATTACATTCCTTTGCAAAACTATAGTGTAAAAACTTTATATACCTTTTCACACTTCACTTTTCTACAATATTTACTCGTACACTTTGAAAGTTATTATGCGAGGGAGAAGATTTTTGCATTTTTATTTGTCTAAACGCTGCATTCTTGGGCCCTCGAGAGCCTAAAATTGTTTGCAGTCTTTAGTCAGTATATGCTATAACCTTTTTTGTGCAATTTTTCAAATTTTCTGGGGGAGGGAGATGTGTCCCCCCCCCCCCCTCCCCCCTGTCCCCCGGAATCGCCGCCCCTGCAATAGACCAATATACACTGGTAATATAGTGAGACTGTTCAAGGATACTCTCACTGACAACTTTCTAAGCAGGCTCATCAGTTCGTGCGTCCTACTTTATTGCACACAATACTTCTTCTTCTTCTCGATCTCGCGCTAAGTGTTATTATCACAGGTGAGTAAATCCAATTTCGTGAAATGAATCTGACTTGTAAGAAAATATTATTTGCGAGTTCATTGGCAGTTTTTCAATACATTTCTTGTTTGTGTCTGGTAACAAGATATATGTTTAGGTAGATATAATTTGTATTCTCATTGAACTGTTGAAGATCGATAGAAATAGCATGCATTGCGTTTGTCGATTCCCATTGTAGACCATGCAGTCTGTGAAGTAGACTGTTCATACATGAGAATATATTTAACTAACGTATTCCCAATTGCATCTTATATGTATGCACCTTGTTTACAGCCCTAGAGACCGACGGCCCACGAGAGCGACAATATTGGTCTAGCAAACCTTCTGGAAAGTGATCAGAAGGCCAACATGTCGATCTAGTGCACGGGTCTTCATGAGAGGGAGAAAGAGAGAAAGATAGGGAGAGAAAAAAGGGGTAGGGGAGATATGAAGGTCGAGAAAGAGCGAGATAGGGAGAGAGAGAGAGAGAGAGAGAGAGAGAGAAAAAAAAGGAAAAAAAAGGAAAAGAAACAGTAAAAAAGACCGAGAAGCCCGTCCCACATCTACCTCACAGTCATACCGATGGTCGGCCTTTTTTTCGCATTTCATCCCCAATCATGCCAGTATCCTTGCAATGACTGAAGCCACACTATGACATTGTTTACAACCACACCTGCCTTACATTTTGTATCTACCTAGCAGCAACATTGACTGAAATCAGTGGCGAAATATTTATGCATTTATGAGTCTTGTTAATGTTTTGTTGATTTTCAAATTGTTACAATGATGATAGAACTGTTCATTGTTATAATGATGATAAAACTGTTCATTGCTATAATGAAAATAGAGCTGTTCATTGTTATAATGATGATAAAACTGTTCATTGTTATAATGATGATAAAACTGTTCATTGTTATAATGATGATAAAACTGTTCATTGTTATAATGATGATAAAACTGTTCATTGTTATAATGATGATAAAACTGTTCATTGTTATAATGATGATAAAGCTGTTCATTGTTATAATAATGATAAAGCTGTTCATTGCTATAATGATGATAAAGCTGTTCATTGTTATAATGATGATAAAACTGTTCATTGTTATAATGATGATAAAACTGTTTATTGTTATAATGATGATAAAACTGTTCATTGTTATAATGATGATAAAACTGTTCATTGTTATAATGATGATAAAACTGTTCATTGTTATAATGATGATAACAATCACTTCCACCATTGCTCTCGTGTAAAGCTGAAAATGAAGATTGCAAGGAGAGAAGCCTTCGTCTTCTTGGCTGTCATGCTCGTCATCGTTGATGTCGATGCCCGGTCTAATGGCGCTCCCGTTGGTTCCAATCCTGAAATATGTGATACCATGATACCCGGTCATGGTATATCAGCTCAGGTTACAAAGAGCCCCTTTTCCATCGTTCCCGCCAAGATGAAGTACATGCCCGGCAAAAAGTTCTCTGGTAGGTGACATTTTCTCCTGCGAACTTACTTCGTCAAAAGGACCTATAACTTACAAACATAGCTTTCACCATGGGCCCCTTTATATTACAATCTCCTTTTTAGTTCAGTTTTTTTTTAAATAAATTTAATGCATTCAATCAAACTGGAATGGGGCACTCACTTTCTTGTTTCTTTTTGTCTCTGTAAATAAAATTCATGTATAATTGTACATTTTTGTGAAATCTTGAAATATGATATTAAACGGTAAACTGAAACTGAAACTAAAGCACCAGGTTAATAAACGAACAAACAAACACAAATCATTGGCTAAGGCGACAGTTTGCTCCGGTGACTTTTATCGGGCTTTATTTCGTCAAAGATAAATGTCAGGGTAAGGGTTTTATTTACAAATCATCTAGGTCTTTAGGTGTGAAGTCTGGTCTCGTATTTAGTTTGGTGTAGGAATTTCGCCGGAGTAGTATGTCATAGTGCACATCCCATAAACTATCTTCATTCGGTACACTGAGATGCTTAGGCCTGATAGTAATCAGAGATTATTTTTTTTTTTTGTATTATTGAAAAATTGTATGAGGACCAATTTTTAGTATAAATAGATCGAAAGGAGATATCTTTGCTCAGTTAGAATTTTGATTAGTGGAGATGGGTTTGGTGGAGGTAGAGGCGTGAGGGGATTTCACTTTAATCACTAAATGAGGTTGTTCTGGATTCTTATCTTTACCACACAGTCACAATTAACGCTACCCAATCACAACAATTCAAGGGAATCTTCATGCAGATGCGACGCAATGACACTGACGCTATCGTGGGGACGTGGTCCGTGATGGACGCGGATAAGTTCAAGACTGTGTCGTGCGCAGGAGTGGAAGACAATGCCGTGACACATGTAGACAAAACTATGAAAGGCACTGTCAACAAATTCATGTGGACACCTCCGAAAGATTTTGATGACGCCGTTTACGTTGCGTGAGTATGAACACAATATCATGAATGAAGAATAAAGAAACAAAAGAGTGATCATAATGAAGTTAACATAATTGGAGAAATAATAATCTGTAGAAATTGATATCTTCATGTATTTACTTCATGTACTACATGTAGTTCTAAAACGGGGGTTACATTCTTTTTTGAGTTCTTAAGAAAACATAAGTCACTAAATATTCCTCGAACTCTTCCTCCTTCATCTTGATATATAGCACATATAATCTTATAAGGTATTTTCTATACATGTAGTTTCAATACAAAATCAAGCCTTTAGAATAATATTTTGCATTGCTAATAATAATCATTAAAGCTGTGTTATCATGGAGATATAGAAGGAATTTTAAAAAAGACGGACATAAAGAAAACAATAGTGAGAAAGAGAATGTCTCTTGGGTAAAGTTAAAGAGATAGACACAGAAAGAGAGAGTGAGGGGGGAAGAGATAAGAGAGAGGAAGAGAGAGAGGGACAAGGGAATAAGAGAGAGAGAGAGAGAGAGAGAGAGCATTATTCACATCAACATTCCTTGGCATGTCTTTGGTTGGTAAAGGCAGAGTAAAACAGTAGGACAATGAAGTACTGATGAGTGGGTATAATAGCTTTTAAATTGTTCAACATTAAGTATTAGGTGTTCTAAAAAATAATTTCATTTGTTATCTTTTTAGGGCCACATTTGTGGAGAGTTACAGTAGTTATTGGGTCAAACAAACCTCGTCAACTATCAGTGGTAAGTATGTTGGCTTCATCTAAATTGAGTAATTTGATTTTGTAGATCAATATTGGGCGCATAGTTTTTCCAGTAGATGATCGAGGCGCATGCAAAATACAACGTTAAAGCCCCACTGCACTAGTTTGGCCGGGAGGAATTAGACCTCCCTACATGGTCACTGGCAGGTGGTTATCTCATCAAATCAGCTCTCAATAATAAGAAAAGATGATCATGGGGGACCAATGGTCACCGATGAAGCATTGTTTGCTATATAGAGGGCGCCATATAAGCAGTGCAGTGAAGCTTTAAGAATAGATGGAACGAAGTAAGCCACCTTTGTGTGTTAAAAAATCTAGACAAGATTAATTGTTGGAGGGTGGAGGTGGAGGGGAGCCGGGTGGGGGTCTGTTTAATACTAAAGCTCTCCTGCTGAAGGTGAATAATTCAGAACATTTTCAGATAATCTTCCTTTTCCGTTTCTTTTCTATTTTGTTTCCAATTCAGCTGATACTAAACTGACAAGCAGTCTCGTTCTGACTATCGTCATGATATCCATCTCTCTCTCGACAACTTTTCTTGGACTTGAGTTTTAGACAATGGTGTTGATATTCATTTTTATTTCTATACGAGAATTCTTGGCCTTAGCTTTTAGACAATCATAATGTTATTCGTTTCTTTTTAATAAGATGTATAAGAAAGCCGAGTTGATATTGATCACTTTCTTCAAAAGATTTCTTGGATTAAGATTATTTTAGACAATCTTGAATGATGATATTCGCCTTTTGTTCTTTACAAGAAGTCTTGGCCCTAGGTTTTTACGCAATGGTGATAATATTCATTTGTTGTTCTTTACAAGAATTCTTGGCCCTAGGTTTTACACAATAGTGTTGATATTTATTTTTTTCTTTGCAAGGATTCTTGTTCCTAGGTTTTTACACAATGATGATGATATTCTTTTTTTTTTTCTTTACGAGAATTCTTGGCCCAAGATTTAACACAATATTATTGTGTTCATATCCATTTTGTTTCTTTACAAGAATTCTTGATCCTATGATGTTCAAGGAAAAAAGAATGATGGTATTCTTTAGTCTAGATGTGGTGAATATCAGTCATCTTAACTCAAGCCATTTCCATCGTAGCTAATTGTAACTAAAGTTCATTGTTTGCTTTATGTAATTGTTAATGCCATTTTATTTATGCCTCATGGATTGGAAAAGAAGACAATAAGTAAACTGTATTCGTTCAAGTAGTTAATCTTTATTTCTTCTTCTTAAGGCATCGACATGACTTTCCTCAAATTATGTTGCGTATTCTGTTTTAATAATGCTCATTGTCTTTGCTAAATAAAATGACGAGGAAGATACGGGGTCGCGAAATGATATCAATAAGGATGATGATGATCATAATGAATGATTGATAAGAGTAATGATGATAATTTAGCAATACAAATGGAATATTAGATAAACAATTTGATTAAAATGTAGAGGCGTATCCAGCGTTAAAAAATTCCCTCTCCAATCACACACTGCACAAGTTAAAGTTATAAAAAAAAAATAGGTGTCAAATGAGTAAAAGGTAGAATGAGAAGGTTATTGTAGTTTTCTCAGCATTGTGAGCGTCTGTAAAATGGCGCTTAGTGTTAGCATGTATAAATGGTCCCCAGTGAGTGGAGAATGTGCATACATTGTGTGCGGGCAAGCCTGAATCCGATGATATGTCTATAAAACGCTTTAATAGAGACACCGTCGATGCATTGAGCGCTATATAAACCCAGTATATTATTGTTTTTATGACCCCACATGGGAGAATGCCGTGCCCTTAAAAAGCAATTTCTTATATGAAGCAATGTTAGTTAAAATATTTTACACATCTTTAATAGATTATACATCTGTTAGCTCAATAGTGATCTAGTGACGTATTTATTTTTGCTATGAGGGTGTACATCTCCGATGAAGTAAGCAATTTATCCTAAACATTAATTTCCAAGATGAGAATAAGAATAATCACAAATTTAATTTGTAATCCTTTTCAATTACAAATGACTGTCATTTCGTTTTGTATGCATTGATTCTACTCGTATAAAGATTTGTAGAATATTTAACGCTCCTAATGGTAACATTTGCACTAGGAATCTGAAGAAGAAAAAAAAACGGTTGAATAGAAACAAATTTGCGGACAAAGGAAAATCAAAACTGATCAATGATTTTAGCACATCAGTTTTCTATTAGCGACCTAATTTTACGGGCAGGTCAATGATAATATTCCCAACTGATCGTTGTTTATTTGGATATCAAATCGATATTGTCTGTTGAGTAATTGGGTGTGGCCATGCAGTGGCGTAGCCCGCATAGGAGGATCCCAACTCATTATAGAAACCGGGTGGAGGCAAGAGGGGGAAGGAAACGTGAAAACATGGTGATTTTACACCCTCGACCCGGGGGTCTCAGTAAAATATAAATACTGTAAGCATACGTGACCACTAATGCGTAAACAGGGGCATCACATGGTATATGCATATCACGTGCATATTAGAATATTAACTGTTCAATGTACATTGTGCACTTTTTGTAAACACTACATGAACTTTATTTGAAATAGATCAAATTTGAAATGTAATTCTTCTTTTTTTCAAAGAAAGGACGTATGATGGCTGCGCATTAACCCATTTGGAAGTGTACAGGTTGATGTTGTTGCTTCTATATTGAAATAAAATGTTTACATTGTGAATTCTACATCAAAAGTACAATTTGATTTATTTTACATTGTCAACAACTTAAATGGTAATCCCTATCACACTTTGAAATGCTCAAGGGGCTACGAATTTACATTACTTATTAAAGAGTACACTTTTTTGAATTCGAGAAAAAACCATGCGAAATCCTCATTTAGAGTGTCTTTTGGCTTTAGAAGATATCCTTGTTTAGGGGGTGTCTGGAAAACCTGTTGTCACGCATGCTTACAGAATTTCTACAAGACTGAGACCCCCGGTCCCATCCCCACTCACTAAATGGCAATGTTCTCATACATCAGATTTATACCTTGAACCCCCCCCCCCCCCCCCAACTTGAACATGGGCCTTGTCAGGCGCGTACGCAGGGGGGGGGGTTGGGGGTTAAACCCCCCCCTTTGGAAATTTTTTGTGTGTAAACCCCCCTAAAAAAAACCTAAAACCCCCCCCCCCCCCTTTTGGATTTTTTTTTTTTTTTTTTTTTTTTTTTTTTTTTTTTTAATTATTAAAAAAAAAAAAAAAAAAAAAAATTATTCCCATGGCCGACCTAAAAAAGGTGACCTTACCCCCCCCCCCAACGGAGCAAAATGTCAAATTTCCAAATTTCGAGACCAAAAAAAAAAAAAAAGTGTCCTCTTACCCCCCCCCCCCCCCCCCCCCCCCCCCCCGCTTATTCAGCGGCTGGCTGAGTCGTTGCGAAATTTTCGGACCGATTTATAAATGTTAAAACCCCCCCCCCCTTGAAAAAATCCTGCGTACGCGCCTGGGCCTTGTTTCAGCATAAATCTCGATTTTAATAACAAGTGCTAGTGTGCTACGAATTGAATGAGATATGTTTAGCTAGAGAGATAGATACAGAGAGAGAGAGAGAGAGAGAGTATGTGTGTGTGCGTGTGTGTGTGTGTGTGAGAGAGAGAGAGAGAGAGAGAGAGAGAGAGAGAGAGAGAGAGAGAGAGAGAGAGAGAGAGAGAGGGGGGGGGGGGGGGGGGGGGGGTACGGTGGCGCCATGAAGTACGTCTGGTATCGAGACTAGTTCTTAATTGGCCTGGAAACGAGTGACGCGAGACTGCACTGATTTGTTATGATTGTCTTTCTTCGGTGAGTTAAGATTACATTTTCAACTAATTACAGTAAATTTACTTTGAATCGAATATAGGCCAAACATATGTACAATATATGTTCCAGCTCAAGCATTCATGAGTTTAGAGCGGGATTCTGGGGGCTTAAATCAGTTAATTTCACAAACATAATTTGTTGCTAGTGGGACTGGGTGTTTTAACGACGCGGCACGCCGAATGAACGGCCTCGGACTCTGAATGCGAATGGGGAAGCTCGTGCCGGATTATGCATGCATGATCAGCCTTGGTGGCTTAATGTACGGTAGATGGCAAGGTGCTTCGTTAGAAGTGCAGATATTACAGGCAAAATAGAAACAGTGATGGTGATGATGATGACTAAATGTACAAGGAGAACAAACCTCAGCTCAAAAGAAAGGAAAGAAAGAAGATCGAAGATGATCTAGAAGACTCTCTCTGGAGAGGACAAAGAAGACTAGGGTCTAGACCTAGACCTAACAGTTAGAGTGGTTTGCAGAGTTTACTCTGATAATTTCTAAAGCTCTCTTGAAACACATAGATGATTAGCACTGCATGGTATACATGTGTAGGTCTACAATTATTGAATTATAACTGTCATTATTACCATTGTAATCTTGAATCTTGAATTGTTTCTTAACTTTCTTACTTTAATAGATCTACTGAAATTACACAGGACATTTGAAGAACTACTGAACATGGTGTGACATTGAGTGCAGATCCACTGGGCGTCTTTTAAAACTCACCTTGCAACTTCGGAATGTCAAGCAACGGTCCTTCTCGTGCCCCTACCAGGGCCCAGACGGGAGGTAGAGATGGAGCCACAAGCACCCGACCACCAAGCATGGCTTCCAGATCCACCAATCTTCATCGCAATCAAAGTTTCAGGGGCCTCAAGAAGGTCAGCATGAATGAATGAATGACCTTTTGATTGGTTGATTATTTAAGATTCATTGATTAACAAAATAAATGTGTATATGGTATGCTGTCCACAATTGCCGACTGTGCACAGTTTTTTTTAAATTTTTTAAAGAAGATTTTCTTCATTTTAAAAAGAAAAAAAGATGAAACTACAACACCTACAAATACTCAGAGCTTAACGAATTAAATAATACCCAAACACACTGCACTGATCTACATGTACATTTATCTTACGTAGTTGTAACTTTTGTTATACTCTTAACTTGGAAATGAATGAAATATATATAAGTTTAAAAAAGAGATTTTAGAAAAAGTAAATCACAATAATTTTGAGGACAGATTTTCTTGATATTATAGCAAATGTGAGGTGTGAAAGTTTGTTTTCAGACAAAGCTCAAAACGTTCTAGTCAAAATAATAATAACTTGACCTGTTGACTATTGAATTATTTCAGTCCCTAGGCTAAGTACGTGCACAATAAGTTCACATAGGCAAAGGGTTAAGAACTTCATGAAAAAAATCTGAACTTTCTTGATGCAGGCACAGTATCGGCCTATGGTAACTGTAGCTAGACGTCGAACTGAAAGCAGGAGCACAAGAGCGTCTACTGCGGAGCCTCCTGGACCCAGCCGTAAGGAAACACTCCAAGATCAGCTGAGCACCATCGATGAAGATAGATCAGACTCCAATTCAATCATTACAGCAGTGAGTATGGACAAATAATAATAATAATAATAATATTTAGCTTTTATATAGCGCTTAATACAAATGTCTCTAAGCGCTTTACAAATATACTATAACCCCGGTCATTGCATTCAATACTTGCCTGCACATACTGTGTGCACAATCTCCACTCCCTGGGGAGCATTCCAGCCAGGCATTACTTCACGCTCAAAAACTGTTTGACCAACAATGATGGTCACATCCTACCGGGTACCCATTTAACACCTGGGTGGAGAGTAGCAAGTGCAGGTTAATATCTTGCCAAAGAATATTAGTGCAGTGTCGAGATTCGAACCCTCGACCTTCGCATCTCCAGTCAAGTGCCTTAAACCACTCAACCACAACACTCCTTGATCCAATTTTGATGTCATATAAACTAATAATTCCCAATTCCAGACTCTCATCACCTGAAACACTTTTCACAGTAGCTGCTTTGGAAAGATGGAACAATATATCCCACTTTCCATGGAAATGGATCATGGGTGTGGGCTGTGTGTAGCTAAAGCAACCTTCCAGTTTAAACTGGCAATGAGCGTAGTATCCGTATACCGCTTGGATACCACAATCTATACAAAAATGATACTTATCTGGTTATGGAAAGTCATGGAATTTGGTTCTCAAATTTCTATGGGACTCCCGCAACAATAAGTCCTCAACGAGTGAAAAATAAGGCAAGCCATTGCCTCCCAGAGCCTCATGAATAACACAATACTTGCAATCATCATGTTGTGCATTTCCTAATAGCTTTCGAAACCTGTGATGCTTTAGATAAGCAAGCAATGTTCGTAATGACCTAATACTCTTTCATGACATACTTTTCGAGATTCAATGTACTGTACATCAACACATTTTGTTAGGTGAGTATGAAATCGCATTTTGTTTTGCTTTATTCAGTTGACCAGTGATATTCCCAAGCCTCGCTACACCTACAACCCTCCTGTAGACGTCATGGCAGCCAGCGAGATGAACATTGTTACACAGTATCTAGATGATGCCTTCGTCCATGCCCATATGCTATCCCTCTGTCAAGGACTACTAACCAACCCAAACCTACCCTACAATCCATACCCAGCCTTCTTAAAGCGGCTGCGACACCTCGCTGAAGCGTAAGTAGTGTTTTTCCTAGAGTCAATGAGGGAACTAGTGCCGTAACATCATGGATATCTCCAATTCCGTTTAACCGCCAGTCAAAAACAGACGATTTTGGGTTAAATGATTTATGATTTATACAAAAAAATTAAAACAATTTTTTTTTTTTTTTTTTTTTTTTGACCGACAGCAAGCCAGGTCCGTGTGAAAAAGCGGAAAGGACTTTCATTTAGCTGCGAGGTGCATTTGAAGGCGCTGATTTGTGCTTGTGAACTTGTCACAAATAATAGTAACGATGTCGTTTTTAGAAGAATGTGTAAGATCATTAATGTAAATTAAAAACAGTAGAGGACCTAGGATAGAACCAAGGCTTGTGGTACGCCGTGTGTAAAAGTTGGATGAATTATTATTATAAACTACATATTGAGATCTGTTACAAAGATTACTTTCAAACCAAGATGACAGACAAATTGGAGTGTTGTTCTAGTTTTGGAGTGGTGAGTCAACACACAGATTACTGAGCTGGGAGACATTGCCATGCATTGTGCCAGGTGGAGGGGCATAAAATTATTTAATTTTTTTTTTTTTTTTAAACGGCAGAACGAAACCATCCAATTGAAAACGGAATCCGCCATGGGCGGTCGGATACCGGACGGTTAAACGTTTGACTACAGCACTAGAGGGAACCATTCTTTTAGAGTTATTTTCATGGCTCCATTGGTATGTTCCGTCTGAAACGGTCTTTTGCATGATTGTTATGCTGCTGAACTGGTAGCTCTATAACCAAACAAAATTACCTCTTTTACATAATACCGATCTGAAGTTCAGGTCCAGGGCAAGAAAGGTAATGCGTACTATTGGCTTAACTGCATGATCTTGGCTTGGGTTGTGATCTATTCACTATAGACAATTGCAAATTAAGTAACATTGTTGATGATTGACTGTATAGTTTGTGACTGCATTAACTTGAGCGCTAAATTACCAACTTCCTCTTCATTAGGTTATGAAGGGGATGTAGCATGGCAAACCAGTGTTAACGCCATCTATGACTTCTTTTGGACAACTGCACGTAAACGAATTGACTTGATTAACAGTTAGCGCGCACTAGCTAGCGTTCACACATATATGTTGCACACACGTGAATACTGCGCTTCAGTGCATCGTCCTTTGTCATATTATACCCAATTGACCCCGAGTCAGGCCATGGGAAAGACACTAAGTCTCGTCATGCTACACCCCCTTATAAACAACTTCAAGCAGCTAGCAGTTATCAACTATGATGTTCATGTTTGTAATTTGTCGTATCTATCACACTGGCATTTTCTTCCAGATTCCACATGCACCGAGAGGCGCCAGAATCCATCGCTGCCATCCTCACAAACCCCTTACAGAAGACCAGTACACCGGTGATATGGGGGGTCAAGGGTCACACCAACGTCTGGGGTTTGAAGGACATTGTCCATGCCGTTGATCCCAAGGTCATCAGTGATTACTCCTGGCTTTTGTCGTCTGTTGCTCCGCCACAGATCGCTGAGGTAGAGGACAGTGGTGTGAAGGTAAATAATCCTGTATTATAGAGTAAAACCTGTACGTAAAGACCACCTCAGGGAGACAAGAAAAGCAGTTGTTACAAGCGTAAGGCCTTTGTGTGCAGGTTCACTTTAATAAAGCCCTGTATTCAAAGACAGCTGACAATTAAGAAAAGTTGTATTTACAAACATATGGGTTTCGTGTACAGGTGACTTTAGAAACTTGTTTACAAAGGCTGCTTTAAGGGAGACTAGAAGGGGAAAATGTGAGCAAGCAGGTGGTCTTTATATACAGGTTACCCTGTACAGTAAATCTGTATAATAAAGACCACTCAATTAAGGGAGACCCCAAGAAACACAGTCTTACACAGATGGTCTTTATATAACAGTTTCCTTAATTTCAAGGGAAACCAAACAATGTCTTTATAGACAGTTGGCCCAAAGTCATGATTACTTCTTGCTATTTTCTTTCCTACCTCCACCACAGATAGCTAAGACAGCGGGAAACGTAAAAAAATGTCTATTGTGATAAATCCAAATTTCAAATTATAAACTATGTAGAAGATTTAGAGAACTATGTAATAAAGTTGTGTAACTACTGTGGATTTGAGATTTATCATCTTAAATGGAACGTCATCTTTAAATCTTAAGCTTGGAAATAATAGCTCTTGTGGCATTTGTATAATTTAGTGAATCAGATGTAACACAACATATGATAATTAGTGATAGATAAATTATATAAATTCAACATAGATTCTTTGATAGGAAATGTAGATGTTTCAGAGTAATTGCTTTATATGGGGGGGCTGGGTTCTCGTATTCTATTGTATGACTACAATGGAAATGATTTCATCTTGTCAACTTTTACTAAGGACTGTAAATAACATTTGAAGATTTTTTGTTTCTATTGACAGGGTGATATATTACTAGCTCTGACTGGTCCTGCCATCTTCAGTGGGACATTCTATCCGGACCCACCTACCATTGATTTCAGGCTTGAATTCATGATGTATGGCACCAGGCTAGATATGGTAAGATCATGTTCCTTTTGTTTCTGAAATTGTGTTCCAATGCCTGTAACATTGTGCATGAAGGTTTTTTGATTGCTCATGCATCCTGCCTACTTTGCTTTCATCAAAATGATTTTCCTTATCAAGAGAGAATGCATGTGCAATCTGGTAGGCAAATATGGCACTTCATAATGCCACCTCTGATTATTGATTGAGAATGTTTGAAGATGTTTCACTATTAATTGAACGAGGATCTCTGGTATTAGCTTTATTGTATGGATTAAGTCATTCTGTTTTTACGATTGAATATGAATTATGATAGATATTAAAGCCTATATCTGCACTAGTTTGGCCAGGAAGGATTAGACCTCCCTGGGTGGTCACTGACAAGTGGTTATCTCATCAAATCAGCTCTCAATTAACATAAGAAAAAGGGGACAATGGGGGACCAACGGGCACTGCTTTAATAGGCATTGTTTGCTGAATAGAGGCCGCAAGTAGCTACAAGTAGTGCTGTCCCATTTAAAGGGGAAGTCCACCTCGATTTCATTTGATTTTAATGGAAGCAGAACAGAAACAGGTCAGTGAAAGTTTGAGCATTAAAGCCCAATTGGAAATTAATTATAAGAAAGTTATTGATTTAACAAAAATAAACTGATCTTATTCTTTATGTTCTCATTACAGGCTTTAAGAGTGTTCTCTAAGACATTAAGGGAAGATGTCAAGAGAATAACATCTAGCAAGTGTCCACACTGCTTCCTCTGTAAGATTCTTATTTCATCAAAAACATTGATCATAATCAACAGGAAGATCCCCGAGTGAAAATAAGAACTAGCATGTACAACACTTGTTCATCATTTGATTGGGGGAAAAATAAGTATGAATCTGTATGGCACTTGATACAAGGTGCCATTTCTAAGCACTAATATACTCATATTATTTCCCCGGTCATGAGATTCGTTGATGTGGACTCAATGTGTACCATCTCCACTCCATGAAGAGTATTCCTATACTGTTTACTCACTGTGATTGTATATGACAATTACTATCACAAAATAAGCTTTCATCATCCTACCAGGTCCCCATTTCTGGCCTAATTGGTACGGAGTTGCATTTCCGATCAAGTGCGCTCTAACCACTAAACTATTACACCTCTACAGTGTACGTGTCAAGAAAATGTGTAAAGAAAAGTGTGTCATAAACTTGGGATTCATATTCATATGAGGAATTTAGATTAGACTACCAGCATCTAGTTTTCATGAAGTCTAATCTATTTTCATGTTTTATGGAGAAAAATTCAGCAGAGCATCTTCAAGACAGTGCAGAAATATATAGTGTTTACGTATTGACTCGATAGCTCAATTGGTAGAGCAGTGGTCTCGTAATCTGGCGACCCTGGTTCGACACCAAGGCGATGCGCTAGTGTCCTTTGGTAAGGCATTAAGCCTCATTAACAGGTCTCTCGGAGAGGACCTAAAGCCGTCTGTCCTCCAGTTGCTTAATAAGCATTTAATACTCTTAGCAGTCGGGTAAATTATAATGTAACTACCACTACATTAACAATTAGAACACTGATTCCCAAAAAATTTTGAGTTACCGGTATATATGCTATGAAATTCCACTGGCAGATCTTCAAGACCTTTTAAGGTTTGATGAATTTGCAAATAACAATATATATTTATCTCACAAAGGTATTGTAACAGCTGCTAATGGCAAGCCCACACTATGGGACAAGAAGAGAGTCGTGATGGAGAAAGATGCCTTCTTTGCTGCTGTGGAACAAGCTGTCAAGAAGCGTAATCCTCCCGTCATGAAGGTGAGATTAACCCTTTAAAGGGCAAGTCCACTCCAAAAATAACTTGCTTTCAATAAAAGCAGAAAAATCAAACAAACCAATCAAAAAAAGTTTGAGCAAAATCAGATAACTAATAACAAAGTTATGAATTTTTGAAAAAGTGGGTTGAACTATGGAACTATGAGAATCACAACACAATTTGCCAAGATGGTTATCAGTTTGTGACGTCATGTCCTCACAACTTGTCAATTACTGTATATGGTTTAATCCTATTAATTTCCCTTTTTATCCCCCAAAACTTGATTTCCCCATGCCTTTGCCCAGGTTATATGATTTGTATCATATTGCGTGCATGACATTTCCCAAAAACTTTTATGAATTTTGAAGAATTGATACTATTTTCTGAATATTGTATTTCATAACTATTGATTTTTATATAAATAGTTTATCAAAATTCATTTTTTTCATGATTTAACTGGACAAAAATTACACTCTATTTGTGCATCCACACGCCTATCATCACTGGTCAACTCATCATTATTCATATATGTGTATTGTATGTGTGACGAGCGTATTCTCATGCATGATTCATAAGACTAGCCTTATTTGGTGATCGATCACTTTGATTCAACCAATCAAATATCATCTCCAGGTTCCCCATCGCTCATTGGCCTATATTGGTCCATGCTACATAAATATTCATGAAAGAGCTTTACAGGGGGTTCGTAGATTTTCTACGAACGAAACATGGTACATAAAAGAAAATAAAACTTTTCGCATGCACCAGTGAAGATAGGCGCGCTGGCTGACGCCCGCGCTGATGTCACGCTCCAAATAAACGCGATTAGAATACTTTTAGAGCCCGACGCATATTGGATAGGCTAGAAACTATAGGGAGAAAACAAATTCTGCTGATCTTGTCTTATGTTTTCATGGAATGCTAGATATCATGATTTTGCTTATTACTGAGCAGTTACACATTTTCTTTCAGCACTGTTGGGTAGACCTGGAAATTGGTTATTTATGTATTTGTTTGTTTATTCATTTATTTATTTATTAATTCATTTATTCATATATTTATTTATTTGATTCATTACTAATCTATTTAAACGTTTATATATTATCTTGTATTTTATTTTCTAATATTTGTTTTAAAATATTGGTTACACTTTTTGTTTACTTTTTTTTTTTTTTTTTAAACCAGAACTCAATATTGTATTTTTTTTTTTTTTTTTTTTTTTTTTTTTTTTTGGGGGGGGGTCTTTATATCATCTGATTGTAGACCTTGTGACCATTTTTTTTTTAAAATATAAGGTGTTAATTTCATATAACTGGTTCAGTTTGTTCAATCAATGAACACGCTCTCTAATTACAGGTTATATATGCATTGAATGAAGGAGGTAGAGAGTACAAAAAGGGATCCAAGAAATACATCTTCCACTTCATCGAGACAGACAAAGACACAGGAGTTGAAAGGTAAGACATTTTGACTTCTTCATGTTCTTGAATTATCTGAATGTGAAGTTAATCTACAGCAATCAGACATTTAATGTTTTTGATATGTGAAAAGAGGCTATCTGATAAGTACCCACATCACCCATTGCTAATTCTGCTGACTGCGTGAGGAGATTTTCTTTACACTGAAGTTTTCTTTCTAAAGTTCATATCATGCAATACCTGCATGTTTACATATTGTTGGAATTACTCTACATTTTTCGCTTTGATAGAGGATTTAGGACCCACACCGTCGAACTGAATGCTAGTTCTTTGGTTTTTAATTACTGTAATAAAAGATTTATTTCAAAATAATGTTCTTTTTTTCATATTCATATTTCCCTAACCATGATTTAAAGCCCATCTATTCAAGTTTGGCCAGGGGCATTAGACCCTTTACCAAGGTCATTGACAGGTGGTTATCTCATCAAATCAGCTGTCAATTAACATAAGAAAAATAGGATCATGGGGGACCAACAGGCACCAATTAGGCATTGTTTGCTATATAGATGGCGCAAGTAGCTATAAGTTGTGCAGTGGGTCTTTAATTACTTTAATGACAAGATTTATTTCAAAATAATTGTTTTTTTTTCATATTTCATTTCGTTTTTATTTTTCATTTCCAACAACATACAATATGTTTACAATGTATACAAAACATGGCTGAGGACATATTGATATGTCCCTAACCATGATTCTGACATTTTGGTTTGATACAGGTTCAGCAGCTTTGCAGAGCACCCTTACGAGACTCTCTTCTCCTCCATCTTCCTGCGAAAAGCAGATGCTGAATCTTATGTCGCTGGCTTCAAACGCTACCACGACCCGACGGGGCGTGCAGCCACGAGGTCAACGACAAGAAACGAGGGCCCAAGTAGGGGCGAGACCAGGAACCAGTCTTTCGGCACGAGGAGAGGAAGGAGAGAGGAGCAGACTCAGAAGCAGCCTGCTTCTCTGACCACCATGGCTGAGGATATCAAAGAACCAGTGAGGTAAGACTAGAAAGTGGTTGAAGGTTCATTTTGATGAGATTAATTTTTTGTACAGAGTCTTCCTAAAACATTTTTAATCAGACTGAAAACTCACTTGCTCATGTAGTATGTATAGCACAACATTTATGAGCTCTTGCAGCACAGTAGAATATATCCACATACCAGTAGTTATTGCGCTTTACAAATGAATATATTATATTATTTTATATTATGTATTACTTCATTTCATGCCATTTGTTTTACTTTGCCTAAGATTCATGAAAATTTTGCTTCTTTCGGCCATCAATAGTTTGATAATTATAGTACCAGGAAAATGGTAAAGGTGTCTTTATCTCAAATACCAATTTAATTGGCTTAGCATATCATTTGAATGTAATATATACAAATAAGAGAATCATATTTCTGATCAATATTTATTTGCACTATATTTATTAGTTGAAGTGTTACTGAGGTGTGATTCTTTCCTTTTATTTAATTTTTGTTGCAAGGAATTCCTGGGAGAGGGATCTAGCAAGGTTGAATATTCTGAAAGGAGACGCTTCTACAATCGTCAATATTCTGCTTCTCATAGTACTCATGGATAGGTAAGTCTTTCCATGATTTCATTCTGAAAGATGAAATGACTGCAGCAAAATGCTGAATTTAAGACTGTATATCCAGGTTTATCTATCAAAATCAAGATCACCAAGATTTCTCTATTCTCCTCTAAAATATAAGAACCTGGACATTCCCTGAAATATGTTGATGGAATTTATTTACCAAGTTTCATCGGTTTTTGTAACTCTGCAGAGAAGGTCCAGTGGAGACTGGGGTGTACTTAAACTGTATACTTTTCTTTCTTTCTACTAGAAACAAATACAAGACAGAAGAGTTGGTTGACCTCTATCGCTTCCTACGCAGTACAGCTAGTCAGTTCCATGTGGCGTGTTCTCTGAATGCACTGCTTCGCTTGTATGTACGGCAAAAGGTTAGTATATACTCTGCAACCTCAAAGACGTTCCCAGTGACACTACTTTTCATTTCTGCATTTTGGTTTTCGTGCAGTAAATATTAAGGTTCTATATGACAGATGCTGAAATACATGCTATGTGATCAAGTTAATGTTTTTTAATGAATCCATAACTTACATGTAGGCCCATTACCATACCTATTCTTAAACCCATCCTAAAATCTGTTTACAGCCCAAACCATATCCTTTATGTATTTTTTACTAAATAATTAAGCCTGGAATCTATTGCACTGAGGGAAATATTTGAACACAAACTACTTGGCATTTTGCATTATTTCTCTGTCACTGTGGCAAGTATTGAAACCTTTTGACAAAAAACAGCTAAAATTGTTTATTGAAAGAATTGCAGTAAATTTTAACCTATAAAATTCTGAAAATTGCAACTAATGATATAGTATCAGTCCTATTGATAGATTCAGGAGAGAGGTATTTGTTTATTTGTTGTCAGTTCTTTCTTACAATTGTTGAGGATACAGACGCATTGTCTAATAGCTAGTCAAGAGTATGTGACTTTTCATATTCATTCCAGGAGAGCAATAACCAAGAGATGGGTACAAAGCTCTTCATGCAATACAAGAAGAGTCTCCTTACAGTACTGGATCCCACATTGTAAGTATTATGAATGACCAAGCTCTTGTTTGGCTTTTTAAAAGGGATCTTAGCATTCCATTATCAATTACGTGAACTGGTAACATGTCACACTTTGGTGATTTATGTAGTAAAACAAGAAATAAATGGAACTGTACATGAATTAAGTCAAGTCCAAGATAAGTACTAGAGTGCGTTGATCATCCCTTTTCTGGCCTAGAACGCACCCATAGTTATCTAACCCAATGGTACACAGAAATTGACTGGAAAAGTATCTATTTCACCTGATTTTTGGACATCCCACAACTGTATTCAATGTAGTTGATGATGATTTCTGTTGACTGTTCTTGTAAATTGTAGTATAGACATGTAATGGATACAGTTAGTATTTACCTACGACTAGCCCATCAACTCTCCATTTATTATTGCTGAGTAACTCATATTTCATTATTAATTGTTATGATATGTGAAACTAAGTATTTTATTTTTGAAATACATTTGAAAAAATAATAAACAAATAAAACAACAATGACAACAACAACAACAATAAATCTTTGGGACGTTTAATTCTGGTCAAACAGTAAGCCAGCGTGGTGTTTTGCAATATTTATTGTTTGTAAAGAAAAAAAATGCCCATCGTGATATTATGTACAAAGTGTAATTTGCTGAAGAGTATTTCTATTTTTAAATTTGTGCTTTGCCTAGGAAATATCATAACTGCCTAATTTTTGTCATATTTTATCAGACATGAGAGATGCTCCGATCAGGTAGCAGCATATAACTTCCTCAAGCTCAAACTAGATAGAATGACCAGAGTACAGAGAGATGACAAAGGGTCAAAGGTCACAATCATTCCACTGGAGGTTCAGGTAAGATATACACCATATAAAAATCATAGAGGAGTAATTTCAAATAAAATCCATACTACATTATCTTTCGGATCGATTGTTCCTCATTTATTTTCAAAAGTTGATATTTATGTGTAATGTTGCTAAGTAAATGCTTTGCAAATGGCATTTTAAAACAAACCTTGGTTGAAAAAAAGCTAAAAAGATTTAAATATATATTTTCTTTATGAAAATTATGGTTCCCAATGATTTGCTAATGTAAGAAAAAAAAAACCCTAGACTGCTGGTGTAAATTTATTTTCACAAGATATTTGCATTAAAATGTATATATTTTGTAAAGCTTATCACATCTTCTAAGTGTAGAAATGAAGACTTTATTTTATTTTTGTTTATGCTTGTATACCAGACTGTTGTCCAGTTGGTGGAATTGGACCTCATCTGTCTGTCCATCCAACTTGGTCTAAATGAAGATGCCCTGGCCTACCTCAAACATCTCAACATCAAGGTACAGTCAAGACCAGGTCCCAATCCTAATTACATCTAATACTGATGTTGCTGTCATATCAAAATCCATGTAGATATATGGCATAAAAGCAATAATAAAACATAATTTCACCTTTTTAATATAGTAAACGTTTTGCCTCGATCTGTTTAACTTACGCCTGTAAGGTTGAGATAGAAGTTAAAATTGTTTGCAATTGTAGTAATGGAAGAGTTCAACATATATGAAACAAGTGTGCTTGTATTTCTTTTGGGGGGGGGTGTGGTCATCTTTGGCATGATTTACATACATTTTCATACAGATTTCATAATATTTCTTAAAAAGCGTTAGCATTGAAGTTGAAAAGGGTGAATGTGTTAACCCTCCCTTTGGCTCTTTTAGGAAGCCTAACAAAATGCAGTGACACGAACAGACACATCTGGAACGCAAAATCGCATAATTGTTTAAAATCGTAATTTCATCACACAGAGGGAGAACCGTATTGGAGCTGGTAAATACACTGATGTACTTTCTTGATTAGTCCAGATGTTGCCTGAGCTTTCATTTATATATATCCACAAAAAATAAAAGTATTGTGACTTTTGCGTTCTGGGTGCGTCTTTTTGCGTCACTACATTCCACCAAGCTACTTTGAATCAAATTAAACATATTTTTGTGATTTTAGTCTGATACTTCTTTTCACATGAGACTTTCAGTGATGATTCTTTATTGATATTTGCTTTCCAGAAATTGCTCTCTGATTACAGAGAGAAGTACCCAGACAGCGTGCCCCGCCCTCAGACTAGAGAGAAGAGCGTGCCTCATGAAGATAACAACAAAAAGAAGGTAAAGAATAATTCATGATAACCAGCATGTGTCTGAGATATGGATTTGATGGAGGGAAATGCAAGAAATAGTGGAGAAACTAGTGATAAAGAAAGAAACTGAAGAGAGGGAAAGAGAGAGATGAGATAAAAGTGAGATATAATGCATTTATATTTAGTACCATTTAAATGCTATGAATCGTCATCATCACCATCATCATCATCATAATCATCATCTTCACCACCATCATCACCATCATCATCACCACCAAGTTTGGAAGCGCTTAGTGATTCTAATAAGCGCTATATAAAAACTGAGTATTATGATTATTATTATTATCATCATCATCATCTCCATCATCACCATCATAATAATCATCAGTAAAAGCTTAAATCTGTGTCTCATTTGTACCTTTATGATCAGGGAACGAAGGTTGTGCCACGTAAACCACCAGTCATCCTGAAACATGGTGTAGAGGCTAACTCCATCAGTCAACAGAGGAATTTTTGTGAGTACTTTACCAATATTTTCTCCATATTAATATTCACCAAGTCTCTCAATGGATAATCTTTATCTAAATATTTGCCATGCTGTCAGAAGTATATAGTTACATATTCCTGAGTTTGACCAATAAGGAATGTTTCAGGAGTGTATTTCTTCAATTAATATTTAATTTTCTGTTTAATTGAAATACAAGAAAGAATACAAGACTAAGATTCATTTCATGCCCTTTTATAAGGAATTGATTAGGAGAGTAAATATGTAATGATGACACATTTCATTCCTGTTTTATAAGGAATATGTTAGGTATATTAGTATATTGGAGTATTTGTATTATTAATCTTGTACCTGGTTTCCACTACGATTCAAATACAAGGAAGAAAATATGAAAGGAAGTGTCACTTTATGCATCGATCCTCTGCTTAAATATACCAATCAACAGTTACTTCTACTTCTACGACGATACTCAGCAGGATCCATAAGTCAGGATGTAGTGCTGAGGAATAAACAATCTAGTTCTTGGTCTAGATACTTGGTGGAAGCGCTCCCTTGAAGCCCTCCAGTGAAGTAACGTCAAGGGTGATCTTTGAAAGTGCATTCCACGCAGTTACTGTCCGAGGGAAAAATGAGTTCTGGTAGAGCTGGGTGCGGGATGGGATAGCCAGCAACTTCTTAGTAACGGAATATAGGTGGAGACATATTTGACACACCATTACATATTCATCTTGTTGTTTTAAACATATGCTTAGTGTAAGGAGAACAAGTAAGGAATGCCAACCATACCACTTGTCTTTTATTTATGTTACTGTAGTTGTGAATGTGGAGTGGTCTGTTCAGTCCAGTATGCATCCTGTTGTCATGGCAACTGAAGGAGTGCTGATGCAGGTAAGTACAGTATCTAGCTTTCAATGTCTCCAATAGAGGAAGTTTAGCAAACATTGCATTCAATTTGTGCAGCTTGTCTCACTTATTGTGAAAGTGTATGTGTTAGTTAATTAATTATTTGATTGAATTTCAGTTTCTTATCAACATTAATTACAACATTTTTTACATTTTTGTTTTAAAGTTATTTTTGTTTTAATTTAGTAATGAGTACAGTACATAGAGAGAGGATATAATCTGTGAAGCAAAGCTTGTGCTGAAAACACCAAGAACAATTACAGGCACTTTATATGTGAATACGTTTCTTTGCATTTTAGCAAAGAAATCTAGGGTTAAAGAGAAAATGCAGTAGATTGTGACAAAAAATAAGAAAGTTAAGCATAGGAAGAGAAGGTAAATTAAAAGTACAGGTAAATAGGTTAAAAGTTTATTATTTTGAGTATTGTTGTATTTTAGATGTCAATGAATTATTATGTCACATGTTTACAATGACAACATTAAAGGTTATGGCAGTAGCCTTATTATTTTGCATTATCCAAATGCTATCCTTGTAGTATCTGATAGATATAAGGATGGATCAAGTTTGGCGAGGCTATCTCATGGATCTGATCAACGGAGATCATCTCCCACCAAACCCCTACCCTAGACTGATCACCATGCTCAGACAGGCTGCATTCAAGTGAGTTATAGGATTCATTGTTAGGGCTAAGGTGAGAGTTGGGATAAAGTGTAGGCTCAGGCTTAAGGTTAGAAAAATAGCATTAGAGTGAGTTTAACAATTCATTATAAGGCTTTAGGGTTATGATTTACATTGTAGGGCTAGGGTTAGGGTTAAAAAAGCAACTTCTGAAGGGAGTTTTATTATTCATTGTTTGGGCTAGGTTTAGGGTTATAGGCTTAAGGTTAGAAGGTCTGCATTCGAGTGAGTTAAATGATTCATTGTTAGGGCTAGGGTTAGGGTAAGGGTTAGGCTTAAGGTTAGAAAATTACATTTATCTGCTCATGCACAGATATTATCTATGAGCTATCATATTGCTGGAAGCTAGGTTCACCAATTTTTGTTGACATTTTATAGTGGTACATTTGATTGAAGGAAACTTATTCAAAGAGGGATAATATGCATGCTTTATCAACTACATGTAGGATGGAACTATGGAGAGAATCAGACGCCAAACTCCAAGCCAGACTGCTTCATCGCCAGTCAAGACTAGTCGACCGAGCCAACTATGTCTACACCCTGGAGGAGTGCAGTGGGTTTGGACTGTCCTCTGCGGTGTCTGCCATCTTGGCACAGAGCTTCAAGAAGCTGTCTGTCTTAGCTAACCTGATGGCAAACCAAGATGTTGTTACTCACAAGGGACAGTATCAGGTATCCATGAAATATTTTGCTTTGATTCTTGGACAACTGTCTTTACATTACTAACAACTTCTTGGACATTTACAACCATGCAACCCTCCTAGGAATTACCCTTAACAAAAGCTTCTGAAGTAGTTTATTCGAGAGATAATTGGTGTTATCATTTAAAGCACCACTGCACTACTTATAGCTACTTGCACCCTCTATATAGCAGTCAATGCCCAATCGGTGACCATTGGTCCCCCATAATCCCCTTTTTCTTATGTTAATTGAGAGCTGATTTGATGAGATAACCACATGTTAGTGACCAAGCAGGGAGGTCTAATCCCTCCTGGCCAACTAGTGCAGAGGGGCTTTAAGAGATGTCCCTGTGCTGTCGGCCATAATGGCACCGAGCTTTAAGAAACTGACAGCCCTAGCTAACCTGATGGCTAACCTAATGGCTATAACTAAGATGTCGTTAGCCACGAAGGACAGTACCAGGTGTACAAAATAGTCCCTTTGATCCTAGGACATTTACCCCCTTTCAGTTCAAGCTAACATGAATACCTTTTCCCTTATCATTTTTCCCATCTACATATCCATGTTTATCTCAAGGTTTCTCTCAAATCTTTATTAATGACCTACCCCCTCTTTGATGTTCTGTGTATTTGCAGTTGTCCTGTGGTCAAGCGATAAGTGGTCATTCCCCCCTCTATGGTCGAGTAATGCCTTATCTGCCCTTTCTGGAGCTCCATGAGCATTACTACATACGAGGACCCATCAGTGGAGACAAGGGAGCCATTGAACTCTTTGCAAAATTAGGTATGGAGCTGGCATTATTTATTGTAATGATAGATGAAATAACACCCCAAACATGTACCAAGTAGCACGTATAGCCCAATTAGTGACAAGTAGCAAATTAGTACATGAGGTGGTGTGGCAAAAATTATGGCACCAAAACCAGTTATGGATGACCCAGACTGTAGAGAGGACCCAGAGGCTTCATTCTCTTGCCTAAAGAAACCCCCTAATACCTTTGGACATTGAGAATCACTGAAAGGAACAAATCCCATAAGGGCAAATCATAATGAAGAATATACATTTGAATCATATATATTTGGTCTTTCAAAGACAGTAGACTCAAGTTTGAGACCAAGACCAAGACTGTAATACATCAGTCCTAAGTAACCTAGTCCTGGTAGTAGAATATAAAGCCTTAGGTCTTCTGGAACTAGCCAACAATCAACTACATACCCCATGGCACTTGGGGGAAAAGATAATCACAATCATCACCTCAAAAAAGAAGGGCTTTATAGATTATGATCGTTGTATCTGAGCATATTCATGAACTAAACATACCAGTAATTTCAAGTGCTATGCTTGCAAGTGGAGCCCCCTCTCATGAGCAGTTCTTGATATTGCAGCATATGACCATATGGCAGACCTTTGCAGCACCGACAAGTACATCATCCTGGGTCTGTTTGTAGACCATAGACCAATCCTGGACCAGGACCGGTTGGAGGAGGACCAAGCTGGGGCTGAGAAGGTCATAGTAGAAGCCGCTTCTCAGAAGAAACTAATATATGTGAAGGTAATAAAACTGACAAATTACTTGTGTAAAATATTAACAGAATTAGTATAACTTGAAGATTCTGACTTGCATTTTGAACATCCAGTGGGTTGAAATACAAATTGGTGATACCAATCAGTTAAAATTGGAGAGTTCATCCAATCCTAATCATGGACAGAATGTGTTTGAGTTGTGATTTAACTAATCAAATTACAAAAAGGAATAACATTTAATGTAGCTTTTTATTTTCCAATTTGTAATGTGAATGTAAAATGCATTGTCCTTTTTTGTATGAAGTGATCAGACTTTATTTTGTCCCATTGCAGGTAAGGTAATTGCAATATAAAGAACGATTTTGTAAGATTTGTTCCTGCTTATAACTTTCACATATTGTCAAGATGGGTTTTTCTGTGTCATATTGAGTTTTCTGTATTTTTGTTGTTGTCCCATATTGCAGGTAATGAAATTGCAATATACAGAATGATCTTAACGAGTGAACTTTTCTGTAGTACATTATACTTTCTTTGTTGCTTTGATCATTATGATTTTTATTTTTATTTCCACCCATGCCCAGCTATACTATGCAGTAGGATGGAGGTATGTGGAGATACACAAGTACTACATGATGCACTATCTCTATGTAGACCATGCTGAAGATAAGTGAGTTGTAGCTGTATGTTGACTTCTGAGTTCTATAATTCACATAGCGGCTTAATACAGGCCCTAGGCCCACTTTGTTCCAGTACACAACAGGGGTTCAGATAAAATTAAGCTGATGTCTATCTACATCCTTTTTCTTTGATCCTTTCACCCCAAGGAGTACCAATTAATTTTTGAACATTTTTTAATAAAATTAATTAGGTAAAATTATTGTAGACATCAATATGAATTATTTAATTTAGCTCTTTAATCAATAACATTGTAGGTCATGTCTTCGGCTTTTCATTGCATGAAATCTGACAAAGATTTACTGAAGTCATCGGATGTGTTTGTACATATAATAGGCTGTTAAACAAAATTACTCAATGTATTTAGACATATCATTTAAAAAAAGAAAATAATCTTATTATGTATTGAATCAGGTGGACAATTCAGTTGTAATACTGAACTACTGCATACTTCCAGGAAAGTAACTCTGTATATAATGTATGTACTCATTTAATTCTTGTTTTCTTTTTCAGACACCAAGCATACTTCCAAGACAATCCGATCTACCTGTACCAGAATGTCTTCTTATCCTTAGATGAGGTTAGTCCAACGTATTTTTTTCATTTGATGTTTGTCTCCCTTCCCCCCCCCCCCCCCCTCTTTAAAAAGGATTGTTGTCTAAAAAAAAAAAATCTTCCAATTTTTGTCTCGCCTGCATAGCAAAAAAGCGAGACATAGGCGCCGCTTTTCCGGTGATGGCTGCGGCGGCGGCGTCAACCACATCGAAAACTTAACCTAAGGTTAAGTTTTTGAACTTTTTATATCATTTTGAAAGTATAAGTTTTTAGTCAATGAAACTTGGACTATAGGGTCATCAAGTATCCCTAATCACCTGAGTATAATTTCAGGTCACAAAGTCAAGGTCAAAGGTCATTTCAGGTCAACAGACTTGGACTATGTTGTGGCATCATCATCAAAAACTTTACCATAAGGTTAAGTTTTTAGGTTTTTCTCTGCTTTCTGTTACTGAACTCCTTGTATATGACAGAAGCCATTTTATTGTTGTGTCATTCAGGCAGTGAACCACTACCAGCAATGTGGAGCCTCAACAATGGGGAATCCCCTCAGCGCATCCAACATGGCCGCCGTCGGTCGATCCATTGACGACTCTATCAGGACTGCCTTGCAGCAGCAGAACTTGATACAGGTTCACATGCTACTCTTGACCAAGGCTCTCATCAATAAGGTTCGATTCTAAAAAAATTTGTCTTGTTCCAGGTAGGAGGGCTCTAAAGAGAACTTTGTTGAATTTTTAAAGTTTAGTTTTGTTATTAAAGGACAGAGAAAAAACGATGCAGTATATGACTGATCACTACTCCATGCAAACAATGTACCAATACTTAGTGATATGTTGTTTAGATGTAGTTAAAGACACTTTAGGATGCATTTATATATATCTGCTAACATTCACAAGTAGAGCCTCCAGTATCAATGAATTCAGAATAAGTTCACACTTGCGATGAAAAAAATGTTCACAAAAATAATTTGTTTAGCTTTTACTTTCAATTCAAATGATTTTATTTCTCATGCAAAACAGAATACAATGAGTAAGTATATTACAAAAATGTACAATGAAACGTCAAACAGAATAGTAATAGCACGAGAAAAGAGAAACTAACTAGAAGCAGAGCTTGTTGAAGTATTAGTTCCTCAGATGCTGTTTGACAATATATCTTGAACAAAGTATTCTAAATCTTTTCCACAGAATGCAGACTATCTCTGCGATACATGGAGGATGCTGCACAGCGTGGCCTTTCAGCTGGAGTACATCATCGCTCTCATCCAATCCTTGATCAACATCATCCGCTACGTCCTGCAGCATCCCAAGACCATTGAAACCACGGCATACCTGGAGGAGATAGCTGCTGCCAAGGCCAAGGCAAAGAAAGGAACCACTGTACCTACTAAAACAGTGAGTACCTTGTAGAAGTAATCCTGATGGCAGCTTATCATACACCTAAGGCCTAAAATAAAAACTTGTTGTATTGCCCTTTGGGTGCCAAAACATGGGTCGGTCAGTCGGAAAAGTTTTTTTTTTTAACTTTTTTTTTGTCGCCCTCTCTGGGCCGATATTTTCAGATTTGATTTTTTTTTTTTCTTTTTCCCGCCCTCTTTTAGCTGATATTTCTCGGTGTTTAGTGCTTTAATACATGTGCTTCAGTGTCATCATTCCATTGATATTTTTTGCACCTCATAATTATCCATGGTTTGCACGAGTCAGAATTTTGGAATAATTTGATTTCATGCATTTATATCCCATTTAAACAAACAAAATACATATATTTGTATTCATTAATAAAAATTTTTTTTTTTAAACGGTTTAATTAAAATAATAAAATGCTGACCGTAGATTTTCAGATTTTTGGGTCAGGCGCAAAGGGCAATACAACAAGTTTTTATTTTAGGCCTAAACTGGGATGTTCGTGCAACTTGCCGGCAAAGTGACAGTGCATGAAATTATTCAAAACAGTGAACAATGTCTATTATTTACAATAAAACGGTGGATGTGCAAGTAAAAACCGAGACGTGGAGTCGACAAAACAGGAGGAGGCGACGCTCTGATAATGGGTAGAGTCAACTTAGTTGTTGAATATGCTGATTAAATCCCTTTCATGATCATCAAAGGTTCTGCAACTCATGTACTGCACTGCAATGATCACTCCATAGTGAATTTTCTACTAAATTCAACCCGTAGCCCCAAACTAGCCAAACCCTACACCTAACCTAAACCCAATTTGCAACCCTTACCCTATATTTTTGACAAAATAAAGCCTATATTAATTTCAAATGGAACAAATGTTAATGGACTATTATCTTATTTTTTGTCAGAGTAAGTTTTAGTGTACTTAAATGTGTGGATATTGGCAGACTTTAGGTTCTTGTACAGGACTTAGTCCATCTAGAGAAGGCTGATGCATGTACAATCTCGAAAGAAATGCTAAACCCTGATCCCCTCCTTACGAGTTCCTGAGGTTTTTTGGGGGGACACCCCTTTCTTTCATTTATTTGTATTACTAACTCATATGTATGTATTACTCTGTTATCATGAATTTATGCATGACATACCGGTAATGTTGATTTTTTTTATTTTTTTTATAGTACATATTGGAAGAAATAAATGAGAGCTAAATGCTCTCTCAATCAATATAAAATCAATATATAAAGAGCTGCCATGAAATGAGGCTGACAAACTTATAACCCAAACCTTTATATGCAGCAATCTGGCGAGCAATACAGGGGCCAAGAAATTCCATTTCCTTTTCTCTCTCCTAGTTTCCAGTGCGAGAGTCCATCCTGGGTTACATGGTGACTGCTTTCCGTGAGAAGGTGGAGGAGGTGTTGAGTGAACCCTGTAGCTTGGTACCCCTGTACCTACCGAGGGTGATTGGTGACAAGCTGAAGGAGGTTGTAGAGCGGCACCCTCAGACAGAGGAGCTCTCCCTCATCATTGAGAAACAGGTATGTTAAAGCCCATCTGTACTAGTGTACAGGAGGGATTAGACCACCCTGCAAGGTCACTGGACAGGTGGTTATCTCATCAAATCAGCTCTCAATTAACATTAGAAAAAGAGGCTCATGGGGGACCAACAGGCACTGATTAGGCATTGTTTGCTAGAGGGCGCAAGTAGCTATAAGTAGTGCAGTGGGGCTTTAACCTAAACTAATTCCAATCACAAGCCACCTCCTAACCCTTATGTCGCTGATGAAATATAGCCTAGAGGAAATTTTGCCTAAGTGAATATTAGGTTATGAAAAATCTCAAGTCAACAGCCCTTTAACTAGTATCAGAGTACATGATGTTTTGGTATTGAGAGAAACATAGTTGTCTTAGCAGTTGAGTATTCTAGAAATGAGTTTGTTATGATTGAAACCTTATCATGCTGATCATAACATAAATCCTGATCTACGAACACGTAGTGCCTTGGAAAGACTTTTTAGATCCCCTGATCTCATAAAATCAACATGTAAGTAAATAGAAGTAAATATTGTCTGTTTGGAGCCAGAAGGGCAGTAACTCATATACTTTAAAGGGATCCGGTAACTTTCTCATGATGCAATGATAATTATAAACCTTTAGGTCAGTCAGGAACCCCATGACTATTACAAGCCGATCGCCTGTCTGATTATCAAGATATTTATGATTGGAGTTACAAATTTTGAAAACTGTTCACCTGACGGTTTTCATAACACTACAGTCTATCAGGTAAAACGAGTATGGTAAAACCGGTCACTCAAAGATTTTTACTTTTTATGCCTCCGTTACGAAGTAGCCGGAGGCATTATGTTTTCGGGTTGTCCGTCCGTCCGTCCGTACGTCCGTACGTCCGTCCGTCCGTACGTCCCGTTCTCGTGATCGCGTTATCTGAAGAATCGATTGATGGATTCCTGCCAAACTTTGGTCATGTATGTTACTTGCAGAGCCGATGAACTGATTAGATTTTGGGGTCACGAGGTCAAAGGTCAAAGGTCACAGGGCTCATTATGTATGCAAAAACAGCTCATGATCGCGTTATCTGAAGAACCGATTGATGGATTCCTGCCAAACTTTGGTCTTGTATGTATCTTGCAGAGCCGATGAACTGATTAGATTTTGGGGTCACAAGGTCAAAGGTCACAGGTCACAGGGCTCATTAGGTATGCAAAAAGAGCTCGTGATCGCATTATCTCAAGAACCGATCGATGGATTCCTGCCAAACTTTGGTCATGTATGTATCTTGCAGAGCCGATGAACTGAATAGATTTTGGGGTCACGAGGTCAAAGGTCAAAGGTCACAGGGCTAATTATGTATGCAAAAATAGCTTGTGATCGCATTCTCATTAGAACAGATTGATGGATTCCTGCCAAATTTTGATCATGTATGTATCTTACAGAGCCAATGAACTGAGTAGATTCATGGGTCATGAGGTCATGAGGTCAAAGGTCATGGGCTCATTATGTATCCAAAAATAACTTGTGAACGCATTCTCATTAGAACTGACAGATGGATTACTATTTAACTCAGGACATCTTGCAGAGCCAATGAACTGAGTAGATTTTAGGGTCATCAGGTCAAAGATCAAAGGGTCATATATGTATATGAGAAATTGCTTGTAATCACGATATTCTGAGAACCTCTTAATGGATTACAATTGAACTTGAATTTGAAAAATTTCTTCTGTTTTGGTTTGTAAAATTGCTCTATGACGGAGGCATCATTTTCGACTGCGCGCAGTCGAAGTTCCATCTAGTTTGAGGCACTTCTTGATTATTTTGAAGCGCAATTTTTTTAGGGCTTCAATATTACACCATATCACGGACACTGATAACACATAGGGCCGTGTATCTCAGATTAAACATTGTTAAACGATCCCTTTAATAGAGAGTTAAAATCCTTCTGACATTATGACATGTAATAATAATAATAGCACACATTTTTAATGCGCCTGACGCTTTGTTAATAGGCGCAGCACATATTATTACCCCGGTCATCGAATTCAGGCTCACCCGCAACACAATGTATGCACATTTTCCACTCCCTGGGGAGCATTTCAGCCAGTCGCCATTTTACAAGCACCACTTGCTAATCCAGCCACATTAACTTTCGCATCCTACCGGGTACCCATTTAACACCTGGGTGGAGAGTGGCAAATGTAGATCAATGTTTTTCCAAAGGACATTAAGTAAACATGCATGACCCCGTTTGATTATTAACCCTTACTGTACTGGGCTATTTCGAGCACTCTCTGACTGGGGGGGGGGGGGGGGGGGGGCCTGGGAGGCCCCCCCCCCCCCCCTATGATCTCGGCCGTCGAATGTCCGATGAACGCGAACATTTGCACGTTTGTAGATATTTACGTAAGGAACAAGATGGTATAATTAGTTTTTTCCTAATATGCAAATTTTATAGCCTAATTAATTATGCAAAATGCTAATTTTATGCATTTTACAGAAAACTCTACATATTTGTCCGTAGACTTGTGAAGAATCTTGAAAATGTATTGAATAAATGTTTCCTTCACCTCTAATTCATGAGGTTTCATTATTTTTATGATTTTTGAAAATGCATAGGTTAATTTGCATAAATTATGAATATGCATTCATGAATATAAAATCTGGAAATATATATAGGGAACTAGAATCATTACAAAAATTGTCAGACTCCACTTTTTTAATGTTAATTGAAACCCATTATTCATATGAAACTTCTTTTCTAACACAAAATAGTTATTTGATGTAATTAATAATGATAATTTATGCAAATTTGATGCGATTTTCAACTATTTATTTTCTTATGTATTTTATTGTTTTTTATTTCTTATTATATCTATTGTTTTATTTCTGATGTATTCTTTTGTTCTGAAATACATCAAGTTACTTTGAGAAACATATATAAGCAATTTTATATCAATTCATATCTTCACATTTCTGCTTGTACATGAATATATGCAATTATAGCACTTTTTTGATGACATGCGCATACTAATTGTTATGTAACACCTTACAGGTATATCCGATTTCGACGAAAATGGTTTCAAAATGTGCGTAAGACTTGAGGGAAAAAAGTCATGAAATGACAATTCAAAATTCCAAGCGGTTGCGGCGCGATCTCCGAAAATGTCGGAGTACAGTAAGGGTTAAATCTTATATCATGGTTTCTTTGTCTCTTTCACTCTCCTAGACGAGTGTACGCTTGAATGAGATACAGTGTCTACTTCTTCCAGTCAAGGCAGCAATAGAGGCGGATATCCACCAAGCGTGCAGTAAAGTGCAAGAGGCTCTTCAACATTTCAAGATGGGAAGTTGATACTGCTGGTGCGAGACAAATCTGTGAGATGCTATTAAGATTTATGCTCAGAAGTTAGACTGCATAATTCTAATTCCCGAATGTGTGATGCATTGATGATTTCATATGAAACGAAGCAAATTGTAGGATTTTGTTTATAAATTGATAATTGATGCACTAGTTTCAAGACTTTCATATCTCGAAATGTTCGATAAAATCACAAGTACGTGTTATTTTGTCTGCTGAGAATTTGCAAAGTAATAGCTTATACGGTAACATAGAATTAATGACCTCATGGCTTGCAGCAGATATTTCAGAGCTAGTGATAGACACAGAATATGTCTGCAGTTTATCATTCGTTACATGGTTTTGCCCACTCTTTTTATGTCCCTCTCTCTCTCTCCAAGTGCCATATTGATTGACTTTGGTGATCATGCTGCGACACAACTCTTGGTTCCTAGCCTTCTCTTTTAGCACCACTCCCAATTCTTTCACTCCTCTCTCTTCATCCCTGCCATAAGTCCCAACAGATTAAACTTATTTAGAGTCAGATAACATCCATAAATTTGAACATCAGTAAACTAACTTAATGTTCAGAATGTCAATTGAGATTTCTCTTTATAAATGTTTTTCTAGAATACAAACCCACATGAATTCAACCCAAACAAAGGACATACAAGTGATCTGTTTATTGTCACCCTGTTGTTGACATTTTTATTTCATGTCATATATACAACTGTTGCATATACAGATGAGTAAAAAATAAAATAAAAAAGTAAGACATACAAATGTGTTGTTGTACACAATACTGATATGGAACAAAAACGAGAACAAAAACCCCCTAACAAACCATATTTAAGTACAAGTCCATACTACACATACATTAGGCATAAATAGTAATTTATGACTGAAATCCAAAAAAGAAAAAACATTAATTATGATTTAATTTAATTAAAAGACTCTTAGTCAATATCTTTCTTCTTTTTTTTTTAATTCATACTGGAACGCTTTAATCTTTACACTGTAATCTAATCCTAATGTCCTCCTCCGCCTATTTCGGGACTTTCTATTCACTAGCCTCGAGTCTTTTTAATTCACTGTACGTTTAGCACGACTGATATCTTTGATCATACTTAATTTCACAATTGTACTATGTTTGAATTTGACCACCTGGAGAGTTTCATAACTACAATACTACAATACCTGATGTTTCCTGTCAAACTTTTAATTTAATAATTTGTATACATGTTTTATATATTGGTGGTTTATACACGCCATGAGGATCTCTACATTTTAAAGCTAATCAAAAGAAGGCTCATTACACATGTTTTTCACCTCATCTTTCTTGATATATTCCTCTTACTTACCCTTCCTTTCTTTTCCTTTCATTCTTCTCTCACCTTTTGTTGATTCTTGCTCCTTGCTCATATTCCTCAAGTCATCCTTTCTTTCTCTCCATACTCATTGAATTTTGATATAGAGTTTTTAATATGATATTTTTATATATATATTATGTCATAGTCCTAAGACTATTGTACTTTTAACTTGTAAATACATGTACTTTTCAATTGTATTCCAATGGCAATTCAGTTGTAAGACTGCGACGATGGAATTTGTTCAATAAAACCTTTCTATCTATCTATCTGATCATCTAATGTATTGGAATGTACCTCCCTTCTGAAATAATTTTTGTTTTCCAAGTTTCTCCTTGGGTGAAGGGATATTTATTTTCAATCTTTAATTTAATTGGTAATTTGCTGGACATTATTTGGACTTAGCAACTTTATATGAATAAATCAGGTTGCCATTTTATCAGTTTGACATTGCCAATACCAATTTGTATGTATACTGTGTGTTTTCATGATAAAACTATTGATCTGTTCTGTAGTGCAATACTAGAAGTGCCATATTGAAAAATAAATCAATAAAAATACAATGACCTAGCAAAAATATAGTTCCTACAATACCTTCTGAATATTCATTTCAATGTTTTAACCACAGACGTGTAAAATGTATTTTGTTTATAATTACTTGTATAAATGTACATATGTATAGATATTTGATTTGATTTGATTTATTGGTATACATGTATAGTGTAAAAAATATATATATTTTGGTATCACAGTATCGTTCGATAGTGTGGCTTTGATTTACTTCTATTTTTTAATTTCTTCTGAGGTAGAGAGATTATAAATTTTGCTCTTTATTAAATGAATTCTTTGAAATAACTACCAGTAACTTATATTTATACATGAACATGTATTTTTTACCATGTAGATGTACCTTTGGGTTAATTTTGAGGTTTATATGTGTGTTATGTGTATCACATAAATTGATAACTTTAAAGCTTTAAAATCCCCTAGAATGAGCTACAAGTATTTTGTACACAAAAGACCTAAACTATGGTCTGAAAATAAATTGCCAGGGCCAGATTTCAGGCTTTTGCCTGAAAACAGGAGTCCCTGCTTTTTCAATCTATCTTTTAAACAAGTACAATGAACCATTATCTGATCCATAAATATGTTGAATACTAACCAGCTTTTAACACCGACTGTACACATAAAACATTCAAGAAAACAATTTAAAAGAAGATAGAGTAGGACGTTTGTGAAATACATGATAAGATATGCAAGTAATATCCACACCAAAAGTACATAGCACTTAGTTGGTTTCCGTGAGATATACATTCATTTAAGTAATTAAGGCAGTACTTGAAATGAGTTAAGATTAATGATGTAATGTTGGCCTTTACCATGACATTGAGAGAAGAAAAAAAGTTTGCCCTAGGCTGCACAAGCTTTACAGACAAAACATCTACAGTTCTGCAAGTTCTTATCTTATTTTGTGAAATACTGTGTGCCAAGTCTCACTACGAATGCATCAAACTAATCATTTAATATTTCCCTTATCTAGGATCTACTCTTTCTATCTTCAACATACATGCAGAAGAATCTGAATAATGACTTCGGTGCGTGCCTGTCCTGACTAGCAAGGTCCATGATAGATGACCATTTAACTGTTTGATCTGGGTCAAGTTACAAATATCTGAACCAATCACAAGTATATCAATAGCAATTTTACAATGGCCTATCTGTTATGACACACTTGCGACTTAGTTAGAAATTCACTGATCCGAAGCAATCCTAAATCTTCATAGCATGGAGCCAAGATGAGATCACTTTATCAAATGCTGCAGTTTGCGACTACATTCCACTCGACTAAACCGCCCCTCCTTTTACTCACGAAACCATGTAATCCTTACGATGTCTACAGTAGGATTCTGCATAGAAAATAGCGCATGTTTCATAAATGTTCAGAAAAATGTAAAAATGAGAGCAATATTGCAACATCTTCCAGTTAGTAATAGGCCATTTTTACAAGATCTCTAGTTGCTTATGGGTTAAGGGAGATAAAATGCAGACTATTCCTAATTATTCAAAACCCTATATCTTGGAATCACGGACATCGATGACCAGGTCTTCGTTGTCGTCGTGAGTTGATGAGGTAGATGGTTGAGGAAGAGGGATGCGATGGTGAGATGTGGAAGGGCCCTGGGAGCCAGAGGAGTGTTTGTCCGAGGTGTCCCTGAAATGCAGGAGAAGAAGAGTGTTTAATGACCCTACAAATGGAGAACAATTGCCATGCAATGCTTTAGAATAGTTAAACTGTGAATGTATAAATAACCCAACTTCAACGGATAAAGAGCCTGTACAATAAAGGAGGAAAGTTGGTTCTTGATACATATCCTTCTTTAATGTAACCTCAATATAAGCACTCTCATCTAGCAATCAGTGAATATCACCAATAATTACTACTGTACACATCGATTACGTTAGTGATTCCCAATATATGACTAATTATACTGACACTGCATGCCTATCATATCACAAAATGACCACTTCATTGATTTAATATATTCATCTATGTCATACACTGATTACTAATCAAATCTGTGACTTCGGCTGATGTAATCAAACAAATAACGAAGGAACATGGACCTTTTAGCTTTCAATCCATTCATATCACACTCACTTCTTGGATTTCTTCTTGCTTCTCTCTTGATTAACCTTATCCTGTGCTGCGGCAGCGGTCAGCGCGTTGAGGTCCATATGAGGCATCTCTCCTCCCAGCCCCATGGGTCCTCCCCCAAGACCCATCCCCAGGAGACCAGGCAGGGAGTAAGGTGACGGCTGAGGGGGCAGGTGGTGGTGCTGCATGCTCCTGTCGAAGGCGCGGGGGTCGAAGACATGGGCCATGTTGGCGAGGGGGAGGCCCATCCCTACGGTGGGGGAGAGGAGGGCAGGGTGGGGGAGCTGGTGGTGTGGGGATAGGAGGGAGAGGGGGGACTGGAGTGGGGGTTGGTGCTGCTGCTGCTGTTGGTCCGGGCCTGTAGTCGGCATACCTGTTGAATTTGTTGACAGACAAAAACGATAGATGTAACTTTAAATGTATTAAGACTTTTTCATGAAAGACCTGTACTAACATTTCATACTAGTACAATAGCACTTAACATTGTTCTGTAGTTTCGAAAACGTTCATGCTAACATGTTATCACTTATTCTCAACATACATGTGCATATGTATCATGTTTACAATGTGATCAGTCAATGTTTCCTTGTTGAACCGATCCATTCTGAATCTACTTGAAATGAAACGTAAGAAATAGGGCCTGAGTGAGAGAAGGAGGTCGATCATTGCGTACCTGGCATTTGCATTCCTGGTTGATGTGTGATCGGGAGTCCTTCAGAGGCTTTACGAATGAGCTCTGCCAAGTGCTGGAGAGAGAAAAGGAGTTATAAAAAAAGATACAATAATAACAATAGTATTAATAATAATATGTCTTGTTTCCCAGGGTAGCCTCATCAGTGTAAATACTGTTCCCCCTGAGGGCCTGCAATCATATATTATCACCCCGGCTTTAGCCAAGCTACCATGAAATGGTGCTCAAGCATTTAAGAAATTTCATAGACAGGGCTCAACACTATTTAACAGGAGCCCATGATCCAAAATCTCAGTCCAGACTCCAAAACTTTTGAAGTTTTTACATAGGACTATAAATGGATTCAATTCTGTAAAAAATTGAATCTTCACCCCCTTTCAAAAATTTAGTGTGGAGCCCTTAAAACATATGCATTTACCAAGCCAACTTGACCACAGGGGGGTGGGAGTTAAAGTGTAGATTCCTACATGAATACATGAATGGGTGGTCTTGACTTACCGGTAGTTGCTGATGAAGAGAAGGAGGTAAGGTGCGAAGGTCATGAGGTAGAGGATCTCTGCTGGCTCCTAGGACCGGTGTACCCATAAGTTTCTTGGTTGGTTTCTTCTTGGCTCGTCTCTTCTTCTTCACGACCTTCTTCTCCTGCTCCTGTTTCAATCAATCAATGCATGGAAAAAATATTTAAACAATTTGGGGGCTACTTTTCAAGCTTGCTTGCATGAAAATAACACTATTTAATTTGTTTTGCATTGAACTCTATGCAAATTTTGGGGGGCTCTTTTTGACATTTCCGGGGCGAATTTGCCTCGAGCCCCGTTTATTTTTCCCCTGAATCAATGGGGTGTAATGCCAGTGAGTAGGGCTGCATGATATTAATGTCAGCAACGCAATAGAAGGGGGTAGCCAAATTATCTGGCCCTACAAATAAACTAATCTTCAAACGGTTCAATGCTGTTTGTCCCTTACTGATCAAGATGTATTTATTTTGGGTAAAACATTTTTCAAAGAAAAGAGAACAAACAATACAACAAAGGATTTTAAAAAAATATATTCACCAGTTCCCAAGAATATCTGAGGGACAAGAACAGATTAAAGCAGACTGCATTGTTGGTAGTATATGGCGCATATGTATTGTATGTTGGCAAGAAGTCTGCAGTAGTCCAACGTTTGGTCCACTTGTGGACCATAGTTCATAAGTGTTGATACTTCACCTTGGACTATCTAGATGCCTCAAGAAAAAGCATGTTTTCACTAAATCCATAGCTTTGACCAACAGCGATGGCTTATATCTTCAAAGGCTACAAAACGACACACCTTTTTGGTCTCCTTACAACTATCTTCTGAGGAGAGGGTAGAACCTGAATCCGTACCAGGATCAATAACCCTTTCATACTGCAGCAGTCTGTCTAGGAGAAAGTTCTTGTCTCTAGAGATTCAATGACTACAAAATGACATACCTTTTTGGTCTCCTTACAACTATCTTCTGAGGAGAGGGTAGAATCTGAATCGGTACCAGGATCAATAACCCTTTCATACTGCAGCAGTCTGTCTAGAAGAAAGTTCTTGTCTCTAGAGATCTTCAGGAGCTTTCTCTGAGCTCTTCTCAGCTCCTCCTGGAAACACTCTTGCTCCTATCAGCAGAATAAACAAACAATTGGAAGAAAAAAATGAATACAAATTACAAAATCATAAAATACTTACGGTAATGTTCATTGTACTCCATAGTATTCAAGTCATGTTTACTCCTTATCAATTATCGTAAATGAAGACGATACATTTAAATCCCCTCTGCACTAGTTTGGACAGGAGGGATTAGACCTCCCTGCATGGTCACTGGCAGGTGGCTATCTCGTCAAATCAGCTCTCAATTAACATAAGAAAAAGGGGTTCATGGGGGACCAATGGTCACCGCTTGGGCATTATTTGCTATATAGAGGGCGCAAGTAGCTATAAGTAGTGCAGTGGGGCTTTAAGTAAAGGATTTACAAATGGCAAACTTTAAGCATTAACTAAGTTTATAGACTTAAGAAATGACAAGTTTTAGCATTAATAAATACAGTTTCATGTAATTCAACTCCATTTGTACTGTAGCTCCCTTTTTTTTCAACTTTTTTTATAAGTACAAATCAAAATTTGCCTTATTTGACACATCTCTTATTGTTTAAAACTAAGTCTGGACAATTCTTCCCCTCCCTAACCTTCTATCTCACTTATTCCTTTTTCACTAATATTTGTTAGAGGGTGTCCCCCCTGTGTTCCCCATACTCTATTGAGATATTTAGATAGATGTGTGCATTAGACAGTCATCGCACAACAAATGAACAGACACTTACATAAATGAGGAATCTCATTTTCCGCTTGAGAGAGCGATACTTCTCCTTGAAGTTCACTTCTTCTGGTTGCACTGCCATGGGCTGTTCACCTGAAAGGATTCATGAAAATATCATAGCATAATATTGAAAGAATCCACAATTGCTATGCAACAGAACTGGAGAGGTCAACAGAGCCGGCATGAGCCATGACCACTCGTGGGGAAAACAAATTGTGTGCAGTTTTGTCAATATCGCCTTTATATTGGTTGCTGTAAAATTCTAATCTCGGTTGCAAGCCAAAGGTAACTAGAAATCTATGGCTATGCCAAAATATCTGGCAAAATTTAGAGGACAAATTTTTCATTTTTATGAAAAATTAGATCTAGTATCTGATCTTTAGTTTTTAAAAAGAAGAAATAGAATTCCTTTAACTGATTCTCTTTCCTTGATCTACTTGTACCATCCCGAAAGTGGGGTGCGGGCGTGCATGTGTGTTCAGTTAGCAACTGTCTAGATCTAGAGTCTAATCTTAGTTTACAGTCGTTAACTGAACACACGCGCGCGCCCACACCCCTCCGTCAGTACGGTATGCAATTGTATTGTGCTGCAGTTTGCCGTGAATCCCATGAGAAAGTGCATGTAATAAATCTTCGTTTTTAGAAAAAATACTCTGAAAAAGATAAGAAAATTGACACATAGACTAGTCTAGGTCTAACTTAGTCTAGACTAACAGGTAACAAACATATCGACTTTTAAATCATGACCTTTATTTGGACATTTGATGAATATTTAATTCCTCTTGGGTATGTTTTAACAGGGTATCTCCACGTCGGAGTCACGGGTCAAATTTTGGCTAGACTTCTGAACTAGCGTCCACATCCGCACATAAAATAAAAACATATGACCGAAAATTCCACACCAAAACATCTCCATTCATTCAACCGTAGGCCTAGGCCTACACATTAGTATAGCCTACTCGGTCTGGAACAATACACCTTACAATCATGATTCACATCTAAGATCATTAGTATTCATTATGCACTCGTAATCCAAGCACGTACCTGGCATTCTGAACCTTTTCTTTTCGCAATTAATTGATTCTATGGATTTCTTGGAACATAAAACCCCGTTTTCATCGAAGCTTTATCTTCGGATTTCTTCTGTTTACCGACGAGTATACTTCCGGTAGCTAGACTGCGCGACAAGGCGTTTTGACCAGAAAGAAATTTAAAAATAAAAAATAAAATCTAACAGAAAACTTAAAACATATTTATTACATAAATCTTATTATTTAATGCTAAGTCTACTGTAAAGGCACATTTAATAGGCAATCACGTTGCAGGTCGTAAAATTATATCAACTAAAACTATTTTCAAGTTTTTTCAAGTTGTTATTAATTGTTCCACATTTTACAAAAAAATTAGACATAACATATGAAATCAAACATTATACAATACATGTAGTATAATGATGAGCATGTCTCAATGATTCTCAATTCATATAATAATTTAAGTAGAACATGTGAGGAACCTATTAAAAAGCAGTGCTCGTATATTTATAGGTTCCTGGAAAAATAAGTACTGTGGATAAAAAATGAATCAGCAATTAATAATAAGAAACAACACATTCACTTTTTACGTAGGAAAGTTACGATGCATTATTTATCACTCTGAAACCACTCATTTATTCATAAGGGTAAAACAGAACTGTTGAACACCGGCGTATTAATGTATGGGGTCATGAATTTGGTTCAAATGAACGGGAAGCATGATTTTACAATATTCAATGTCGTTGTCGCGGTTGAAATCGAGTCCAAAGTGATGAAATTGTAAATAATAAACTCTTTATGTTGTATAGCTCCCTCTCAAGACTGATATTACTTTAGCTTTGAAAAAATATTTCTTGACCACAATCGACCAAATTGATATTCCCATTTGGAATTTAGATATCAGAACTGCATGGTCTGAGATTTTCATGGTCGCAGCTACCATGGAATGGTCTTAGGCACTATCTGAAATATTTGAAATTTACCGGGAGCACCAGTAAAATTTTGATTATTCCATTTCTCAAAAGCAGAAGCGTTTCAGGGGTTAAATTTTCTAGTGCTTATAATACATCCACAGGGCCATCCAAATATATCAAACATTTAAAGAATTAGGCCTATAGGCCTACTATCCAACCAATTTCCAAATTTTACCAAAACTTTGCATTACTTTTAATCGAGGGCCGAAAGTGATGTGGATCTTGTGCTTCACTGTTCCTTTTATTTCTATCGGTTGATTTGGGATAGTATTTCTTCCCAAGTTCTAATCAGGGCAACAAGTCCCTTTTCTCACTTCGCGATGGATCAGTAGTATAGACCAGAGACTTGTTATTGTTGAGTCCCTGAAGGCTACAATCAAACGAGTACTAAGTAGGGCCCTTAATACGAGTCGGAGAGTGTGTGTTTGTGGGTGGGGGCGTATTGAAGTCTGCAGCCGGCCCCTTCACTAAATTATCATTATTCGGGCCATCGTCACCGTTAATATTATGCAACCCTCATCCGAATTGTATTCGTATTCCCCCATCATTCTTATTTTGATGAAGAACTATAATATTGACAAGAGAGGGTCAGTATTATCGTAGTTTGCACGCTCGCTTCCCTTTCTTTCAAACTTGCAAAGCACCATGCAGTCGGACTATCAATTTTGAAAGAATAGTGGAAATATAGAGAGAAAGGGCTATCTATGTTATTTTGTCAAGGATATGATTAGGGTTAGGGTTATAATATTTGTTTAAGGCTTGATTTAGCATGGTTAAGTTAGGACCATCAGACGTAGAAAGAAAGTTTAAGATGCAAACTCGGGTGTAAGAAATTGTCACCGGGGCATCTGTCGTAGTCTTGCAGCTTTCATCGCATCACGTGATCATTGAGGAGAGGACGAGGAGGAGTTTCAAGTTCTTTAAATTCCATGTTTCAGGAGGTCTAACCCCTTTCCGTTCTGGATCAGTGATCCTTGATCGCTCGTATCGATTCGCAGACGACACACGGAGAGGCATAAAATTCATCACTGACAGATTCTCCCACCAAAAAATAAAAGATGAAATTAAAGGTGGGATACATGAATCTGACTGACATGAGCGCTATACAAGAACCCACTATTATTATTATTATTATTATTATTATTATTATTATGTGAAACTGGGTGCCATATAATTCTTCCAGATTAAATAGTGACTGGATTCACACATAAAATAAAGTTATAACTTTGAGGCAAGTTTCACCTTAGTAACTATACGTTTGATGTTAATATCAGGATAAAATTGGGCATTTGTTCGGTAGACGTTCTATATCCTACAAAAGAATTAGGCAACGAGAATAAACAGATAAGCACACATCATAATTATTACGATTACTGATGGAAACTGTAACCGGCCACTGGCACTTTTTTATCAAGATATTATTACAGCTAAAAACGTTTTGGAAGCACTTGCACTTTTGTTTGGGCTTGCATTAGGCCTATACTTAGTTACATAATAATTATATAATAAAATATACTTAAAAAATAAAAACAGTTCCATAAAAAAAAGCGTTCGTGGCTGTTTGTGTTCCCTACAAATCAAATGAGACAATCTTTGCTTTAAACATTTTACTTTGAATTTATTTCAACGTGTAAACATTATTTCTGGTGCATGTTTATGGCGCTGTATACAGGAATGGCGATTTTGTTTGAAACAAAATTTAGTTGACATTGAAATCGTTCCGTTGATTGATAAGTTAGACCACATACCGAAATGTGTAGGCGAATACAACCATCACCCACGGCTAAAATACTTGAAATAACGATAAAAACACAAGATAAATATGATATAAGTCTCTCTAGGGAAATATAGGAAAAAGAATTCTTCACAAACTGGAGCACAGGCATCGTCTGTACATAAAATGATTGATTACCATAAATACAATTTATGGTAGATACATGTAGATTCAATGAAACTCTTCTACTACATATAACGACATCAAGAAAAATCCTTAAATGCTTTTATTATTATAGTAAATAATAGCTGTGTAGAAACAATTTGTTGTTGTCATTTCTCTCTCTGAAAGAAAGCTTTTTCCAAGTCACCATTACATAGGCCTAACACTTTGTGATTATGAACAGAGAAAGCAATCAATCCGGAAATCAGTCATTCTAATGGTGGTCACACACTAATTTGTAACATAGATGCGTCCAGTTACACAAATGAGATCGACACAAAACCGACAACAGACAAAAACAAATAATGCATAAGAATCGGGCAGTTTGGAGTCGGTCCGGAGTGGGTTTCGCGGTGTGAATGAGCTAATAAAACAGCACCATCTAGTGTTTATAATACGTCAACGGTGTAGTGTCCCTTTTCTTTCGTATTAATCACTATGAAAATGACTGACAAAGAAAGCGGACAAAATATACAGTTCCTCAGGTAGATAAAGGAACATCCCTTCACTGCTATTATGTAAAAATGTGTAGAACAGGTGCCACATGCATATTCTCCTGTTCTACACATTTTTTTTACATAATAGCAGTAAAGGGATGTTCCTTTATCTACCTGAGGAACTGTATATTGTGTCCGCTTTCTTTGTCAGTCATATTCATAGTGAATGCGATTCTATTTGACAAAGTTTCACCATACATAATTAATGCTTTCATTGAACGTTGAGAGAGCTGGCGATTCAATTCTGACTGATATAAACACTGTCTTCGAGTGCCATTGGTTCACTGATTTATGCCAAAGATATATCTTTTTTTGTAATCATTTTTTTTTACTAGGAGAGATATATTTCATAAGGAAAGATCCCTTGCATAAAAAATTAACATTGGAAATTACGGTGCAAATAAGTAGACGTAAATATACCAATGCCTTAGTTTTTCATCGGGCATGGTGTGCTTTCGTTTTTTATCAACATAACACAACTTTGAAGATAATTTCCCCTTCGCGTGAAACAATAAAGTGAACAAAACATCACCACATTCCCCACTATCTACGCTCTTCTCCAAATAAAATACCACAATATAAATCACATTACTGTATATACCGCCATCTTCCGCTACAACAAACCAGACAGGAAAGTGTCAGTTTTGTCTGTGAAACAGCACATCCCATTTTCATCTCCACCCACCCCTACCTGCAGACAGTTAATCAACTCGTCCACTACGTCACAATGAACTGTCAGACTATCAACCAATGGGCGATGTGTTTAAACGGTGACATCACGTCTTGTGGGCGGAGTTTCTCCGTACATGGATGGGCTACTGTTCGCGATTCAGCGTAACAGGGATACTCGAGTCGACGCACGAACGCACGAAAGGTAGTCGGCCAGCCGTTTCCACATAACCGAGGATACTTATCATCACATGTGTATTTCCTTCTACATCATAAGCAACGAAAGGAAGTTGAGAAGACGCTGTGCACTATAAAGAGTTTTTCTGTGTCTCTCTTTCATTTGAAAATTATTGTGATTAGGTTCTCCTGTGATGTTTTTGTGAGCCAGGAGAAATCATTTCAAGACACGTTTTGAATAAAATTACTTAATTTTAAGTGATACTCGCAACTCGCAAGATTGCATCAACTCATCAAGTTAGCACCTGGACTCATTTATTTCCAACAAGTTTCCATTTAATCGCGCTATTCGCATCCCTTAGCTGCCTGGATAAAATCAATTGGATAATTATCATCTTCGATTGGATGTCACCCTCACCAAAGAAACACCTGTCTAAAAGGTAAGTGTATACTCTATAGAACCAGGCGCCTTCATACCTCTCTTTTTTCTCTTTTCCTCTCTCTCTCTTTCTTGTTTAAGTTTTTTTTTAACGAATTGATCTAATATTAGGCCTACCGTTTTCAAAAGTAAAGGTAAGACTAAGAATAAGATATTAAGATGAGTTACCTGGACGAGATTTGAAGTGATTTTTTCAGAGCACCGTCAGTCAGTTTATTTGGTAATTTATGTTTTGTTTCTTCCCCCCCCCCCCCAACTTGGAGGCAATATTATAATTTTCTTATTGCTCTTGTTGAACAATACTCTGTTCTACACAAAACAATGTTCTAAAATCTGTTCCCCCTTAGCCTTACTTAAGTTACTTCAGTTAATTATAAATCAACATAAATTTAATAAAAAATGGTCTTGTTTTACAGGTGAATACAGTCATACAGGTGAATACTTCACACCTAGTTCTTCACAGCATACTAGCATCATCATCCTCTCCACCCTCCTCCTCATCCTTGAATTCATCATCATCCCCATCACCCCGTCATCATGATCAGTTTGAGCACGCTGAGCTTGGAGCGCGTACCCGACTTCGGGCAGCGAGGGCCGGGGGACCTGGAATGGACGACGATCGCGTTGATGATGGTGGTTCTGGTGGTCGGACTCTACTATTACGTAGTGAAGGTCGCTGATAGGTGTTCCTGTCCCAAGCGACTGGATGGAAAGACAGTCATTGTGACAGGTGAGGATAAAATTGATGGATTAAATTCATTTTTTTTTTTAAAGAAAAGAAACTTTGCTTGAAGATTGATCCATAGTAAAAAAAAAAAAAAAAAAAAAAAAAAAAAAATGCTTTTAAAAGTTTTAATGATGATAAGGTGACTTAGGTGATGATCCTCAGTCATGACTTGTATACCATTTGATTTATTAATTGTTTGGTCTATTTTGCTTCATTTATCAATTAATTTTTGTTTTATTTAGTGCTCCAATCTTCTAACCGCTTCCCCTTCCAAAATTGTCCAATTTAAGGGTCTAATATCAATAGGAATATATACAACCATGACTGAGTGACAACCGAATGTTAACTGTAGTCTGTACAGTGGAACTATATTGTGTTCATGATGCGATGCTTCATAAATCTCGGAATGTTACCATTGGATTATCTAATATTTATTTGTTCAGCAACTTTAGCCTAAGTTGTGAAATATCAGGCTAATTCGTGCCAATCTGGTTGTATTTTTGATACCATGCTAGTTATAAGGTCTGTATGTCTTTCACTTACCATTTAAAATATGTTATTTTGTTCAAGTTCGATTATCGTTATTTTTGTTTATTTAAAGAAATGTAATCATTAGAAATTATTTTAAGGGTAATCGGCTACCTATAGGCTGTATTGTATTCTAATTCTTGCTACGAGTACGATAAAAGACGAAGGGCAAAGAGGATAACACTATAGTATGCAAGTGATATTGATTACTTACCCAAGGAGTTATCTCTTACGAGCTTCACCGCTCTATTCAAAATATTGATTATGAGAACAATATGCCAATTAAGCCGTGACAATAATATAAAAGCCTGTCAGATCTGTTATATTGAAACACCAGAAATTCCAATGATTAAATATTGGAATGTTTTTCACTTTATCTTCTAAACCGCACCGGGGTTAGTCAATAATATGATTTAGGACAAAATAATGTATAAAGTTGTTTATCTGTGACATTTCAAATGTTAAGCGGGTTATCAAAAGAGCGAGAAATGGAAAGTTATCGACGTGAAGAGCGTGTTGTTTAGATAACAGAGACAACAGAGAGCATAGGTTATGCATGGGTATCAGAAGTCATATTTATCCGACGTCAAGAATTGTGATATTTATGGATGTTTGTCGATAGACTAGAAATGTCATGACATACTGTATGGGGAATGAGGTATTGGAGTCGGATGTGACAGAAAATTGCACTAAAATGTATATGAATTATTATCAAAACTGTCTCTGTCTCTGAATTCTGTTTTTTGTGAATATTTGGCTAGTGTCGCAAAGTATTCATTGTATTCATTTTGAATAGAGGCACAGAGCCATACCAACAATAACACGACTTTGCTTATAAATAATTACGGGTGTATGTGAGATAATAATTATAGAAAGGTATTGGAGCATCATTGTGGTTGCACTTTGCTTTGTGAAGAAGAAAAATGTAGTGCAACACATCGCATATGAGACTGTATTGGAGTAAATGGGAAAGATTTACTTAATTGGCGTGGCGGCGAAGTTTAAAGAAAATCACAAAACCACTCATAATCTATACCATCAATCACAGCCAGCTCGCTAATAATGATATAATTTCATAATTCTTTAGCGCATCCCGAGGGTAAATTTAGAGGTTAATGCGAACGAAAACCCAATTAGGTAATTCATTTCAATATGAGTAATACCCGCACGGGAAAATATTTAGGGGTATACTACAATCATTACCCCATGCCTGCACCCATCTTCTATACCAGCGTATTGGTAGAGGGGTCACTAGTATTACCCCTATCCATTGTTAAAGGGGCTCTTTGTTATCTTCTTCAAAGCACCGCATTGATCTTAGGTGGTATATCGTTGTGTTGGATTTGACAAACGAGAGATTTTGTTAGAGTTCAACAAAGACTGTATTATGCTGTGCCAGTACAAATTCGTCCACCAATCGTTCAATTTATAACGGTGCCTTCACTTTCAACAAGTTCAGTCTTGTTTCTCTTGTAATTAGTTTCTTTGTACGATTCCCATGCCATGCTGTTCAAAAGAATATACTGGGCCTGGAGCATGCATATTCTGGAAGCTAAAGGCTCTCTATGCATTGGCCCAATATCATAATTATTAAATGTGTTTGCTTAAGAATTTAGATTGAATTTTAATTGTTTAAACAAATTAAAATGCTAGTTGGTCCAAATCGGATTATTTTAAACATCGCAGTTATATCTTAAAAGCCTTTCATACCATCTTTATGGTATTTTATTTTGTATATTGTAATGACTGACTTCGGATGGTCAATCCATCAATTTATAAAATACGGATTATTTTATAGCCAATTGCCTCCTTTCGAATGCTCTTTGGAAACCCGCAGGTCTTATTATGCGGCAGTGAAATACAAAGTAATCCTGAGTTTGTTTGGCATCTTCTAAAAAAATTCTTGTTCTGGTTATAAATGGCATAGAAGAAAACAAACTTTGAGATATTCACAGGTGCTGGTCTTCTCCCTTCCTTGTCAGTTTGAGTTTTTATACATGTTTTTAAAGGTTTTTGTGAAATAATCTCTCATTTCCCCCCTTCATAATCATTTCAGGAGCCAATACAGGAATTGGTAAGGAGACAGCGCGGGACCTGGCCCGTCGAGGCGCCCGTGTCATCCTGGCTTGTCGCGATGCTGTACGGGGTCGAGAAGCGGAAAAGGACATCCGAATGAGTACGGGAAATGATGACGTGATCTTTATGAAACTGAACCTGGCCAGTTTTGATTCCATACGCCATTTCGCCCAGGAATTCAATAACACCGAAGAGAGATTGGACATTCTAGTTAACAATGCAGGTAAGATGGGACGAATATTCATATTGTATCCTCGCGGTCCGGTCTAAGTTTTTTTTTTAATATAATAAAGGTATAAATGCGCGCCATCGTCAAGTCAAAGTTCTTTAATCATCAACATCCAAAGAAATTCATTCTTTCATTTTCCTATGATATAACAAAACCTGGCTTCTTGCAACTATTTGAACGCATCATGCAAAAATCAAACGCAACGTTATTCTATTTATAAGGATCACCTACTATTGCATGTAAAGCTAACATCAGAGTCAAGATCTTGATTACTTTTGGACAGTGGAGATCACAGATGACATACACGAAATCAGTGAAAACTCAAATAATGGCTGTGACAATTTGAGAGGAGTAACAGCCACGGAAACGAAACAAATATTCCCCAAAATTTAAACCTTAACCTTTCAAAGAATGACATCTTGTATTGAATGCAGTCGATCAACGATCCGATTTGCTAACTGATGAAGAAACTTCCAATAACGCAAATAAAAAGTTTCCCGCCCAAACTCAAGGTCAAGTCAAAAAGTGCAGGAAGCGATCGTCTGCTCAACTCGCCTGGGTTTTATCATACCTATTGGGTGCAGTAAAAACGCAATCTCTGGCTAACCTTATATACTCTGCATCGTAAAACATTTTTATCTGGATGTCAAAACATGAATTCGTTGTTTTGATGAATTCGTGATAAACGTCAAGTTTAATGAATGTTAGCTTGGCCGTCATTTTGATTATGAACGAAGTTGAAGAAGACCGTCAACTGCCGTTTTCGTTTATGATTTTCTGTCAAAAATTCGAAACTCGACTTCTATGCAATCTGCCCTTGAACATATTATTTTCCAGGCACCATAGCCAAAGGAAAAGTTCGAATTCTTTTTGTAATCGTGAATGGGCTTGCACTTCATGATCTTCACCATCAACACAATGCAATCAAAACAATTGCATTTATAAAATGAGGTCACTAATATTAAATTCAATTATCCGTTATTCAACGTGGTCAGGTATAGTTTGGTTATTGTAGAAGTGCATTATGAATAGCTTATTTCTTCAGGCCTTCACCATTTATGCACTGAAAATCCTTTCATTTAATCCTCGTTTTATTTTCATTCCATTGAACAGGTTGAGAAAAAAAATAATGATGCACTTTTTACTATTAAAGTCCACCTTTAACCTTGGTTTTTGTTTTGGTCATAATTAAGTGACTTCGGTAGACTGAAATTGAAAAAGAAAAAAATTATTTATATTTGACCCAAATTTTGAAAGCTGATTGAAATTGTCATGAACAAGATCTAAGGGAAAACTGTGTTTTCTTTTCATGTCTAACCTCTTTGCTCTAAATTTGACCTTATATTGTAAATTGCATTCGGGTAAGCATTTCACAATTAATATTATGACAATATCCATTAATCAACCATAATATTCATCAAGTTAAAATTTAAGTCAAGCTATTTAATACCTTTAGACCGCAAGTCGTTTCTTTCCATAGAAGTTTCTTTTTCGGGCATTATCTTCATTTATAATGATTTTTTTACTAGGTTCCAGGTAGTTTAATTATGTGTTCTCATAAGGGTGTTCTTTCTTTTTCAGTGACGATAGTAAAGACAAAAAACAAACAAATTTCGCCTTCATGAACTAAAGAATTGAGTTGCCTAGTAATTTATTTTCTTCGGAAAAACACATATCATTGTCCTTTTCTTATACATTGGAATCGGTTTTTTTTCTTTTGTGAATCGATGAATGCATGAGTGCAACAAATTATTAACCAAAAGCCTGTAAAAGCAAGATAAATCGGCAAAAACATAAGCTCTCTCGTTCAAAAAAGTAATAAATAATCATCATATTCAGCACGCATTATTTTGATCAATTATTTTAAGGTAATTTTGACCAATATTAACCAATCATTTCAATCCTTTTCCTACTTTTCCAGGCGTGATCAACGATGGCTCGCTTCGCACCGAGGAGGGACACGAACTCGTGTTCGGCGTCAATCATCTCGGCCACTTCCTCCTCACCAACATCCTCCTCGACAAGCTGCAGAAATGTGCTCCGTCCAGGGTCATCAACGTCTCCTCCGACGCCTACATGTTCGGCAAGCTCGACCTCGAGCGTCTGTCGGTGAACGATGGTCGGGTGAAGTCGTACGCAAGGAGCAAGCTGGCGAACGTGCTCTTTACCAGGCAGCTAGCCGACAAGATGGCCGGGACGGGGGTCGTCAGCTTCAGTCTCCATCCAGGTGAGGACAAATATTTCTGACTTTGGAAATTGGACGACGCAGATTTTCGAACGAATTGCAAAATAGTCGTTAGATTTTAAACTATTTTGCAGTGTAAACTTGAAGTAAACTTTACCATCATCTAGCAACAGTCTATAGCATGATAAACATATAGTTTGGTTGTATTAAGAAAAGTATTTATTGACTTTTAATGATGCTTTTTGTTCTTAATCTGACTGAGGATGAGTATAATTTTATCTTCGCATCATCAATTGTATGGTTCGCAAGAAAAGTTCCAATATTTCATTTGCCAGATTTAAATTTATATAAATATTTCTGTCATATGCATCTTTCATTATGTTGTTTATGTAATTCTGTGTATCTCAATCTGTATTACAAAATACCTTTCCATGGCAAAATTGTTAGATAAATCATTAAATTCAAATCAAATATTTCTCATTGCAGGTTCTGTCAACACCGAGATCAAGCGTAACTGGGCGGGTTGGTTGCGGGCACTCGCCCCTCTCATCTCCTTCTTCTTCCTCAAGTCAGTCAAGGCTGGGGCCCAGACGTCGATTCACTGTGCAGTTTCAGACGATATCTTGGACCAGTCTGGAGAGTTCTTCAAGGGTTGTCAGGTCCAGAAGCTGTCCAGGACGGCACAGGACCAGGACCTGGCCCAACGGCTCTGGGACGTCAGTCTGGAGATGACGGGTCTACAGAGCTCGTGAGAACGTAATCTCGACCGCGGGTTGGATGGAGACACTCAAAAGACTCTTAACTTATTACAGACTGCAAACGCTGTCGCAGAAAAAAAAGATGTTGGGCGGATTGCTTGTATAACATGGAGCTGGACAGGTGAAACGAAAGTTTTGAAACATTTCACATGGAGAAACAGAACGCCAGCTTTGGTGATCTCTACCTTATTAAGATGAATTGAATGAACTTGGACATATACAAAATCAAACGGTACCAAGTCATTACATTGGACAAAGCGAGATTATTCATGTTTGCTGGTGTCAAGAGTGGTTTCTTTCTTAACATTGCAGTTGCTTTGTCATACAGGAAAATGAATGACTGTTTTATTTCACATCTGCACAAATAGAGACGTCCTATTACTTGGAAAACATCTTTAAAAGTGCCGTTGCCATGACTACATATCACGTTGTTAAACCGAAGAAGCAGACGTGACAAAGTCCGCGTTACTATTCATGACGTCACGATTTGTGTCTTTTTGTTGCATTGTGGATGCTTGTGGCTTCCAGTGACAAGATTCATGAGACACTCTTGATTTATTGTTGCGAACATTATATACAAAAGCGATGTTTAGTGTCGTACAATAACTTTCAAAGAAAACCGTCGAATTTATACTAAGAATAACATGAATCTTTCTGTTCTCTTGATCCAAGTTTACGCTAAATTGGAGCGAGGAAACTAACATGGGTGCGATATTGCGGGAATTGTGTTCATTGATGGAGTTTTACTTGTATTTAACTATTTATTCAATTATTCGAAAAATAAATTTCCTTTCATGATCATCATTGTTTAATTCGAAAGATGCGAAAGTCGGCTCGGAGCAAATTCATAATGAAACAAATATAGTAATACAACTAGGTTCAAATTAATTTGTGGTGTATGTACGGCAGGGGCAGATAGGAGGGGCATGATTCAGAAAAAAAATAACAATGATTAATGGGGATCACATGATTTTTGAGAAGGTGCCTTTTGGATTTTAAAAAAATCTTTGAAAGTGTTGGTGGAGCACATTTTCATTTTGTGTACAAAATGATATGCCACATTGGTTTAAATAGAGGGCACGGGACCCCCCCCCCCCCCCCCGCAACAAATCTTCCAATGACGTACGAGACGTTTGTCAAGAGTCGATCAATAACACCCCATCGGCCAATGTCGTCATAATGATTGGTAATGAGTTTGAGGGTCGACAACAAACTAGCAACATTTGTAATGCCCATTACGATTGCGTGAAATTGATCAACGTAAATTCCCAATTCCGCGAGGTACATAAGTTTAAAAAAATCTGATTCATGTAACACATGGGTTATTGTTTGCAGAACTAAATTCGCCATACATGTTTCAAGTGCCACCGTCTTTGGCCTATAAAATATATTGGTCTACATGAAATAGCTATCAAAAATAAAGACAGAGAAAGAGAGAGGGGTGGTGGGGCAAGATAAAGTAAATCATTCTGGGTATCAACATTACTGATGATAAATATGTATTTGCTTTTAAACTAAAAAGCAATATTTACACAATGTGTGTTTTGCAAGAAGAATTTATTTTCATCTACCAGAAGATTTCGATCCTAGAAACACATCAGTCAGTATGATTTATTTATTTTCATAACACATGCAACGGCTTTTTTATCAATGAAAATATGACGCAATACGTTGCAAGTTGATTAACGAAAAAACGGTGTCTGACTTTATGAAATCAAAGTGACTCGTTGAAGTAGTTTTTCAACCTGCCCGAAGAAGTAACTTTATGTATATCAGCGTTTGGTGATTGCATGTTGCAACCTCACCTCTCTTTCAAATGATATAAAACGGCGTGCAAGGTTTATTTTCTATGTCTTACTATGCAAGATTTTACATGTTGCTATGCAAATACAGCTTTACAGTTCATAAATATGTGTGTCATAAATAAGAAGAAAGTGTCTGACCCTCTTGAAATCCCTCCTTAAATTACTGCAATGTTATAAACTATTGACGATTTCAGTCATACTTTCATAAAAAATCATATAGAATTAAATATATGGTATTTTTTTATTGTAATTATGTTAAACATAACGTACATATCTGTCTAAGTGTGGTGAAATGGTTGTTCCTATACGTCTGTTCAGTTTACTTTGTTAAGGACGTTTCTATTCTATTTTTTGAAAATAACTATGATATGTGTTGGTAGGAGATAAAGGCTTCCAATGCGCTCTGCCTTATGTGTATGGTATTGTATAAAGTGATATTTGTATTCAATAAATTATTTCTTTAAAATATAACTGATCTCATTGTTTTGGTATTATATTGAAATTTCGTGACAAGACAGCATGGTTTTAAGAAAGTATAGATTGCTTCATTCATGGACATAATACGATTCATATGTGGGAGACTTTAGAAGATTTGACGGGCTTAAAGGTAAAGACCAGTAATGGTCATGCGATTGCATTGTGAAAGAAACGTTGTGGAATCGATCAGAAAAGGTTGATCATCTAGCATCTAGCATCTGCAAGGTTCTGGAATCATCAAAATGATAAGAAATTTGGCCCATTCTTCGTAAAGTTACAAGCACTATACACAGAAAGATGTATATGGGACTACCCTATCTCTCTCACACGACCATGAGAGAAATAAATTTACCAAATATATGAATTAGTAGGCGGTTTCCCGGCAAATTTTTTATCATCATGTATTAGTCAAAACATATTCTTTCACATGATTGGTAATGAGAGCTTCCATTTCATTTTTTGAAATTGGGGCGTTACCAATACTGGTCTTTACCTTTAATGAACGAACTTTAGGAGGGTGTGAGAGGGTGGAATGAGAGGAGGAGAACGAGATAGATAGAGAGATAGAAAGATAGAAAGATAGATAGAAAGAGAGAGAAAGCGCGCGCGAGGGAGAGAGAGAGAAAGAAAGAAAGGAAGGGGGTAATAGGTTGGATTAATTGGAGCGAATTCCGAAGAGACAGACAAACAGACAGACTAAGAACAAAGGACAGTAGAAATTCAGAAAAATTCGGAGACAAAAGCATGCAAGAGAGAGAGAGAGAGAGAGAGAGAGAGAGAGAGAGAGAGAGAGAGAGAGAGAGACGACGACAGCATTTTAAAGTAAATGAATCAGAGAATGTGGGAAAGCTGTGGGGGGGGGGGGGGTTGCAGAATATTCCCGTGCAAAATACCCGTATTATTCTATTTTGTTTGTACTAACGCTTCTTAACAGATCGAATGAACAGAAAGAAAGGATCAAGGAATAACATACCGTATAATCTAAATCGGATTGGATCAGTCATCACACTGCTACTGACTGATTATTGATTGTATAATCAAATAGTATAACACTCGCTGGACCTTTTGTTACTTTAGAGACTAGATGCATGATTATAGTTCGATTATTATTGTCACCATGAATAAAGGAAAGGGCAGATACAGTAGCAAAACATGGGGAGAGTAGCGGTGTGAGAGACTCGGAGAGAAGTAATGAAGGAAGGAAGGGAAAATGATAAGAGAGACAGTTAGATAGGGAGAGACAGACAGAGACAGACATACATACAGAGATAGGGAGGGGGTGAGAATAGGAGACAGACAGACTTACAAAAAACAGACAGACCAGAGTCAGACAGAAAGATGCATGGTATTTTAGTGAGAATGGTCATGGCGGATGGAGGGGGGGGGGCTTACCATACAGATACATCAAAATATTAATGTCCCCCACAGTCCGATTTTGTTTAAAATGATATATTACACATAAAATCATTAAATTGCGAAATTATCAAGTATGAAACAGATGAAAGGGGGTAATGCGTAAATAGTCTGGGCTGTATGGTCATTGCATCGTTCTATTAAGGTCTCGTAAGATCTAGAAGTAGAAGCTTCTTGAAAAGCTGTGGTAGACCACATGAGGTTCCTATCAACACTGGAATACCCCCTTTTCACATGATGTTAATCCGATCCATAATTGTTCTATAGAAAGTGACCAGTGGCCTGTCATACGGACAATGACCACTGAAATTGAGGCTGATCCGTTATCGATTCCACCATGGGGTCCACTTTGTATAGACATGTTCGTTAACCCTTTGTACGCCATACATCCATCTCCCCGTATCCCGACACCTACCCCTGGACAACCACCCCGGATAACCACCCCTAGGATAACCACCCTATAGGACAACTACCCCCTAGGGCAACCACTCTCTAGTACGACCACCCCTTGACAACTATCCCTCACATAAGTATATATCCTAGAGGGCGGTTGCCCTATGGGTAGTTGTCTGGGGGTACTTGTCCTGGAGGATGGTTATCCTAGGGGGTAGTTGTCCTAGAAGGTGGTTATCCGGAGGGTGGTTGTCCAGGGGGTAGGTGTCCTAGAACTCTATGTCCCTGTGTCACGTTGTATGTATTAAGGGATAGAAATACCAAAGGCTTCAAATTGATTTTAGTGTGTCAAGTGAAAGAAGAATCTATAGCTGTGTTAATTAAAAGAGTTGCACAGCAATCCCTCAGCCAATCAGTGCATATTGTTTTGTGCAAAATTGCACGTGTGGCAAACGAGCGACCGCACAAAGAGGCGAAGAAAGCATTCGAAAGGTTAAAGGGATAGTTGAGTTCTGTTTTCAGACCGCAAATGCCTTCAAAGTGCATGGTTATTGCTCTTATTCTTATCTATTACATTTCTAGTGCCCTTTTAGAACCTAAAATGGCTATGAACGGTTAATTTTAGACCCCAAAATGTGTGAATTTAGCCAATACAGCTCCACTTTAAAAAAAAACACGGTGACCGTTAATTAATTTGTTAATTAAAATAACAATACATGATCCGGCTGGTTGTGCGTAATATAAGCAACACGAAAATGCCAACAAAAAAACTAACATCGGCATTGGCTGAAATACGACATAAAAGCCGTTATTTCGTTTTTTCAACGGTTTTTAAAAAAATTTCAAAATATCTAATATTTGTGGTGGTACGAAATCGTTATATTTATGGATATTTCAGCCGTCTCTGAACCGATTTTGATCAAACAAAGATGATTATGTCACTTAAATATTATGTTCTTTCAAATTCGACACTCAGTTTTTCATTATCTCACACAAAAAATATCTTGTGTAGCGCCCTCTGCAACAGAACTCAACTATCCCTTTAAACTTAAATAAATGTTTGGTTTGGTCGTATCCAGATGAAAGTCGAACTTCACTCACCGCATTGGGGGTACCCTTTAAGTGGGACATATTTTTATTTGGAACTCTACTCAATACACGGTGAATTTCCAATTTAAGCACGCTGGAGGGGGTGCATGGGTGCATGCCCCTATATTAAATGGCGAAAAAAACTTAACTTTATATTTTAAACTTTAAAAAATAAATAAGAATTATTAATAAAAGAGAGACAGAAAGGTTTGAGAGACAAAGATAAAAGGAGAGAAAGTGAAGTGAGAAATGAGAAGTGCAACATGAAAACAAAACTACATGTCCCTCTCACTCTATAGGGGTTCAGCACGAGTTATGAAAGCAAATATTAAGCCATCCACTGATATTTGATAAAATTGGGAGGAAAATCCGGAACGTTTATGTGGTTTACGTGCCGATATGTATCTCATTTTCCTTGTTAAAAGAAAGTAAAAGAAAAGGGTATTTGTTCCTCGTGCATGCTATGAGAGAAAGAGTTGCCTAAGGACGTCTTTATTTCCCTGAAGCAATTAAGACAAATTAAAGTTGGCGACACGTACAATGCATCTGAGGTTTGCAGAGAAACCATCAGCCCTCTGGGATGGTGTCACAATGTCATTCTTCCAATTTATCTTTCTTATCAATCCACACACAAAATAAAGATTCGAAGAACTTGTCCCTCCAATGATCCATATCAAAAGTGATTCAGTCTTGGTTATCATCCGTTTCACTGGCCCGTGACGGAGCTGTAAGCACGCTGTAAGCATCAAGGGAATAATGGAAAGTTGAAACGTTTTTTTTTTTTTTCTCGTTCTTTCCCCACTTTTTACTGTTTGGGTGTCATAAATGTTAATTCTTACTGTCAGATGTTTTCAAAAGATCCTTCCTGAGATTGATACATTTGATTAGAAATTGTTCAGATTAATTACCACCGCAATAAGTTGATTGTTACGAGGGGGGTCAGTGTTTATGATAATTTCAGAATAATTAAATGATGATCCTCTATACTGTGTTCTGCAAGTGATAAGCTCGATCTGAGGCTGGTGTGACAGCGCCGCTGACGGGATGCTAGTGGAACTAGTTTTTTTTTTTTTTTATCAGTGGACAATGAGCTTGGCTGCTGTTGATTTTGCAGAATGCTAAATATAATTATATAAAAGGTGCATTGAGCCATTCTCTCGTATAGGATTCGATTATGGATGTACTTTTTTCAGACCTAGAATTATTAATACACATATACAGTGCGTCCCAGAAAAAACGAAACCGAGAAGTATCGATGTTTTATCATAACTAAATCACAACCATAATTAATGAATGATACATATTTGGAAAGCTTAGAGTCTCCTCTTTCAGTTGATGCTACTCAGATGATGCATATTTCACGCATGAGTGATTAAAAGCAATTTGAAGGAAGGAAACCAAAAAGACATTTGGCGGGCGGTGTCTGAATTTCGAAGAAAAATTCACATTTCTAGAAAGTTGAGTTTCTGCTCTTTCATATGACACCTCAATCAGGAAAAATGAGCGAGAAATAACAAAGTTCTGTTTGCTTAAAGTAGCCCTTACATTTTCATAATTTTAACAGACGAATTCGTTTTCACTGGGTGCCTGCCGTACCAAAAAGCAGATTTGACAAAAGACTCAACTCCGTTTCG